AGTTTCTTGTTTAAATAAATATTTATTTACTTATATTTAATTAACAACAAGGATTAGGCATGCGACAATCAACATAGAAATCGCTTCGCACTTAATCTCTGTCCAAAAGAAGGACTTATCAAGCTGAAAGCCAATTTCCGCCTGACGGATGTGACTGAGGAGATAGTCTGATGGTACCGCTAGGAGTTAAAACCTCTGCTCAGGCCGTCGTAATTACAATCATTTTAAATATGTAACAGGACTTCGGCAATACATCAGACGTAGAGGACTTTGATATCAGTGAGCGACAGAGGCAGCTGCTGAGGAAGCCCGAGCAGATGGATGAAGAAGTCCCGTCGGATCCTGAAAGTTTCTCCGACGACAACAGCCTGTATGACGTAAGTCATATTAGTTATTATTATTATAAGAAATCAGGTGGCAATAATAAAAAACAGTGAATTTATATGCAAGCTGTTTGTTGAAAGTTCCTCTTTGTTCTAACTCCAGCGCGTAACTAACCAAATTTTTGAACCGATTACCTCTTTTTAAGAAGAAGGGTAGTTGTTTCATCTTTCCTCTATCTATCATTACACTAAAATTATACAAAATAGTGGAACTTATAATACTTAAAAAGTTTTAGAAAATAACATAATTAATTAGAATTTCCTTGTTGTACTTTGTGTAAATATGTTATTTTGGTGTATGTACCGTATTTATATTCATATGCATGTAGTAAAAAACGGTTATTTCAATATTACAAACAGACACTCCAATTTTATTTATATGTATAGATGTATAGATAATGGAACTGTGCACCCCCTGCGCTAACGGTATACGCTGGCGGGGTACCAGTGGAGGATGATAAGATGAGCATGAGGTCAGATCAGTTAGAATATGGTGGCAAATTCACCAGAAATTTAACATGATGGTTTCGAAGGGCAACCGCGTGGAGGTCAACCTGACATGGTACATTGCTACCAATGGGGTTATTAATCCACATCTAAAAATCCCCTTACCCCCCTCTTCATATAGTTTAACATTCAGCTTATATCAAGAATTTGATTACAGGAGCTGCCCTCATCAGACTCCGATGATCTGGACGAGTACTGGTTTGATCTGGACCTTAGAGCTGAACGGGCCAGCGACTACTTGCCCTTATTAGGTTAGTTTTATTTCATCATTCATTGTGGTAGGCGCTGGATCATCATCATTATTGCCTTGTTTTTATACCATTTTGTCACGACATATACGCTGAGCGGAGACCTATTTGGTACCGAAATAATCCAATATGCAATTTAATTTTTTTTGTTATTGTCATGTGTATCAAATAAACTTATTTTTTTTCTTCTATCTTTCTTTTTTCTTCTTTCTTTCTTTCTTTCTTCTTTCTTTCTTCTTTTTTTCTTCTTTCTATTATTTGTGGTCGGCGCAGTATGTCATTCTCTTCCACTGCTTTCTATCGACCGTCATATCTGAATATACTCTCCTTTTATTCGAGTTAGTTTTATTTATTGACATCTAATATTTTGACGGCCTCATTGGTGTAGAGGTTAAGCTCACCGTCTTACTTCAATTGGTCGCGGGTTCGATTCCTCGCACGGTGCAAACATTTGAATTCATGAGTATAATTGTTTGTATCGATCATTTAGCGGTTTAAATCGCTTTAAATATAAATATTCATGGTATTAACAGTATCATGGTATCTTGAGTTTTTTTGTTTTTCGGACTACTCTAATGCTGTTGGCCGCAGCTGGCCTTTACAGCTTCACCGGACGTTAGGGGGCGAGTGCAGATGGCACTACAAACCAAAGGAAGGACTTATGGAGCAGCTGAAGGCCAACTTCTGCCTACGATTTTAGTCTGAGGGCACCTCTAGGGATTCGAACCTCGGCTCAGGTCGTCGTAATATCGATCCCCGTTTGAATTGACGGGGGATCGATCGGAGGGGCGTCCGGTTGAATGCGCGATATTGTCTTGAATATTAATATTATTGAGTATGTTTGTCTGGATGTTTTCTATGTGTTTACAAATAAAAATAATCTATGTACTTATATCAGTTGTCTAGTACACATAAATAATAAACCCATGAATATCCAGGGGTATTAGTAATATTAATAGCTATATTACTGTAAAGTTTCATCAAAATTCGTTCAGTAGTTTTTGCCTGAACGTGTAACAAACATCCATACTCACATACCTTCGCGTTTATAATGTTAATAATATAATATATTTTTTTTACAGGGGCGAAAGCCTACGATTTATTGTCAGAGGAAAAGCAACGCGTAACAGAACGATTGGCTAGTTTGAAGAAGAATATTACATCTGTGTCTGAGAAGGGACGCCAGCAAGTAGAGCAGATGAAGAAAACTAAGAAAGCTATTACAGAATTAGATGACATGTTAAAAGCTACCTGACTAATGTAAATGATTTGAGGGGGTGGGTCAACGATGACCCCCCAATGAATGTTTTGGGGGTCAACATTGACACCCAAAATTATTGTGGTGGGTCATCGTCGACCTCCAGCGTTGACATAATTATTTTTGAGGGCAATGTTGACCCCCAAAAAAGATTGTAGGGGTCAACGATGACACCCAAAATAAAAGTTAGGGGGTTAGCATTGACCCCCATTATAAATAAATGAAATAAGTCTACAATAAAATTTACCCCAAAACAAAATGTATATTGGGGACCGTTATGACCCCCAAAAAATGATTGTGGAGGGTCAGAGTAGACCCACCAAAATACATTGACCTCCATTATAAATAATTTGAATAAGACTACAATAAAAAAAATGAGGGTCAACATTGACCCTGACTAGTAATCTTTAAGGGAGGGGGTCAACGTTGACCCCCATTCATTATAAATAAGTTATATCTACAATAAGATGTACAGAGTAAAAATTGCAAAATGTACGTTTAATAGCAGATTTTTTTTTTCGAATGGCAAACAGCTATTGCTGATGCCAGACAGCTATTATGTTGGACTTGATATTCAGAGAAAAATAGTCCATTTTTTTATATCACCACATTGGCAAACAAGCATACGTCCTATCTGATGGTAAACGGTTATAATGTTTATATTATTGACCGGGTCTTAACACGAATAATTTTATAAGTGCTGTGTGTCGCGAACTTTCGTTGAAAAATCTAGTAAGGGTAAATGAAAAAACTGCTGTCACCTATCTACATTGACATCACTGTTGCTCCAGTCAGCTCGTGACCACGTCTAGTGCAACCTAGTCGAAACGTCGAGAGAGGTAAATACCTTTATTTGCCATAAAATTATTCGTGTCAAGACCCGGTTAATAATATAAATAATGTATATAAAACACGAAAGTTTAAAAGTAATTGGTTACATACGTGAATAGCACATTATTATATGCACCATGAGTTGCCATTTCAGACCGGATTCAGAGGAGCTTCCTCCCGCGTACACACTTAGATTGAGGAATGAATTACCTGCCGAGGATTTCTCGAGACACTACAGCATGGGGTTTTTCAAGAAGGGTTATATTAAGGTTTCTTAAGGGTCGGCAACGCGTACGTGACACCCTTGGTGTCTCAAGTATCCATAGGCTACGGTAACTGTTTACCATTAGATGAGCCGTATGCTTGTTTGCCACAGTATAAAACATAGTCTATTTTTCTTTGAATGTCCAGTCATCCCGATCTGTAGCTGTCTGTCTAACCAATAAAAGACACAAATATGTAATTTTTAATAAATTGACGGCCTCAGTGATCTAGTAGTTTAGCACGATGCCTTCCAATCGAGGGTTCGATTCTCGCACAATACAAACATTTGTATTCACGAGTGTGATTGTTAGTTTTGATCAGGATGTTTTTGTGTATAATGTACTTACAGAAAATGTATTTAAAAATCTATCAGTTGTTTAGTGACCCCAAGCCCTGTTTAGTTTGGGACTAGATGGCGCTGTAAGCAAAAATATATTTTGAAATTATATATTTAATTACACATTGTGCACCATTGTTTTTTGTTTTATTTGTAATTACTTATGTTAATACTCATAGTATTAATATCGCGCATACTGCTATGACGCGCCCGTCATCCTACTGCATCTGCGCACCGTGCACCTTTATGCGTCTGTGGCGCATTTCGTTTTGCGCGGGAAAAAATACTAACGACAAAATGACTTCTTCTGCAGACATTCTTCTAAACTATTGTACTTACTGAGTCCTCGCCGCCTCGTTTGCTCGCTTGCCTATATCTTAAATTACCCAGATTTTAATGGATTTTTCAGCAATAGAGAGTAATTCAAGAGGAAGGTTTATATGTATTTTTTATTGGATTGTTTGGGCTATTGTCAGATATGTAGCACCTGTAGCACTGCGACCTACATAGATCTATTGTGCTCGCCCTTTTCGGAGTTCGCTATCTAGACCCGTCAGGGACAAGAATTGAAGGATATTCTTAGGAGCGATCGTTTTTATCTCCTCGGGAAAGAGTGTAAACTTTCCAAAGGAGATATTTCGTTTATGCATGAGTGGGCTACAACCACATAGGATGTGAAGCGGCGTTTCCTCTTCAGTTTGGCAGAATCTGCAGAATCTGTTATATGTATAACACATGCGTGTTATAGTCCCCTCCGATCCCCCGTCCAATTTAAACGGGGTTCGAAATTACGACAGCATGAGCCAGAGTTCGAACCGCTAGCGTTTCCCTCAGACTAAAGTCAGATGAAACGTCACGCGGGAGTTGGTCTTCAACCGCTCCATAAGTTCTTTCTTTGGTTTCGAGTGCCATCTGCACTCGTCCCCTATCGTCCGGTGAATCTGTACAGGCCAGCTGCGGCCAACAGCAGTAGAGTAGTTCGAAAAAAAAAACGTTATAGTATACAACAAGCCGAGAAATTCAAAGATATACAATGCATCCGTGCGAAGCCAGGACGGGTTGTTTTAAAATAAAACAATGAAATCATTAAATATAATATTATATATTCATATCAAATTTATACAATATAATCTGTGGATGGCACGTCTATGCAATGACGTCAGTCATCGATCAGGCTCAGTCAGTTTCGTCCGGCGATGACAGTTCTGTGGTCTGCTCTGTGCCCAGCTCTGTAGCCTCTGTTGTTTCCGTATACTCTGAGAAGGGATCCCCTGGCTCGTCATCTATAAAAATGTATTATAGAATAGAATAGAAAATCTTTTATTCAATTAAACTTACTTTGATGCACTCTTGAATACACTAACGGTCTTATTCATAAAACTTAAGAGGCCTTTATAAGCCCACTATAGCAGTGCTATAAAGGCTTTATAAAAATCTCTATAAATCTTTGACTTGTCATAAGTGTCTGTCTTACTAGCTGTACCCGCTGTTTTACCTGCGTGTATGTTATTCTGATGTATAAGCTATGTTACTGTACAGTTTCATCAAAATCCGTTCAGTAGTTTTTGCGTGAAAGAGTAACAAACGTCCATCTATCCATGCTCACAAACTTTTGCGTTTATAATATTAGTAAAATTTTGAATTTTGAATATCTATGTAGGTACATTATAAACACACCACACAGACAATCACTAATAATATTGCTCCTTTTTATTTTATATTTATTTTAATTATTATTTTCACGTACCCTCAAATGGGTTGAAGCTGAAAATCAGTGTTTTGTTCCCTGAACAATGTTCCACGCTGAGCTTCGACCTTTTTGTATTGCTACAGATCACACATAATAACACAATTTTATAAATCTTATGTTGTATTATGTATTTTTATATTCTTATGAACATGTTATGTGTGTGACTAGTAACAAACAAATAAACGATATATCTATCTATCTATCTATCTATCTACATATATTTTCTCATGTCACAATGTTCCCCTCCGATCGAACCCCCGTCCAATTCAAACGGGGATCGATATTATGACGGTCTGAGCCGAGGTTCGAACCCCTAGTGGTGCCCTCAGACTAAAGTCGTATCCGTCAGGCAGGAGTTGGCCTTCAGCCGCTCCATAAGTCCTTCCGCGGGTTTGGAGTGCCTTCTGCACTCGACCCCCATCGTCCGGTGAAGCTGTAAAGTCCAGCTGCGGCCAACAGTATTAGAGTAGTCCGAAAAAAAAAGTCACAATGTTAGTTACCATACACAACCAAAACGGCTTGTCTAATTTTTATGAAATTTTCAGCCCTATCTATTTTTCATACTCCTAAATGTAAACGGTTGTCCAGCCCTAACATTTTTTTTTTATTTTTGAACAACATTTGTTTTATATATTTTTTGAAAATGTGGCGTTAATAAATAACCCTAAATTTTCACCCTTCTATCACCAACTTCTATTTTTAAATAACGATATTAATTAATATGGCAAAACAACGTTTGCAGGGTCAGCTAGTATGAATATAAGACCTAATGTTTGCCATATAAATTCTCTCATAAAATTACTCACCGCTGGGACTGGGTGCAGCGTTGGTGTCACATTTGCACCGTCGCATTTCCTCCAGGACCCTCAACTCGGACGGCAGCAGCGTCCCTTGTTCACCAGCTTGCGTGGATTCTACAGTTGATAATACAATAATTACTGTCCTTGTATTATATCCTTGTTAATGTAAATCTACTTAAAACAACATTTATATAAAAGAGACCCAAGTTAAGCTAACTAAAGCTTGTGTTATGGGTACTAAGGAACTGATATAAATTGTTGATGACTCAAAAATAAAATAATTAGTGGACTGTGAATCTTTACTACTAGGAGCTAGAAATATTTACTACTAGGAGCTATTACAAAGAACTTTAAATGTCTAATTAATAACTATAGGCGCAAGACAAAGTGAAAGCTGACCCGGCCTAGCGGCTGTCAATAGTTCCTGTTCGATAGCGCTCGAACATACATAGATACATAGATTTTTTTAAACATCTGAATATTTTTATACATAGAAAATATTCAGACATATACAAATAATCATACTCATGATTACAAATATTTGCACCGTGCGAGGAATCGAACCCGCGAAAGTAAGGTAGTGTGCTAAACCGCTAGACCACTAGGCCGTCAAAATAGCAAACAGGCTGACACTGTACTCGATGGTAAGTGGCAAATGTGACGCCCGCGGCACCTCTTGAGCTGTCATTCCCGAGTCTTGGATTCCATTCCCCATAATTTGAGGTTATTTATTTTCATTTTATTTGTTTACTAGCTACTCACTCCGGCTTCGCACGGGTGTAGGTACATGTATTACATGTATAAACCTTCCTCTTGGATCACTTAATCTATTAAAAAAACAGCTTCAAAATCCGTTGCGTAGTTTTAAAGATTCAAGCGTACATAGGGACGGACAGACAGCGACAACGACTTTGTTTTATACTATGTAATGATTTAACTAGACCCATATTATAAATACCATATAGACTAACATACATATGAAATAATATCCAGTAGTCTTCCTTCATGAAGGTCAGCATATTGGTGGGGACCAGGGTCATAAGCGCTTTGAAACTCGCGCTGTGACTGGACTCCAGCTGCGTCACCCTCAATGTCAGGTTACTCCTGGTCCATATATAGTTGACAATGTCCTTCTCCTTGGTGGTGTAGTGTAGGCCGGACAGGTACATTGCCGTGATCAGTGTATCAGCAAGAAATTGGGCCCAGTAAGTGCAGTGCCACAATTTATGTAAACAAATGCAAATATTCACCAAGTTTAAACTGCACTGTAGCAGTTTGTTCCGGTTCCTCTTCACAGTGGCATGTTGGATCCGCCAGGAACCTCGCTTCCTCAGCCCGTCGCCGGATCTCTGAAGGCAGTTCTTTAGGACCTGCTGTTAGAAATAACAATTAGGTATAATAAAAATATAAAGAAACCCAGAAAGAAACAGAATGCTTTCCAAAATACCATCCTGATCATCTGGATGAAGACATAAGACGTAAGAGGGTAAGGAAAAATTATGATATCATAAATTTTACATTCATAAGCGGCTAAAATGTCCTACATGAATAAATATTTTTTGAAATTTGAAAGGAGACTTTAAATGAAGAAGGAAGACTAATTCTAATATTAGAATTAATAGAAAAAATAAATATAAATTGTCTGTGTGGTGACGGCACTGATGATTTTAAATGCATTTTAAGTCTTCCTGAATACCTATGTGTGTTAGTGTGTAATGTAATGTATTAGTGATAAACGACTTAAAAGAATATATGGATATAGTCTATGGCGACTCCGGACCCATAGAGCATTGAGTGTGTACTAGGACAGATTTAAGACAAGTTACGAAATAAACGGTTTTTCTAGAAATAACTGAGGAGTTTAAATTTAATTAATTAATACAAAATTACACAGTTAGTCTTTAAGGTATTTAATATGGATCAATGGGCCATTAGTAACCTGAATTAAATAAATAAAAATAGTAATATTTTCTATTGCGTTAAAATCTCTATGTACAGAAAATATGTATGTTTGAACAACTCACAGCCGTCCACGTCGAATGGCTCCGATCTGTGGAGAGCGTCGCCAATCACTCTCATCATAAAGTGATGATAGTCAGCCACCTTGATTGGAGGCGAGCTCGCCCCTACAGCGCGGTCCACCACTGTCAAACAATACAGGGGATACAAGCACTTCTTGTAATAAATTTCAGACATCATTACACTATACCATATCTAAATACATATAACTCAAAGGTGACTGACTGATATAGTGATCGGTAAAGTAAAGTGGTTATCGCCTTAGGGGTGGAATTTATCAAAATCCTTTCTTAGAGGATGCCTACGTCATAGTAGCTTTATGCATGCAAAGTCTCAGTCCGATCGGTTTAAAATTGACAAAGTTTCATACAAACTTTCACCCCCTATTTTATCCCCTTGGGGGTAGAATTAATCAAAATCCTTTCTTAGCGGATGCCTACGTCATAACATCTATCTGCATGCCAAATTTCAGCCCGATCCGTCTAGTGGTTTGGGTTGTGCGTTGATAGATCACTATGTCAGTCAGTCACCTTTGAGTTATATATATTTAGATTCTTCCAAGTACTGACCTGTATGAATAAGCTCCTTTGCTTCAATATTCACTTCCGCACTCTCTCGTACCTGCTGCCTCATTTCATGGTACACTTCTCTTCTTGCTGACCGGCGCGCTTTACACTCTTGTACGGCTATATTGCATTAAATAAAACATATTATCTAATTTCATTACTAACTGTCCCAGCAAATGTTGTTTTGCCATATAAATAAATATTGCTATTAAAAAATAGGGGTTGGTGATAGAAGGGTGAAAATTTAAGTCTGTATATATTTTTACAGCCATATAATAAAACAAATTGTCGGAAAAAATTTTTTTTGTGGTTGGCCACCCTTAACATTTAGGGGTATAAAAATTATATTCCTATTCTCACACCTACTGAATATACATGTAATGTTTCATCAAAACCGGTCAAACCGTTTCGGAGGAGTATAAGCAAAAAACCTATGACACGAGAATTGTATATATTACACTAGCTACTCGCCCCGGCTTCGCACGGGTGTACTTGTATTATATGTATATATAAACCTTCTTCTAGATCCACTCTTCAAAATCCGTTGCGTAGTTTTAAAGATTTAAGCATACATAGGGACGGACCGACAGTGACAGCGACTTTGTTTTATACTATGTACTGAAGTAAAGATTAACATGTAAACCAATAACTACTTTAAGCCGTGTGAGTGATTATTTTATTGCTAAAATAATTACATACTTAAATATATTTATCCTCGTCTATGAGCACGTTGAGCATTAATTATTTACTTAAATATATTTATCCTCATCTATGAGCACGTTGAGCATTAATTATTTACTTAAATATATTTATCCTCGTCTGTGAGCACGTTGAGCATTAATTATTTACTTCAATATATTTATCCTCGTCTATGAGCACGTTGAGCATTAATTATTTACTTCAATATATTTATCCTCATCTATGAGCACGTTGAGCATTAATTATTTACTTCAATATATTTATCCTCATCTATGAGCACGTTGAGCATTAATTATTTACTTAAATATATTTATCCTCGTCTGTGAACACGTTGAGCATGAATTATTTACTTAAATATATTTACCCTCGTCTATGAGCACGTTGAGCATGCACCGTATCTCATGATGGACTGGGTACCGCTCCTCTAGAGTCTTCGGCTCCGGCCGGTCCCGAGCTGGTGGGAAGTTTGTTACACAAATTAAATAAAATCATTTATTCATATAGGACAGTTTAGCCGCTTATGTATAACCATATTTGAAAAGAATACGAGCTGAGTTTCTTGTCAGTTCTTCTCAGCTCGAAATCATTCCGAACTGACGATTGATATATCATAAGAGTCTGTAATAGACTTACACGAATAAAGATATTTAGATTTGATATAAACGTCAAAAGGGAAAAAATATTATTTGTATTAATATTTTTTCCCTTTTGACGTTTATATCAAATTTAAATAATTAATATTTTTTCCCTATTGGCAAGTTAAGATGATTAATTTTTTTTCACTACTTTAATGCTTTAATTATTGTCTAGTATGGATAGTCTGTGGTCACGCCATTGGCGATGGCAATCTGCCACAATAGCGCCGATACATCACCCGCTATCCTGAGATACTACACGCATTCGGTTCCAACATTGACATTGGCAAAATTATCGGAACTCCGAACGGATACATAGTTAAAAAAAAGTGGTCATTCACCACGGGTATGTTTCCATCGCGGGTCATCCCTCGAGATAGTCTCGACTGGTGCCTGCTGTGTGGGACACCGCCTGCAGCGACACTGGTCATCCAGGGGACCACCGCATTGGGTACAAACAGCTGTCAAAATGCAGAATAGTTTCTTTAACACGTTAAAGACCGTATGCCCACTGGTGGGTCACACCGCAATGAATGTAAAGTTACACGTTGGTAATGTATACCTCAAATTATTGCACACTAAAAAATGAATGTGCATGTAAATGTAGACAAAGTGAACGAGGCAGACCGCGCGCGCAAACAGCAATCGTGCGTGGATTAGCGCCATTTTGTAATAATTAATTGTCATTGCAAAATGGCGGATATTTGACTATGGAGCAAATACATAATTATAGAGTTATTAATACTTTATAAATGTTAAACGTTTCTCTGGAAAAAAATATCTGTGAAATAAAGAATATCATATTAAAATAAAGTGAAATGACATGAATCATACGCTCTAACACGTGCGAATCAGCCTAAATGAACTTTACGCAGGCGGGTACATCATGCCATTATGGAAGACTATAACATATAGAGTATCAACTGTACCCTATATACATGAACATTACCAAAGACAACACCTGACTGCTTGTAACTTCATGTTATCCTGGTACTTTTACTGTATCACACCTACATATTATTTTATAAAAGCATGGAACTGACCTGACGTTATGCTCATCCTATCATCCTCCACTGGTATCCGCCAGCGTATACCGTTAGCGTAGGCGGGTGTACCATTCCATTAAGAAAGACCTTCGGTTCTATAAAATATAGAAAGTGGCAAACTTTAGTGTTTTTTTGTGGTTAGGCAATGATACATACGTTGTTTCTCTTCAGCCTCGTCCAATAGTCCGAAGATAGTGTCCCTAGCAGTTTCCATCTTGGCTCGCTGCAGCGAAGATATCCGATGGCGTGCTGCAGCTTTATGGGCCTCCGGCAGCAAGAACTGCTGGACTAGTTCTGCTACCAGCTCGTTTTGTTCTGCAGTAGACCTGCAGGAATAATTTGGTCGAGGTAGACATTAACTTAGCAATACCGCATGGTAGGGACAAAGAGCAGCTGGAATTGAGTCATAATGCGAGTTTTAAGGCGTTCGTGCCCCGGGTCTCCACCAACGTGCTGCCCACCTTCATGAAGGAGGACTACTGGCCGAAGGGTGTGGTGTATCGGCGCTACCGTGGCAGATTGCCGTCGTCAGTGCCGTGACCATACAGACAATTTATATTTATTTTTCTATTAATTTTAATATAATTTATCCTTGCCACTGAAAATCAGCGTCGTGGCTTTTGTCATGGCATAATGCTGAGATGGGCCCCTTACATACACATCAGTACACAGTGACGCGGTGACGATGCTCCGCAGTGGTGGATACGCATTTTTTTTTTTTCATTTTTATCATTGTTTTTGGTATATGTGTTTATATATAAAATAATAAATTTAAGTATTTTACTATAAAAAATACTACATGTATTGTTGCCATCATGTTTGTGAGGAGAAATAAATAAATCATATTATTAAAAAAAAAATATATATATATTTTTTTTTTTTTATTTTCTTGCTCGCTTTTTTTCTTTTTTTTTTTCTCTTAATGATTTGTATTGTATTTATTATTTCTATTTATATGTTATAATAATTTATATGCTGCTGTGAGCATCGTCATTGTTGTGTTGTGATGTGTGATAGTAATAAATATTATTCTATTCTATTCTATTCTACTTCCTTATTATTGAAATTAGGAATGTTTGTTACGCTTTCACTCAAAAACTACTGAACCGATCATCATGAAATTTTGTACACATGTTCTTGGAGGTATTAGAATGAACATATCTAATATCTACATTTTGCTATTTCATCGCCGTCTAGCAGTCAGTAAGGAAGTTATTTAATGGATTCAATGCTAATGAAGTCGCGGGTAGAAGTTAGTATGTAATAGTTTCGTAAGTTATCCTTGAGGAAGTCAGAAATTTTCTAGTACTGCGGCAAGTATTCAATATTGTAGCTTACTTTTATTCCAGTTTCTATAAGAGGCATCATATTTTCCATTGCTAACAATTCCCACCCGGAGTAAAGGGGAGTGGTAATCATTACCCCATTACTAGCAATGTACCATGTCAGGTTGACCTCCACGCGGTTGCGGTTCCCTCTGGACACCATCGTGATAAATTCCTGGTGAATTTGTTACGATGGGCTAACTGACCTGACCTCATGCTCATCTTATCCACTGGTGCCCCGCCAGCGTAAACCGTTAGTGCACGCGGTTGCACAAATCCATTATCATCCTTCAAAAAAATGCACTTACATGGACCCATGTTCGAGGAGTGCCTCATCGATCTTGTCAGCATCAGTCTGCGCTCGCCGTACAGCATCCTCTTCAGCAGCAAGGAGAACACCCTCCGACACTATCTCCCGGAAATACGCGTCCACCGTCTCCTGGGTCACTCCCAGGATCTTTCAGTACAATAGCAAATATGATTGAATGCAATATTGTACCCATAACACAAGCTCTGCTAAGTTTGAGACTAGATGGCGCTGTGTGAATTGTCTTAAATTATTGCAATACAATGATAGTAACTTAAGAGACAAACGAACACTGATTAGACTATTTGCTTTTGACAAAATTGCAATAGCATATGCTGGTGGTCACTCTATTCTACCAAATTTGAATTTAAAAATGAATCTATATTATTGTAAACATGTATTATAATAAAAAAAAATAATAAAAGCCCTTATTTTGACCCCTGTTAACTTTACAAATTAATACGTGTGTTTAGGCAGTAACTGGCCCTGTTAGTTTATATATATATATATATATATATATATATATATATATATATATATATATATATATATATATATATATATATATATATATATATATCCCATCAAAAACATAAATGTGAAATGCCGAGTTTAATATTATGATATATGCCTTGATTGTTGACTTCTACGACAAAAGAGGTGAGATCTAAATGGGTGCCAAGTTCAATGGTATGTCCTGAAATGTATTTATAACAATATATAATATCATTTCTTCTTATAACTTAGGATAATATACTGTAGCCTAAGGTCTAACTTGGCCAGTTCTCATATACCAATTATTACTTTCGATTGCTAGTTACTACTAATAATAAAATAGGAACCGACAAGTAACTGTTGTAAATGTTTAGAACTTGCGAAGGCTACAGTATATTTCGTATATGAAAACTAGCCAAGTTAGACCTTAGGCTACAGTATATTATCCTAAGTTCATTGCAGCCCGGAAGACGTGCACTGCTGGACATAGGAATCCCAAAGGTCTCCACGACGATCGGTCCTGCGCTGCTCGCATCCAATGCCTTCCAGCGATCTTGATCAGATCGTCGGTCCAGCTTGCTGGAGGCCTTCCCACGCTGCGTCTTCCGGTCCGCAGTCGCTCGAGGACTTTACTGCCCCAACGGCCATCTGTCCTACGAGCTATGTGCCCTGGCCATTTCCACTTCAGAGTCGCAATTCTTCGAGCTATGTCGGTCACTCTGGTTCTTCTGCGGATCTCCTCATTTCTGATTCGATCACGCAGAATAACTCCGAGCATAGCCCTCTCCATTGCCCTCTGAGTGACTGAGCTTGTTCATGAGGCCCATAGTTAGCGACCACGTCTCTGTACCGTAAGTCACGATTGAAAGAATACGAGCTGAGTTTCTTGTCAGTTCTTCTCATCTCGAAATCACTTCGAACTGACTGTAGATTTGATACACAAGAGTCTGTAATAGACCTACATGAATAAAGATATTTTGAATTTTTTATTTGATTACTGATATACCGACCTGTTTGAACATCTCGTCGTGTTCTAGTCTCCTGTGTTCCTCCTTTTGCCTCCTGCCCGCCTCGGCTGCCTCCCGCATCGTCTTCTCTCGCACTGTAACAAAATAATAATTACTAGCTACTCTCACGGGTGTACATGTATTATATATATAAACCTTCTTGAATCACTCACTACTAAAACAGACCGCTTCAAAATCCGTTGCGTAGTTTTAAAGATTTAAGCATACATAGGGACGGACAGACAGCGACAGCGACTTTGTTTTATACTATGTAATGATAAGAAAGCTACAGTACTGAACACCTGCCGCGATGCTAGAATATTTTCAACGTTATAGTTACTTGTGCGTAACGAGTATTGCAACTATTAAATTTATATTTGGGTTAGGTCTAAAAGGCTGACGTGTATACAAAAGCCTTGCTAATATTTAAGTATGAAAGTAACTGTCTGTCTGTCTCGCTTTCACGCCAAAACTACTGAACTGATTTAAACGAAATTTGCTACACAGATAGTCTAGAGCTTGAGAAAGGACATAGGCTACTTTCGAATGCGAAAAAAGGGTTGACAGGGGAGATGTAAGTTTGTATGGAAGTATCGTCATTTATAGAGCTAGAAGTTTGAAATTTATTACTTAGGCTGTTGATTAAATATAAATAAATATGACTTCCAAATTTGTAAAAATGTTACTCTTAAGGAGGTAAAATAAAGTGGGATATGAAAGTTTGTATGGAAAGTCGTAGTTTTAGAAGCTAGATCGATGAAACTAGAAATAATTTTTGTTATATGGTCAGTCACTATAACAGGGACGAAGTCGCGGGCACAGCTAGTACATGATATACATAGAAAACAGCCAAACCAATACAAACAATAATACTCACGAATACACATGTTTGTATTGTGTGAGGAATCGAACAACTATAGTTTTTCAAAGTTCATCAAAAGGCGAAAAAAAGCAAATAACAAATAGGCTACTAACGGGCGATGAGTATAAATGCGTGCTGTCGCCTCTCCTCCTTCAACCTTCGCAGCTCCTTCTCCAGGAAGTCCAGGGCTGCTGACACCGCACCACCGCACAGTTCATCCACTAGAGCTGATATGGTGTCCTCCTGTATAAAAAAATTGTTTTCACCAAGAATTCAGCTGAGTGTCTTGTCAGTTAGAGCTAAGAAAAATACTCCGAACTAACTCTATATTTAACATCTGAGTTTACGAGTCTGTAATAGACTTACATAAGAATTCAGCTGAGTGTCTTGTCAAGTCTTCTTAGCTCGAAAGTACTCCCAACTGACGCTATATTTGACATCTACGAGTCTGTAATAGACCTACATAAGAATTCAGCTGAGTTTCTTGTCAGTTCTTCTTAGCTCGAAAGCACTCCCAACTGACGCTATATTTGACATCTACGAGTCTGTAATAGACCTACATGAATAAAGATCTGTTGGGTTTGATTAATTTGATAATGATAAACAATATTAAACTAATTAATTTAGGTGATCCTGTAATTTCACTGCTTAATCTGCACCCTACAACCGAAACACATCTTACAAAGCAAGCTGCTTGGCGGCTGATATAGGTGAGACTGAGGTACACAGAGGAATCTGCACAAAGATACCCTTCCTTTTTATTGAGGGTTTTAGAATATTGTCAGGTGCTAAGACCTGTAGCACTGCGACCTACATCAATCTATTCTGCTCACCCTTTTTCAGAGTTCGCTACCTAGACCTGTGAGGGACAAGAATTGAAGGATATTCTTAGGAGCGATCGTTTTTATCTCCTCAGGACAGAGTGTATACTTTCTAAAGGAGATATTTCGTTTATGCATGAGTGGGCTACAACCACATAGGATGTGTAGTGACGTTTCCTATTCAGTTTGGCAAAATCTGCAAATTTTTGTTGTGCGTATATTCTTAGGAGCGATCGTTTTTATCTCCTCAAAGTATAATGTATACTTTCCAAAGGAGATATTTCGTTTATGCATGAGTAGGCTACAACTACATAGGATGTGTAGAGGCGTTTTCTCTTCAGCTTGGAAAATCTGCATTTTTGTTGCGCGTAGGCCTAGGTTACCGTTACTTACTTCATCTGTTTCTAGCTGCCAAGCAGCTTGCTTTGTAAGCTGTTCGGGTGCAGATTAGGCAGTGGAAGTAAAGAAGAGTGGCATTTCTTCTTGAGCTCGTCAAATTCAAAAATCATTTATTTATGTGGGACATTTGACCTGCTTATGAACGTCAAATTTTTATAATATAATTTTTCTCCTACCGTCCAGTTTGTATCCAGATCCAATTGAGAAGAACTGGTAAGAAACTCAATTGAATAACTTATTTTTTTAAAAAGCCAGTTTATTTACAATGTCTATTTATATAGGTGTCTATATCTAACATTAAATGAAAATCCCGTGCATGAACAACTATTGCCATGCACGCTCGTCATTCAAGTAATCGTTTAGTGAGTAATAGGCTTTGCTCAGTAAATATGATTTAACAGATGTTTTAAGTCAAAATCTGCTGTTTAATGATACCTTAATCTCAGCTTCTGTTCGTAGTGCGTTGTACTCTCTAGATTTTGCCTCTTCCCTTGCTATTCTGACCTGATCCTCCTTCTGCAGACCGTGGGTGGTCTTCAATTCTTCTGTCAACTCTGCTGCTCGCATGCGCCCTTCGTACATCTGACCAGGAGATTAGAAATCAATGAACTTAATATTATTATCAATATCCTAAGATATTATGATTATTATTCGACGGCCTCGGTGATCTAGCGGTTTAGCACACCTCTTTACTTTCGACGATCTCAGGTTTGATTTTCGCACGGTGCGAACATTTGTATTCATGAGTATGACTGTTTGTATCAATCTGGCTATTTTCTAGGTATATTATGTATGTATTTAAGCATTTCTATCTGTTGTTCCCAGCTTAGCTTGGAACTAGATGGCGCTGTGTAAATTGTCCTGGGATAATATTATATATACCATCCGGTTTACCGCCATCTTGGTTGCTATTGGAGTTAAAAAAAAACTGTTATTTACCAAATTTTGAACGGCCCGTCCTCTTATAATCTTCTGCAGCCACAGCGCCGACTGGTGGCAGGCCTCGTCATCATCCTCCACGGGTTCCACCTCTGGCGTGGTCGGCCGGGGGGTGGCCTGCAGTCGGCGGGGCTTCAGGACATGCAGTGGCCCCACCGTGGTGGTGGCTGCTCCCAAACGCACCTCTGTCGAGTTATATTATTTTTCAACACGCTTGCTTGTAAAGTGAATCTAATTTCACCGGTTGGCGGGAATTGGATTATTAGTAATGTGGATTGATAACTCTTTGCTAGCAATGTATGGTACATTAAGTTTGACCTCCACGCGCCTCAATCTGGAAACCATCGTGGTAAATTCCTATTTGCCAAGAAGGGCTAACTGACCTGCCTTCATGCATTTTATCATCCTCTTTTAAGTCAAGAGTGCATAGGTATTATTTGAGCTTGCGTGTAACAGCTTAGACCACATCATCACTTAACATCAGGTGAGATAGCGGTCAAACGCGCTCAAATTATGATATAAAAAAAAAATCCTCCACTAGTGCCCCGCCAGTATACCGTCAGCGCAGGCGGAACCGTTCCATTATCATCTATACAAAAAAAAACACCGGTTTTCGATATATAAAGCAGCTCATAAAACATGATTATGGTATGCTTTACATTGGCAAAATTATTGTCTATGACTGGTGTCTGTGACAAGTTCATTTTTCTCTGTACGCTCTCGGCCTGTCATGTCATTCGTTAATTTATTTGCTTATTGTATTTGCCTAATTACAGTAAAATATTAATAGACTTTTCACTTATAAATCTATAATAAGCATTTCACATTATATCTAAATATATATAACTCAAAGGTGGCTGACATAGTGATCTATAAACGCACAGCCCAAACCACTGGACGGATCGAGCTGAAATTTGGCATGCAGGTAGATGTTATGACGTAGGCATCCGCTAAGAAAGGATTTTGATTAATTCTACCCCCAAAGGATAAAATAGGGAATGAAAGTTTGTATGAAACTTTGTCAATTTTAAACCGATCGGGCTGAGATTTTGCATGCATAAAGCTATTATGACGTAGGCATCCCCATAGAAAGGATTTTGATAAATTTCACCCTTAAGGGGATAAATTAACGTGAGCGAAGCCGCGGGCAAAAGCTAGTTGTGAGAATATATTTGGTGAAATCAGTCTTGTTGTTTTACTATCAACTGCTGCTGTGCTGTGTTGCCACGCTGTGAGATTCACTCTGCTAAGAAAACACGCGTTTTAAACGCAAACAGTGAATTTAAACTCCATAACCCTACTATTTGCTATTATTTTTATCACATTTCGAGTGACCCTATTTCACGCGAGTAAAACCGCGGACACAGCTAGTTATCTATAAGAACCATATACTTTTTAAATCGTTGTGAAGATTCTCCAGGAATTGCTCGCTCCATTTAGTTTCTCTCTCGCACGGTTGGGTGGTATCTCGTGGTAGGTGGTGGCCGGAGCACGTGCGTTTCAGGTCTCGACCGCAGTTTTGTAGCCACTCGGGTGCTTCAGCCAACTTCTGGTGGTCTTCGTATGCTGAGGTAATTTTTTTTATTATTTAATTTCAATACAAATATATTTATTTGCCCTGAAAATATATAAAATTATAATTTATGAATCACACTCTTCACCAGAATCAGGCATCCAAATTTAATATTTTATTTGTTACTATTTATAATTTTTTAGTGTGTAATTTATGTCTTACTAACATTAAGGGGGTCTTCCTATGTGACGGCCTGTTTTTTAGGGATATTTTAGGATTTTTTTTCTACGACCAGTAAATATTTAGAGCTTCAAGTTTTTTATCATTTATTAACACATATTTGGACAGTATAAATATAAAATTTCAGCTAAAAATATTCAGTCAAACTAGAGTTACAGCGCTCTGAACACCCCCGCCTCGAAAAAAAGAGCTCCCACTTCCTCCACGATTCCGGCTGATCGGCTTATCTGAAAAAAAAAAAAAACGGCGTTTTAATTTGTAGGCTTAAAAGCACGGAATGACCTATAATCAAATGAATATAAAAAAAATTGGATTTTTGATAGACATTTGAAATAAAAGTTGCAAATTAGGCGTTTTTTTTTTTGTTTTTTGCTATAAAAAAATCGAAGTTTTAATTCGGTCCAGCCGTTTCTGAGATACAATGGAGGAAAGTTTGAAAAACACAGTTTTGAGAAAAACGCGTTTAAAGTTTCAAGTCCGTTAAAAACTATTAAAATATCAACTTAATCTCAATCGGCGATGCCTGGTCCATAGAGTATTCCTTCCTCTTCCTCGTGAAACTCTTTTAAAGCAGATTGTTCAGCTCTTGAGTCAATCCTGGCTTGTTTAACGACATCACTTACGCGCCGCTCAGAGCGTAAGATTCGCTTTTCATCCCGTTTCTCAACATACGCTTGGGCTTCACGACCAACAGGGCATCCCATAATCGATATAACTTTTAAAATAGCTTGAAAACCTTCATTAAAGATAATAACTGCTAAGTAGCTAGCAATTTCAACAACTTTGGGACCAGAATGAAGATGTTTAGGAGCGAAAGTCCAAATCAAAGAATTCAAAGATTCGTTATTGTTTTGTGTCTCTGCTCCTAAACAATGAATTAATAATTCGTCTTTCGATAAATCTTCGAAAACCGGTTTGATAGCTTCTTGGACTTGCGGAATTAGAGGTGGTTTATCGTGATGAAATTGGAACATTCATGTTCATGTTATTTTTAAGTTTTTTGGCCGAAGCTGATGTAAATACCGTATCATTTTGGTGGGTAAAACGGTTTCCACTAAACTTTCTTTTTTTACTACGACCAGGATGAACATTTCCACTCGTACTTCCTTTCCGTCCACTCATTATGAAAAAAAATAATTTGTAGCTGTTGCTCTCTTCGAAGTTCAACCAAGACTAAAATAACTTCGGTAAAATATTATAACAATAGAAATTTCTGTTTAAGTCTGTAGAAACGTGTCTAAACTTGTATAAACAAATATATTAATAAAAGGGAGGCCAGGTATAAAGCCGACGGTACACAATAGGCCCGGTCTCTAACTGCCAACTCACCGCTCCGAACCGCTCTTTCTTTTACCTGCTGTATCTATAAAACGACTTCGAATTTTCTAAAATCGCTTTACTACCGTATTCTAGACATGTTAAGGGAGCAATTTATGAAAAAAAAAATCGATTTTTTCAACCCATCACATAGGAAGACCCCCTTAACTCTAAGAAAACTTTAATAAGAAACTTTAAGTAGAAAAATATTGACAGTTTTTAAATAGTAGGTTACATTAATAAAAGCTTACGTAATAACAACAAACTGATTTTACTTATGTGCCATTTGATGAAAGTTAGTAATTGCGTAAAGTTTTACAACAAACTGCCAGAGTCTGTACTCAATTGTCAGTAAAAAGATTAAAAACGTCTTATAAAACATTTTCATTGTAAAAAAGCGTATTATAAAATTTAAGAGTTTATAAATGATAATATTTTTTTTGTAGAAAAATGTAACTTAAAATTCATAGCGCTGACAATGAACAAAGATTGTGTGCGTAGCGGTTTCTATGTTGATTGCCACATGCCTAATATTTGTTAATGTGTATTTACAGAGAACAACATTCATTTAAAAGAGCAACACGCAAATATCTTGCTCATTCTTATTGTGTCGAGTCTGCGTTCCGAATGAGTGGTAGATTAAAAAAATGAAACTATTCAAAAGTGCTTATATTAAGTTTGGTTGAATAAAGATTATTTGTATTACGACTCACAGAGCAGCGAAGGATCGTATCGTATCTCCGCGTGTGTGGTGCGGGCCTGGTACCCGTGCCGCGCGAGGGGGGCGCGCAGCTCCGAGGCGGGGTCGTGTGCGGCGGGGGTCGCCGCCCCGCCGCCCCGCGCGGCCCGCATGCGCCCCACTACACCGCGCCGGGCCCCACCCTCGTGTAACGCTGACAGCTTGCGAAGCTCTAATGACCATAAAGAAAGGCTCAACTCACCCGGCCGGCCAGCGGTGGTTCTTGGCCAGACGGATGTCTGCCTCGGTGTCACTGTTAGGCAACTTGTAACATCTCGGCTGGAGTTGTACAAAAATGGATATTAAATAAATATTATAATATTAAAGTAAATTAAAAAAGGCACGGACGAATATGTCTGTGGCAAAATGTATTTAAATATAAAAAAAAAAATGACCATAAAGATGAGTGTGCTGTGATCCACACAATCTGAACCCCTCCGATCGATCCTCATTCGATTCAAACGAGGATCGAAATTACGACGCTCTGAGCTAAGGATCGAACCCCTACCGGTGCCCTCAGACAAAAATCGGTCTATCTGTTCGGCGGGAGTTGGCCTTTAGCCGCTCCATAAGTCCTTCCTTTGCCTTGGAGTGCCATCTGCACTCGCCCTCTATCGTCCGGTGAAGCTGTAAAGGCCAACTGCGACATTGGAGTAGTCCGAAAAAAATAGACTGTTCGAACTCGTCTGCGTGTGTACCTCAGTCTCACCTACTGTATTCCATCCGCCAAGCAGCTTGCTTTATAAGCTGTTTCGGTTGTAGGGTACAGATAAGTCAGTGAAATTACAGGATAAGAGGATAGACAACTTGATTCTCTGGAATGACATACCGTGTAGAATCGGAGGTGTAACATTATAACATGGTTTCCATACTACATACGCCTAAAAAGATTTTTTTATTATCTTTGTCTGGTTATGTGTTTATTCTTGCTCACATCTGAAGCAGCTTGACCAATTTTAACGGGGCTTTCATTCGCAGATGAATTCTTGGTGAATTTGTCAGAATGGGCCTGACCTCATACTGATTCATACCATCTTCCACTGCTAGCATGAACTGTTAGCGCAGGCAGGGCACCATTCCAATTTCAAATTCAAAAATCATTTATTCATGTAGGACATTTTAGCCGCTTATGAACGTCAAGTTTTACATTATATTTTTTTTCCCTACCGTCCAGTTCAGTATATAGATCCAATTGCGAAGAACTGGCAAGAAACTCAATTGAATTACTTTTTTTTTTCAATCCAGTTTATTTACAATGCATTTATATAGGTGTCTATGTCTAACATTAAATGAAAATCCCGAACATGAAAACTATTGCCATGCACGCTCGTCATTCAAGTAATCGTTTAGTGAGTAATAGGCCTAGTAAATATGATTTAACAGATGTTTTGAATTTATTTAATGAATGAATATATACTTAAATGAATTTATTTTTATACCTATTCCCATAAAAGACCTATTGACTTTTTCTAAACGATACTTGGGGACAGCAAGTTTGTCTTTATATCTAGTATTAATATTATAATCATTCCATAATCATCCATTAAAAAAATATCTACTATTCTACTGTTATTTCTACCTCTATCTCTCGTTCGCCGAATGTTTTCTATCTTCCTCTCCATCTCTTGCTTCTTCTCTGTCCACATCTTTGCTAATTTCTGGCTCGTTCTATTGTTCTGTTTCTGCTTCATTTGACTTTGCAGCTGATGAAGAAGCGCGAGGCGTATATCTTGAAGTTCATCTATTTCCTAGTAACAGACAATTTTCTGTATGTAGTTCAACCGTAATATAACGAACGGAAATATTATTATATCCTACATTAAAAAAAATATTTCGCATAATATAACGGACCGAATATAATTATTTTCTAGATAAAAAAAAATATTTCATAGATTTTATTTCCAGAGACACGTTTAAGATTTATAAATTATCAAATCTGTAATTATGTTTTTGCTTACAGTCATATGAGTATGTGCGCCATTTTGTAATGATAATTAATTACTACAAAAGCACGCACGATTGAAGAACACGGGAAAGTGCTCACTGGTTATTTATTTTATTTCTACTCTTATATATATGTATATATATAAATAGCTATTTCACATTATCAATCTATAACTATGTCTTTGCTCCATAGTCAGATGTCCGCCATTTTGCAATGACAATTAATTATTACAAAATGGCGCTAAACCACTCACGAATGTTGTACGCGGGAATGTGCTCACTGTTTGCTCGCGCGGTCTTTCTCGTTCTCTTTGTGTAGGTTTTACATGCACATTTACATGCACATTCTTTCAAAGATGGTGCACGATAAAGTACTTTTTATTTTTACATTGGTCAATAAACGAAACATATACATCAAAAAACACCCAGACCAATAAAAACAAACATATTCACGAATAAAAATATCCGTATAGCAATCTAACTGGCGACCATTGAGGTCAGCACAATGTTAGAAGAAATACTTTTAGAAATATACCGCCTCTCTAAATATCCAATCCTTGGTTTCCACGTCTGTTATGATGGCGTCGGTTTTCTTCATCCAGCGAGGATACTGGCCCTTCTCCACCAACTGCCCCCAGGATCTAGCGTGACGCAATCTTCGGACAAACAAATGTATTCGCTATACTTTTAACATGGGAGAGAAAAGAAACATGGTGGGATATTTGGTAAAAAAAATTAACATGGCAGAGAAACAAAAGGAAGGAAACATGAGATTTTTGAAAAAAAAATTGACATGAAAGAAACAAGAGAAAAACCATTGGGATTTTTGGTAAAACAAAAATTGACATGGGAGAGAAACAAGAGGAAAAGGCATGGGATTTTTAGTAAAAAAAAATCGACATGAGAGAGAAACAAGAGGAAGGAAACATGAGATTTTTGAAAAAAAAATTGACATGAAAGAAACAAGAGAAAAACATTGGGATTTTTGTTAAAACAAAAATTGACATGGGAGAGAAACAAGAGGAAAAAGCATGGGATTTTTAGTAAAAAAAAATCGACATGAGAGAGAAACAAGAGGAAGGAAACATGAGATTTTAGGTAAAAACAATAATGTTTATGTAATTGGAATCTGTGGTAACAGGCTAACCATAAATATTCTTATAAATTAAAAAAATCGAGAGAAAAGGAATTTAAAACATTATATTTGCTAAAAAAGATTTTCTAAAAAACCTTTTTTTTGTGATTGGATGCTGTTTTACCAGGCTAACTAAAAATATCTTTATATTCTAAAAATATAATGGATTCTCCAAATGAAACTACATTTTTAGAATAATAATAACCCTGAAAAATTCACACAGCGCCATCTAGTCCCAAGCTAAGCAGAACTTGTGTTATGGACCGACTGATAGTTATACTTCGTGATTTTTTTTTAAACATACATAATATACATAGAAAGCACCCAGATCAATAAACAAGCATCCTTATAAATACAAATGTTTGTACCGTGCGAGGAATCGAACCCGCAACCATCGGAAATAAAGCAATGTGCTAAACTGCTGGCCACTGAGGCTGTCAAGCAGCCTCTATGCTCTAAGTAGAGGTTCCCAAACTTTTTTTTTGTGTCGTAGACCTCTTGCCATATTTTTCGGTTTTGGTTAGACCTCCCATTCTTACCTGGTAGTGATTTTTTGTAAATTTCTAACTGTAGTAAAGTTTAGTGTTAAAAACATAAAGTAAAAACAAGATGACCACTGTCGTAGACCCCTTGCAGTTTGTCATAGACCCCTGGGGGTCGATATAGACCACTTTGGGAATTACTGCTCTAAAGCTTCTCTGAAACCGCACTGTCCGAGACCACTTAGGTTCCAGGGTGAGTGGATCAACTCCCTGTCGATGGCGAGTGGTGCGACGGTAAAAAGTGGGGATATATAATAGAAGATGGTAAAATACAATGATAGTTTAAAAGATACCTACTTGTTTATAATTTCTGTGGTATGGAAGTCGGCCGGCAGATCGCCAGTACGATACGGGAAACCAGGTCCTAGAAATAAATACAATAAAAACCTCTAACAATATAGAAATATAATAAAAATAATTAATATATATTAATAAAAATACCTTTTTGGCCGTTCAAAGAATTATTATGTTAAAATTATAGTCTGACTAACTACAATTTTAATTAGTACTTAGCGATTTTTTATATATGTGACAGTAACTCTGTCTGTCTGTCTCGCTTTCACGCCAGAACTACTGAATCGATATAAATGGAATTTGGTAGCTGTGACGTGGTCAAGTGGAATGAGTAGTCATGCTCACTAAAATGTCCAGACATGTGGCGGCGTGGTGGGCCGGGTCATTGTATTTTCCATTCTAAAAAAAACAATAACTGTATGGGCTTGGACTCTTTGCCTTTCAAATAAGGATAAATAAAATTAAAAAGAATATAATGGTTGGCATACCCCATTCAAGTTTATCCAGAAACAGCACCTCTGGCGTCGTTGTACAGTTGTCAGCCACTTTGGCGTCTGGCTGCCATGGTATCGTCTGTGCTGAAGATTCCCTTTAACGTATAAAATTCTATATTTCTATCTTTTTATAGCACAGGGGACAAACGAGCTTGCGGCTCACTTAATGAAACCGCCGCTCATGAGTGCAAGCAATACAACTTGGAAAAGAATTGCAAGAGCATTGCCGTCCTTTTAAGAAGGAATAAGATCTATTCTTGAAATTTTTGATTCTGAATGAATTTAAACCTTAGAGTATTGATTTCGCCTTAGAGTACTAGTTATCCTTACCACTGTAGCGTTATATATTATAATCTCTCTCTCTACCTGCGACTTCGTTCGCGTGAAAATTAACTATATTTTTCTAAAATAAAAGTAACCTAAGTTACTCCTTATTACGTCAGCTACCTGCCAAAAAAAGTCCCGTCAAAATCGGTCCAGCCAATTCGGAGATTAGCCGGAACAAACAGACAGACAAAAATTGTAAAAAATGTCATTTTAGTGTATGTACCGTATTTATATTCATATGCATGTAGTAAAAACGGTTATTTCAATAATACAAACAGTATTTAATTTTATTTGTAGGTATAGATGTATAGATGATGAGGTGTCGCTACATAATATATTGTTTATTGTATGTAGGTAGTGAGTATACCGGTGAAATGATTGTACTATTTATTGTACATTACTAAGTTTATTGATTTTTTTTTATACTACTATGGTGGCAATCAACCATACGGCCCATCTGATGGTAAATAGTTACCGTAGCCTATGAACGCCTGAAACACCAGGGGTGTCACTTGCGCGTTGCCGACCCTTAAGAAACCTTAATATACCCTTCTTGAAAAACCCCATGCTGTAGTCTCGTGGGAAAACCTCGGCAGGAAGTTCATTCCACAATCTAAGTGTACGCGGGAGGAAACTCCTCTGAAACCGCACTGTTCGGGACCACTTAGGTTCCAGTGTGTGGGGATGAATTCCCTGTCTATGGCGAGCGGTGCGGTGGTAAAAGGTGGCTGTCGGCATCATGTCGAACAATTCCTCAGAACACAGTCCGTTGTATAATCGGTAGAACACACAAAGCGAGGCGAAGTCTCGCCTCAAGCTGAGTGGCTCGATACCGCCAGAGAGATTGGGATCATCGACAATTCTCATAGCACGTCTCTGAACCGAGTCAAAAGGACCGAGCTGGTATCCAGGTGCTCCCGCCCAAAAATGAGAGCAGTACTCCATGTGCGGCCGAACCTGTGACTTATATAAGAGATAGTGTGCTACATGGGTTATTAGTAACGCGTAGATTCGACGCGGAGTCGTAACGTGGCCTAACTTTACACTGAACTTATTAGTAACGCGTACATTCGACGCGGAGTCGTAACGTGGACTGACTTTATACTGAACTTATTAGTAACGCGTACATTCGACGCGGAGTCGTAACGTGGACTGACTTTATACTGAACTTATTAGTAACGCGTACATTCGACGCGGAGTTGTAACGTGGCCTGACTTTACACTGAACTTATTAGTAACGCGTACATACGACGCGGAGTCGTAACATGGCCTGACTTTATACTAAACTTATTAGTAACGCGTACATTCGACGCAGAGTCGTAACGTGGCCTGACTTTATACTAAACTTATTAGTAACGCGTACATTCGACGCGGAGTCGTAACGTGGACTGACTTTATACTGAACTTATTTTTTTTTTTTTTAAATTGAGTCTGTTTGTTGTACTCAATGCTTTAGCGTTTGCGCCTGTGGTTTACGCTCGCTTTAGCAGAGTTTACTGTGTTTTAGCAAGTTATGGTTTGGATAGAGTTGTAATTAGAATATAAGAATATAATTATTGAAATATATACATTTTTTTATAAATATATACAATTGTTTATATAATAAAACATAAGACAAGATTAACGAATTAACAACAAAAAAAAAAAAACAAACAAAAAAAAAATAAAATGAAAAACAATACGAAGACTATCAAAACAATATAAAACAGAAATAAAAGAACAAAACAAAACAAAACAACAATAGAGATAAAACAAAACAATTAACAAAAGATTAAACAAAATAACAAAACGAAAAGCAAAATAAAGACGTTGGTGGTTTGGATGACGATGGTATGGATATGATGATGATGGTATGAGAGTGATGATGATGGAGGTATGGGAATGTTGGTGATGATGATGATGATTACGTCTGATTAAAATGTTTGAGGTTGTGAATGATGTATGATATGTGTGATGTGAAAGTGTCGATGGTTGATTGATGTTTGATGATGGATGGAAGATGGAATGGTTCTGAGACCCGAACCATGCTACAGGCCGTCTCATGGTCGAGCCTCGTGGGACCAAACCTCGGACACTCCTTGACGAGATGCTCCATAGTTTGCGGAGCATCATCGTTGCAAGGGCATTTGTCGTCCGAGGTGATCCCGAACCGTTTGAGGTATGACTTGGAGTATGAATGACCGGTGAGAAGCTGGGTGAAATGAAAGTTTGGAGGGAAGGCTTGTATCACAAGCAGCAGCTCAGCGTAATTGCTGCACCACTGCTTGGTATACTGGCAATTGTCTGTCGTGTCGTATAAGTCCTCTAGTTCGGCTTTACTTAACTGCATGAAGTGATGTTTTATGTAGCTGAGGGGGAATTTGGAGAATGAAGGGGATGAATGGGAGTTGGCTGCTGATTTGGCCGCGAGGTCGGCCTCCTCATTGCCAGATATCCCGATGTGTGAACGGATCCAAATGAATGATATGTTGATGTTGTGATGTTTGGCTAGATGGAGTGATTTAAAAATGTTATTACAAAGATGATTGGTGCTGTTATGATTGGACAGTTCCATCAGCGATGACTTGCTGTCCGTGAGGATGATTGCGGGTGACAGTTTTTTTGTGATGATGAGTTGGCATGCTTGGTCGATGGCGGCCATCTCCGCTTGGAACACCGAGCAGACATCATGCAGTTTGAGCTTCTTGCTCAGAACTGTAGAGCCGCTCGGGTTCCGGATGACGACCGCTGCACCGACCTTGCCGTGATGTTTACTCCCATCGGTGTAGCAAGTGAATGAGGTGGGGTCGAGAATGTGTGTGAGTTCCTCGGCAGAGTCGGCTTCCATAAAGGATATTCCCCTTCTCTGCCTAGGATGAAGGAGATCGGAAGGTGGAGTGGGTGAGTCGAGTGGAATGTCATGTGGCAGAATTCCGGCAACTCTGCGCACCCGAGCAAGCTCGGCCTGCGCAGCCGCCCGAACCCTGCCACATATGGGATGAAGACCGGCCAGGACGATAGCCGCTGGTGTGCTGATCGTCCTGAACCCTCTGATGATGGTGATAGCGAATGATCGTTGTAATGAGGTGAGTTTGTTTTGGCAGAGTTTGAATTTGAGCGCTGAGCTCCAAATTCCGGAAGCATAACAGATGATGGGTTCAATGACTTGATGGTAGATGGTTCTAATGTTTCCGGGGCTGACACCCCATGTGGGACGAATGAATTTGATGATTTTATGATATAGTTTTGTGCATTTTTCGATGGTGTGATTGACATGTTGGATGAAGGTGAGTTTGCGATCGATGATGACTCCGAGTAGTTTGATATGGTTATGAAATGGGATGATGTGACCGTCCATATGGATACGGCACTTACGGGCTTTACTGGTGAAGGTGATGGCGACAGTTTTGGATGGTCCGAATGAGAGTTTGGAATCTAAACCCCAGTTGTGAATTTGATGCAGAGCCTCATCCGCGGTCACCTGAAGTCTGGCCGCGCTTTTCGCCTGAACAATCAGGAGCACATCATCAGCGAATGCTTGAAGATGGCATCCTTCCGGAAGGCTCAGGTCGAAAAGCCCGTCCAGGACCAGGTTCCACATTGCCGGCCCACATACAGAACCCTGTATGCAACCTCTCGACAGTGGTTTGGCGGCTGAGGCATCTGCCAGATTTAATGAGACTGTTCTGTCCCTCAGATAGCTGGCCAGAACAGCGTAGACATTTCTGGGGCAGCCGATGAGCCTAAGTCTATTTAGGATGTTAGGCCACCAAGATTAGTAACGCGTACATTCGACGCGGAGTCGTAACGTGGACTGACTTTATACTGAACTTATTAGTAACGCGTACATTCGACGCGGAGTTGTAACGTGGCCTGACTTTACACTGAACTTATTAGTAACGCGTACATTCGACGCGGAGTTGTAACGTGGCCTGACTTTACACTGAACTTATTAGTAACGCGTACATTCGACGCGGAGTTGTAACGTGGCCTGACTTTACACTGAACTTATTAGTAACGCGTACATTCGACGCGGAGTCGTAACGTGGCCTGACTTTATACTGAACTTATTAGTAACGCGTACATACGACGCGGAGTCGTAACGTGGACTGACTTTATACTGAATACACTGAACTTAAATCTATGTTAGTGAAGATGTAAACTAATGGAAGGATCTCAAGTGTCGACAGAAATATTACAAATATTAAAAAGAATTAAAAAATCCTACTTTACCTGAACAAGCATTGGGTGGCTCTACTCCTGGGTTTGTTTGCGCTGGGCGGTATGTAAACTGGAGTTGGAGGATGAAAGTCGGGTGTTAGACTTGGTATTGCCATCAGTTTCTTTGGTCTGAAAAGATAATAAATAAATAACCCTGCACAATTCACACAGCGCCATCTAATCGCACGGTAAGCAGAGCTTGTGTTATGTGTATTAGACAACTGATATAAATACTTAGATTTTTTTGTAAATAATCATTACATATTACATAGTGTTAAAGTTCATATCAATATTGTAGAAAAATCCGATATTTTTAAAAGATATTAAAAAAAGGTTGTGTTTTAGTATTAAACTTTTAATATTAAAAATTAAAATAAAGTATCGAATATAAAGCTTACTACAAATATTGTAAATAGCGCCATCTAGTATTTATGGACCAAACTAAGTTGTTTGTCAATAACCGTTAACCCCGCTTCTCTACCTACTACACTGACTTCGATCTATAAATACGGAGGTCGGTAGTTGAATAATTCTCTTTCGTTGAATAAGCCACGGCATTCAGTCGACAAGCACAGAACGAGCCGATTGTGTTTTGGATACTAAAGTGAATTGTATTAGAAATGGGTTTATCCCAGTCTTAGTTGGACCTGGGGGGAAGCTGCAAGTAGTGAAGGTGAGTGTTAATGCATTCTAAAAGGGCCTTTTAAACCTACACGCGTGTCGCAAGTCACGGGCGCTACTTGGGGTTTCTCTTCCGGTAGCCGGCTTCAAAGCTTAAGTCGGTAATTTTAGTAATTAATACTGCTTTGGCGTTGGTTCTTGCTTCCAGCGCCATCTATATCCGGAGCTAGCGATAACACTGTTATTCTATTGTGTGTAGAGAAGTGTTATAAAAACTTACGCAGCGCTGAATTTAAACCGGTCTTTCCCAGTTAGGTGCGGCGTGGGGACACTACTAGAGTGTCTCACGCGCTCCACATAAGCGCTGTATGAACGGTCCATGTGTGCTGGTAGACGGCAGTTTGGGTGGTATACTGCACAAAGCAATAATTTTCAATATACACACAGCGCCATCTAGTCCCAAACTAAGTAGAGCTTGATTTTTTTTATCGATTAATGGAATGGTGTACTCGCCTGCGCTAACGGTGTACGCTGGCGGGGCACCAGTGGACGATGATAAGTTCAGCATAAAGTCAGGTCAGTTAGCACATTGTGATAAATTCACCAGGAATTTTTGATGGTTACCGTAGCCTATGTATGCCTGAAACACCAGGGGTGTCACGTGCACGTTGCCGACCATTAAGAAACCTTAATATACCCTTCTTGAAAAACCCCATGCTATAGTCTCGTGAGAAAACCTCGGCGGGTAGTTCATTCCACAATCTAAGTGTACGCGGGAGGAAACTCCTCTGGAACCGCACTGTCCGAGACCACTTAGGTCCTAGCGTTTGGGGATAAATTCCTTGTCGATGGAAGTCTTCGTGTTTCATTTGCTATCGTAACACTTACCAACACGCATCCTGGGACATTTGCGTATTTCAGAAAACATCGTGCTGTATACTGGCTGAATGACCTGAAATCGTACATTATATTTTTTAAAAAGACTCAACGAATGTAAACTTTGCATTTTAGAAAATACACTTTGTAGGTTTTAAACCGAGTATAACACATGTCAACACACCACTGCAAGACAAGCTTATTCCTTGTTAAAGGTCGGTGTACCTGTAGTATATATGGGAAAGAGAAGGAAGTATTGTCGTCTCTAGCGCACGCTGCTGGCGTCATGAGGCCATTAGGCCATTATATCGTGAAGGGCAAGTGAGAACAGTGGTGTGAGTCTGAATGCCGATAATTAAGAAAGTAAACAGTATAGTACCCTATTAAAATTATATATGTATATGAAGAAATACATGTACCTGAACTATTTAACTACTTACGATTTGGGCTGAGGCCATGGCTGCCTTGAAAGCCATTCTCGCATAGTCCCTCGCTCCGGATACAATGAAAGCCGAATCTAAATAAAATGTTAAAATTATAGTTATCACTTCTGGATTTTCGGGAGTGGTGGGGTACAAGATGGCAGCCTATGAACATTACTGTTACGGATAAAAAAAGACATTATATGAACAGTCCGGAACGGACTCGGACTTATAAAATGTTTCTTATGTTCCTTAGCATCATCTGCTTCTTCCTTATCCCATTTATTCGTGATCAATGTAATATGTTTTTCTATTCTATTCGTTCCTGTTCTCAGCCATCATGTTATTTACTTACTTTCTTACCACATCATCTTACACACAGTCCATCCATCTCTTTTTCGGTCTTCCTCTGTACTTATGTATAACCATCCACATTCATATGTAACAGCTTCCTTAAAATGTGATCCTTCCTTCCTAATATAGTTTATTATTATTTATTGTACGCTAACTACCCGCCCCGGTTTCGGACGAGTGTACATGCATTATATCTACATATAAAACTTCCTCTTGAATTACTCTACCTGTTGTTAAAAGTTGCATTAAAATCCGTTGCGTAGTTTTAAAGACATTCATTTTATACTACGAGTATGTAAAGAGTACCAAAAAAGTACAGATCCGAATTTGAAAATTTTTTTAGTGTTGGATAGCCTCTTTATGGAGAAAGGCTTTAAAGCTAAGTATATAACATCACGTATAAATTACTTTATGTAATATGTGATCCATATCCATATACATCCATACAACAGGTGGACCAACGATCTGGTCAAGATCGCTGGAAGGTGATGAATGCGAGAAGCGCAGGACTGATCGTCGTGGAAATCTTTGAGGGAGGCCTTTGTCCAGCAATGGACGTCTCCCGGGCTGAGATGATGATGATGATGATCCATATATATATATTTTTATATTCTATTTTCTGAATAATGTGTGCTTGATTTCGATAATATTAATTTTAAATAATAGACTTTTTATTATACTTTCATTGTAAAATTTATGTTTATTAATTTATGTTTAATAATTTATGTTTCATAAGTATGTATTTATTCCTAAGAACAATGTAATCTATTCAAAGTAAATACATTATTAAAAACGTTACTGACCGTACAAGTAATCGTGCACCCTCATTTTTGAAACGTTATGACGTCTGGATGCCTCGTATAATGTTTCTCCGCTCATCTTAAAATGTAGTTTATTATTCAAATATTACATATAAAACCCCAGGTTTTTTGAGCAACAATAGGACATCTATTATTGAATAAACATTACGGTTGCTAAGCAACAAAAACCATATTTTTTAATGTAGGAATACGTTATCTTCCTACCAAAACTCTGCCTTCCCGTTTCCTAAACTTGCCTTTGGCGAAATCGCTTTGTTCCGAGCCATATATATAAAAAAGAAAAAGAGTTGGCATAAAGTTCTTAGACTAAAGAACTTTATGCCAAGTCATATATAAAAAAAGGCATTTCTCAATTATTATCTTATATATAAAATTCTCGTGTCACAGTTTTCGTTCCCATACTCCTCTGAAATTTTGTGAGCGTATTGAGTAGGTCTGAGAATCGGCCAACATCTATTTTTCATCCCCCTAAATGTTAAGGGTAGTCCACTCCTAAATTTTTTTTTTATTTTAAGGCAAAACAACGTTTGCCGGGACAGCTAGTTACATATAAAAACCAGGTTTTTTTCCCCTCCTCCATTTTTGGCTTTGCCTTCGCATTTAGCCAATATCAAAGTTAGGGAAATGTACACAGAGATATAAAGAATGGAAAGGAATGAAGAAAAAAGGATTGGTTGGGTTGTGTAAAAAGAGCAACACACAAGTTTCTTGCTTGTTTTTCTTGTGTTGAGACAGCATTCCGAATGAGCGGTATATAAAAAAAAAAAATGTTATGACTATTCAAAAGTGCTTCAATGTAAGTGTATTTGAATAAATGATTTTCAATTCTATTCTATTGTTGAATAAACATTGCGGTTGCTAAGCAACCAAACCTTTTTTTTATAATGTAGAGATAAGTTATCTTCCTACCCAAACCCCGCCTTCCTGTTTCCCAAACCTGCCTTTGACGATAGTACTTTGTCGAGTCATATATAAAAAAAGGTATTTCTCAAATGTTATATATAAAAAGGCAGATTTGTTCAGCGACAATTGTAGTTGTGTCACAACCAAACATTTTTTTATAATGTAGAGATACGTTACGTTCCCAATCCCCAAACTTGGGAAACGGGAAGAAAATCCTTTGGCGAAATCACTTTGTGCCAAGCCAAATATATAAAAAAATCTAACGTCATCTGTCATTAGAGAATGATAACGTTTATATATTATACTAACTCTCTGTACTACAAACCATGACATTGGCAAAATCACCGATCAAAATTGGTGGCGGTCATTTAAAACAAAGAAGAAGAACTGTCTGTACAAGTCTTGGATAATGCGGTTTCAGAGGAGCTTCCTCCCGCGTACACTTAGATTGTGCAATGAACTATCCGCCAAGGTTTTCTCGAGAGACTACAGCATGGGGTTTTTCAAGAAGGGTATATAAAGGTTTCATAAGGGTCGGCAACGTGCACGTGACACCCTCAGTCTCTCAGGCGTCCATAGGCTACCATGTACCATCAGATGGGCCGCAGACTTGTTTGCCACCATCGTAGTATAAAAAAAATACACTAGGATAATACTTAGTACTTACTATGGCAGTATATTTTAAATAATAAACAGATTTAAACGTATATTTTTCATATATTATTTAAAAAAAAAACAGAATTATGTACTTAAATAATTAAAGGAAATATGCTATAAGTACATTTTCAACACACTTGCTCGTAAAGTGTATCTGATTTCACCTATTTTATATATATAAAGGAGCTCATAAAACACGTGTGCGTTATAAACGCAAACAGTTATAGTCCAAAACCCCACTGTTTGGTATTTTATTTCTAAAATTTAAAATCTCGAATTATCCGCCGCGCTGCGCCGACCATAGACAGCGCGCTGATTTAAAAAAGTAAAACGGCGGGAAAGCAACATTGTTTATCACTACGATTGATTTAATCTTATTGTATATTTATATTTGACCCTAATAAATTAGTGCTGGTTGGTAGTTTGTATTCACACGTTTCGACTTCCCAGCCCCCTCCGATCGATCCCCCGTCCAATTCAAACGGGGATCGAAATTACGACGGCCTGAGCCGAGGTTCGAACCCCTAGTGGTGCCCTCAGACTAAAGTCGTATCCGTCGGGCAGGAGTTGGCCTTCAGCCGCTCCATAAGTCCTTCCTTTGGTTTGGAGTGCCATCTGCACTCGCCCCATAACGTCCGGTGAAGCTGTAAAGGCCAGCTACGGCCAACAGCATTAGAGTAGTCCGAAAAAAAAAAACGTTTCGACTTGTAAATGTAAACTTACAAGGATTATTTAAAAGAGCAACACACAAGGTTCTTGTTCTTTTAGTGATGAGACAGCTTTCCCAATGAGCGGTAGATAAAGAAATTGTTATGACTTAAATATAAAGGTGCTTAAATTAAGTTTATTTGAATAAATGATTTTCTATTCTATTCTATTCTTTTATGGTTGAGTTTATTTAAAATCAAGTGTGTTGAAAAATGTCATACGATATACGTGCGTATTTAACACACTTAGCTCTATTACGACCTCGGCTCGCTCGGGCTGAAATTCCAACTCATGTGTTATAGCCATCATAACGCACTTATATTGAATAAATGTATATAGTAACATTGTAAATAAAACTACATCTTACCGTAAATAATTTTGACAAATAATTTATTTTAGAGCTTATTAAAGTTATTAATATTTTACAAACTCATTTCAGCACCGGTGTTCTATGTATCATTATCGATATGATATTAAAATATAATTAAAGCGAGTTTCAGGACATTTCCTACTATGTTACAATAATATATGTATTTATTTTCCGTAAGAATATTCAGTAGATCTGAGAATAGAACATAAAATAGAATGGTCCATCCCAAATATATACTGTTTATATAAGAATCACATCTACTTGGATCCCAGCATATGTTTCTTTTGTTTATTTAGTATTTCTCCCTAAACTTTAAAGAAAAAAAATCTAATGGCAAGATATATAACATCGTCGGTTAAATAGAAACATGGCACTATTCAAAATGTACATTTTTTACAAGACGAGCATTTAAAGTTTTTTTTAATAATATTATTTTTCCTTTAAAGTTTTAACAAAAATTTACACAGAAGTGTTATTTATATCATTTTAAAAGTATTTAGATAATGATTAAGACGACGCGGCGTGGTTAATTTAATTGACTTATGTAAAAGGATGAATGGTGAAAAATGTAATTTTTCTATTTAATTGTGGTGAAAAATGTAATTTTTCTATTTAATTGTGGTGAAAAATGTAATTTTTCTATTTAATTGTGGTGTTAAATGTAATTTTCTATTTAATTATGGTGAAAAATGTAATTTTTCTATTTAATTGTGATGTTAAATGTAATTTTCTATTTAATCGTGATGAAAAATGTAATTTTTCTATTTAATTGTGGTGTTAAATGTAATTTTCTATTTAATCGTGGTGAAAAATGTAATTTTTCTATTTAATCGACGACATATTCAACTATACATTTATAATTATTTCAAACAAGTCCTTGCTCTATCACATTTTTTACGCACAACACAACGGATTTCTCAACTGCATGAATGAATATATGCTTCTTCAGCTCCTGCTTCGTTCTAAAACCTGTACTGCACACGTCACAACTATGTGGTTTCTCAGTGTGTATACTGTCTAAGTGTTGTCGCAGACACTTCTTCGTTTTAAAGAATTTCTTGCACAGATCACAGTTGTACGGCTTCCCACCTGAATGAATCAGTACATGTTGCTTCAAGTACCTCTTCGTCTTAAAACACTTCTTGCATATATGACAATCGTACGGCTTCTCACCAGTATGTATGAGCATGTGTTCCGTCAAATTAGTTTTCACTCTAAAGCATTTCTTGCATACAGTGCAGCTATATGGTTTCTCCCCCGTATGTATAAGACTGTGCTCCTTCAAATTGCCTTTCGTAGAGAAACATTTCTTACACACCTCACAAGTATACGGTTTTTCGCCTGCATTACTGTGATTTGATGTGTGTTCTCTTAAATTACTCTTTGTTGAGAAGCATCGCTTACAAATCTCACAGCTGAAGGGCTTTTCGCCTGTATGTGTGTACATATGCTCCTTCAAATGCGCTTTCCTTTTAAAACATTTCTGACAGACTTCACAACTGTGCGGCTTTTCAGGTCTATTTATACGTAATTGCTTAGATTTGTTTTGAGTAACATTTATAGTGTTCTTATTTAAATGTAAGAAATGATCTGCTACTGGTATGATTCCAGTATGTCCAAATTCCATACAATTATTCTTTAATACATGACTTTCATTTTGTTGTGGAAAATTATCGTTTTCCTTACCAGAAATGCTATTATTGCCATCCGGAGATTCTTCTGTTGTATCTATGTACTCTGTTTTTACAACTACATGTGTATCTTCATCATATTCAGTGCCTTCTTGTTTTATGTAATGCTCTTGATTTGTATTTATTTCCGGTTTACACTCTATTTCTTCTTCCTTGATTGGGATAGGTTCAACCTTAATATCATTAGCATTAAGTATGTTATTTGCTTGTGTATCATCTGTAACATCTGGCTCAGGTTCAAGAGGCTCTATTTTGATATATACTGTGGTACAATCAGGATGTTTCGCAGACTGTTCCGGGTGTAGTGTCTCAGAATTCATTGTGGCAGTTTGATTGTCCAATATGTTAGATACAATACCCAGTTTCTTTATCTTCAAAAGTTAGTTAACACTAAACTGCAATGCAAATTCATAGAAAAGTCAAGTCGTACCAATGGTACTTACAATAATACTAGCAAGTGGTGAGCATTACCATATAGGTACATGTCTCGCCTGCCCGGTTCGCATATACATGTGATACACTCTTATTACAGTACTAGGCACTGTCAGGTAAGCTAAGGTGTATGCATTTGTCCTAAACAGCTCAACTAGCCATGTCATTCTTAATAATTCATATTGATAGTGTTCCTTAGCCTCTTAAAAAGAAAGTCTCCATCTATGATTTCTATAAAAACATCATATGTAAATATTGCTTCACTATATGGTCTGCAGAATACCTGAAAAATTACAGAATATTATCTGTAAGAGATTGTTTTATATGCTAAATGTATAAATAGTGCTAAACAAAAGGCAGCCAGCTCTTTGCTTAAGCACCATTTGTGTCATTACTTGTTAGAAGAGTTTTTTAAAAAAATGTGGAGTGTAGACAACTTTTTGTTGTTATTTTTTTTTTACACAGTTCCAACATGTAAAAAAAAAATAACAACAATAATATACAATATTTAAGCATACTATAAAGGATACTACATGTGTTGTTGCTATCATGTTTCTGAGGAGAAATATAATAAACTAGCTGTGCCCACGACTAAAATACCCGCCCGTATAGACAGCGTAAAATGACGATACTTCCATATAACCTTTCAACCCCTTGCACCCTTGTTTTGCATTAAAAAGTAGCCTATGTCCTTTGTCAGGGTCTAGAATATTGGTGTACCATTTTTCATTTAAATCAGTTCAGTGGTTTCGGCGTGAAAGTGAGACAGACAGACAGACAGAGTTACTTTCGCATTTATAATATTACTAAGGACAAATCAATTATAATATAATTATTATGTATTAAAACACGTTTAGATTTAGAATCATGTTTTTTAATATCAATGTTTGTATTGAGGCTTACATGGAATGATTATATTTAGGACTTTTTTGATAAAAAGTTATATTGAGGGTGACAATAAAAGACACACACAATTATTGTTATACAACAATAATATTAAATAAATTATGAAATAAATAAATCATATTATTGTTTTTCACTGCTTAAGCTGGTGATTACTACAGAGGATGGGACGTGCCAAGTCTCATGTTACTTTATTTTGCATGATGATTTATTCTGTGGCATTTAGTAAGTGATGGACTATGAACATGTATCTATGATAACAGATAGATTATTATTATTATCAAATAAACTTAATATAAGCACTTTTGACAATAGTTGCATTTCTTCAAACAAAAGTAGCCGAACTGGACAGTACATCCCTTCCAGTTCGGGTACTAGAGTTCAGCGCTAAAAAATTATGACTTATAGTTAGAAAGTGTCCTGTAAGGGTTGGCAACACGTATGTGACACCCCTCGTGTTTCAGGCGTCCATAGGCTACGGTAACCATTTACCATCAGATGGGCCATATGCTTGTTTGCCACCTAAGTGGTAAAAAAAAAAAATATAATTAAAATTACTCTTCTACTTTGACTTTTTGTACCTAGACTAGCCCACAGATAACTTTGTACAATTTCGTCTGCAAGGGTTCCTCCATGTGGAACTGCGGAGCTTGGAAATCATGGTTATAAATTTCTGATGAATTTGTTATGATGAGCTAACTGACCAGACTTCATACTCATCATAGCATCCATGGTATCCCGCCAGCGTATACCGTTAGCACAGATGAGTGCACCATTACATTATCTATACACATATAAATAAAGTTGGAATGTCTGTTAGTAATATTGAAATAACTGTTTTTTACTACATGCATATGAATATAAATACAGTACATACACCAAAATAAAAAATTGTTAAATTTTTGTCTGTCTGTTTGCTCCGGCTAATCTCTAAAATAGTTGGATTTTGATTGGACTTTTTTTGGTAGGTAGCTCATGTAATAAGGAGTATCTTAAGCTACTTTTATTTTAGAAATATAAAGTTATATTCCACGCGGACGAAGTCGCGAGCAGTAGTCATCCAGAAAAACATTACATTGTCATCCATAAAAAAACCCACCGTCAGGTTGCGGTGTAATAAATAAAATAAATACTTACGGCTAAAATCTAAAACTTGCTTACTGCGCAAGTAAATAAATTTAATTATTTTGTACTGTTTTCTATTCAATACAGATTTGTTATATGGCAGAATGCAATATATTATTTCAAAAATTATAGTAAGAATCTGTGAAGTTTGAAAATGTTCCAAATAATAAATAATATAAATAAACAACAATATAGAAACGTCAGAAATACAAAGTAAATATTATATATTGATAGACACAGATCATATTCAATTGACCACAGAATGATTATTCAGACGGCATATCATATCGTGTTAAATAGTACTTACGTTTTTTTTTTTGATAACTGGCCAATATTGTACATATTATATTGATATATTATACATGCAGCGGTAATATCAAGGCTTGTAGTTTGAATTTTATAGATATTACTAATTTTTTATTACAGTAATAACTTATATTTTTCCCAGTGCCATCTAGTGTGAAGTGGATAAAATAGGTAAATAGTTATATACTTGTTGGTAGATGACGCTGTTGTTTTAAAACCGGTAATACGAAGTAATCAATAAAAGATAAAAAAAAACTCAATATGTATAGATTTCTACTTTAAAATTTGGCTACCTTCAGTCATTGCAAAATTCATGAGTTCTATTTATTTCTTCATTACTTATTATTCACTAAGTGAGCTTTACAGTTACCCAATATGCCCACTTAGGAAGATTGTGTACATATAGGTACACACACTTATACTAGTTACTAATACATACACTAATTATACAAGAAAAAAAAATAATCTTAATTTTCCATACTACATAAATAATCTATTTTGCCTATAAGTACACTTGGGTTGGGTTTGTTTCATGAATTCAATTATATTATTTTATTTTTAAGTTTCAATAACAAACACCAATTTATGTTGAATTTAGAAGGGAAGCGGACTGATGATCTTATTGCTAGCAATGTAACATGTCAGGTTGACTGCCACGCGGTTCTTCCTGGAAACCATCGTGATAAATTCTTTGTGAATTTGTTACGATGGACTGACACGACCTCATGCTCATCTTATCATACTCCACTGGTGTCCCGTCAGCGTAAACCGTTAGCGCAGGCTGAGTACCATTCTATTATCATCCTTAAAAAAATGGTTGAGTTTAGGGGTGAAGGGGATTGTTATATATATATAAACGAACGGATAATGTGGACTGATGATCTCATTGCTAGCAATGTCAGGTTGACCGCCACGCGGTTCCCACCTGGAAACCAACGTGATAAATTCATTGTGAATTTGTCACGATGGGCTAACTGACCTGGACCTCATGCTGATCTTATCATCCTATACTGGTGCCTCGCCAGCGTAATCCGTTAGTGCAGACGGGCACCATTCCATTATCATCCATAAAAAAATATGGTTGAATACAATGATGACTGGCTCATCTGTCATACGGTGAATGGGTGCTGCTTGTGGGGACTGGTTCGGGTTAAGAATACTGATTACACTATTTTCTTTTAAAATGAAACAACACAATATTTCCTCATCATTTTTAATCGATGCTGAATGTTTTTGAGTCTATCCCTATTAGTGAAGCCGGCTGAGCGCCTCGAAATCTTCTGACACCTCTCCGCCAGCCGTATCCGCTTCACAATTTTCAATTCAAAGCATATTTTCGAGCATTTCTTACACGGTAACCTCTCACCAATCTCGCAATGATCACCCACGTGCACGTAATGGAAATCCTGTTTGTTCTTCAAGAACGAGTAACAAATCTCGCATAACTTCATAGTCTCCTCCATTTTGCGACCTTCTTTCTCCTGTTTCGAGTACATTCGTTCGCATTCCACAACATGCTCCTCCAATTTATAATCATATTCGAATCCTGCGCCGCAGACCTTGCAAAAGTACGCCCAATGATAGTTCTTATTGTGTTTGTAATGATACACATAGTTGAGTCCGCATTTCCTGCATTGCGACTCCTTGTATTGCTTCTTTATTATTCCATGCTTTTCTTTTATGTGCTTTGTGAGATCGTGTTTAAGGTCGGAAATGTAGTAATCGCATTTCGGGCAAAAGTATAGCTCCTTTTGTTTTATTGTGATGTGATTCTTCTCATGTCTTATCGCCCAGTACCTGAGAAATTTTACGAGATGTTCAGTCATATTATGAATTTCTTTGAAGAACGTACATACATGGTTTGGACGGTAGATTCGACATATCCTAAGTCTGTAATTGACCTACATAAAGATATCTTGATTTGATTTAGGCTTTTATCCATGGCGTATAAGTAATATATAAAAAAAGAAAAAATAATCTAAATTAAAAAAATGTGCAAGTTTAATAATTAGATCTGAAAATATTAATTGCTCACTCTCTATATATTTAAGTTTACTACTGTATTCAAAAGTGTAATACTTTGTAAAACTGAGGTACACACTCGGACGAGTGTCTGAGTGTACAGTCCTACCATTTTCAGCAGCCTGGAACTACTAGAAGTAAGAACGCTAAACTAAAGAACGCTAGACTAGGTACCTAAATACCAAAGTAACCTAAATAATAAATGTGGTTCCCCCTGGAAAAAATCGTGATAAATTCCTGGCAAATTTACCACATTGTGCTAACTGATCTGACTTCCTGATCATCTTATCATCCTCCACTGGTGCCCCGTCAGCGTATACCGTTAGCGCAGGTCTACCTGACGAATCTATATTTTATAACTAACTTGGATATCCGTTATTTTTCGAATTTAGCCACAGTACTAGAGGAACTTGCTAGAACAAGCTCAAAACATAAGGCTCGGCTGTCCACCCTATTGATCTAGCCCAGAGATTACTCATTAACATCCCCCGAAAACGCCTAAAAAGGAGACATATACTGAAGTTGGATAAAGTGTACTCCAGTTCTTGAAGTTTTAACATAACGCCATGGCATCATTTAAAAAAAACTCGTGCATTTAATAGACTTCAGACTTGCATTTTTGTTTACCAACCAAACCAATTATAGTGCACTTACTAATTGCAGATAACAATAAGAATGTAAATAATAATATACTATTACCGATTAATAGATTTCACTCCACATACTCGACACACACAACTCTTACTTTTCATCAATTCATCATAGTGTACACTATTATTTTCATGACTGTCACATAAACGATTATCTTCATCAGTCACAACTGCATTTAATTCCTCTTCAAATAATATACGATTTCTAATGCCATTGCTATTTATATCACTAATAAAAATATCTGTATCATTTTCATCAAATACTTCAATTTCATCTTGTAATTTGTTTTGTGGAATTATCAAGTCATTCTTTTTATGTTTCAATTTAGTATCATCTTGGAACTTGTTTTGTGGAATTAACAATTCATTCTTTTTATGTTTCAATTTACTTTCACCTTGCAGTTTGTCTTGTGGTATTAACAATTCATTATTTTTAATGTTCAATTTAGTTTCAGCTTGTAACTTGTTTTGTGGAATTTTCAATTTAATACCTTTATGTTTCAATTTACTTTCACCTTGCAATTTGTTTTGTGGTATTAACAATTCATTCTTTTTCAGTTCCAAGTTACTTTCATCATGCAACTTGTTTTGTGAACTTATCAATTCTTGTTTTAATGATTTGTTAAGTTTCAATTTGCTACTTATATTAATATTATCACATTGTTGACTTGTGTGTTTCTTTGTGATGTGTTGTTTTAGTTTACGTTCTGACGTGAAGTGGTGGAGGCACTCGGCGCATTGGTAGACAATTAGTTTAATTAATGGTATTATTATGTGACTTGCATTGTGGATTAAATAATAGTATCTGAAAATAACATTTTTACATCTTACTAATCATAGAATAGTCGTATCGTTCAGGTTTTGGCTTTCAGCCGTTCCATAAGTCCTTTATTTGGTTTGGAGTGTCATCTGCACTCATCCCCTAGCGTCCGGTGAAGCTGTAAAGGCCAGCTGCGGCCAACAGCATTAGAGTAGTCGTAGTAGCGTAATTTTGTGAGTATGGATGGATGTTTGTTACTCTTTCACGCAAGAATTAGTGAACAGATTTTTATGAAACTTTGCAGAAATATAGCTTATACATAGTTTATAAATTTCATCAGGGTAATAGAATAAGAATAGACTTCGCATAGCTTTGTGTTCTGAAGAATTATTTGACATGATGCGCACAGCTACCTTTTACCATTGTCGCTATCTCATCACAAGAAGAACAAGCAAGAAACTTGTATCTTGTATTTTAAATAACCCTTGCATGTTCACATTTTTCATGTCGAAACATGTGAATACAAATTCCTAATCAGCACTAATTTATTAGGATCAAATATACACAATAGGAAGGGAGGAATTCGAACCCGCAACATAGTGTGCTAAATCATTAGAATAGAAAATCATTCACCAAGGGAGTCAAATATAATTAAATTTCAACTGCCAACCAGTTTGCTATATAAGCAGTTCCGGTTGTAGGTTCAGGTGAGGTTACCGCCTCAGCTGAACTCTTAATTTCAGGAGAACAAGCATGGCTTTCAATTTCGATCAGGTGGACCCTCATTTTCCATCTGGTAGACTGTCAATAAATAAATAAATGTGGTATAACTTTCCATCAGTTGGTACATCACTTTCCATCAAATGGGTCACCAGTTTCCACCAGGTGGTCTATTATTATCCATTTGTGGTCCATAATATTTATTAGATGGGCTGTCACTTCCGAATCAGGTGGACAGCCACTTTCCATCATATAGGCATTCAGCTTGTTTTCATTCCAGTTACAAAAAAAGGTATACTTGACGTATGGTTGATGACCTTGGTGATCAAGCCGTCTAGCACACCGCTTTACGTCCGATGGTCGCGGGTTTGATTCCTCGCACGGCACAAACATTTGTATTCATGAGTATGATTGTTTGTATCGGTCTGGGTAGTTTCTGTGTATAATATGTACGTATTTATGAAAAAAAAATCTATGTATTTGTATCAATTGTCTAGTACCCATATCACAAGCTTTAGCTAGCTTAACTTGGGTCTAGATAGCACTGTGTGAATTGTCATGAGATTATTATTATTATTATTATTATACTTGCTTGTTATAGAATACTTCATCACAGAATTCACAGCTTATAATGTTGTAAGAGCACAGGCTCCTGAGTGAGTTCACTTCAGCTTCATTTCTGACTACTTTAATTATCAATGGCTGTACATGCCCCCCATTCTCGTCACTAGTTCTTGGATATGACTTCCTTTTATTACTCATCAGAAATACTGAAAAGAGTAAATCTAAATTTAGAATAATCATTAGAGATGAAACGGATATCTAGAAAGTATCCGGCCTATCGGCAGTCTTCCGGGCGAATACCAGATAACTACTTGCATTCGGATAGGCGTCCACATTTTTTTAAGTAATTAATTGCTTTATTTCATTAGTCTTAGTATTACTTAAGGAATAAAATTAGTATTTAATTTTTAATCACACAATAGTAAATTACTGTTATAAAAAGAAAATGAGTTTAATAGTTAAGTTCTGCTGGATATCCGGCGGCTGAAAATTCGGTTATTCGGTTACATGGTTATGCTATCCGTTTCATCTCTAAAACTCATTACTTCACACCTGAGATTTTTTTAAACAAGCTGTTACTTGCATGTTTGTATGCAGGGTATTTTTTTTTTAAATAAATAAATTTAACACTGGCAGTGGTAAAATGGAATCACATGGAGTTTAATCTGCATAGTATATTGCTGGCAATGGGTCCAGGAAATCCAGGGTCCCTTGTGAATGATGGTAAAATGAGCTTGCGGTCAGGTCCGCACAATTAGTGCATTGTCAAAAAATTATAAGGAAATTATCATGGCGGAATGCGTTAGAGGTCAAACTAGCATAGTGCATAGCTAGCAATGAGTTTATTAATTTAACAGTTCTCTTCCTCTTCTAATAATATATTACTACTACTAAATTGGAGGGAAAGTGGATTCTTAGTAATGTGAACAGATAATCCCATTGCTGCAGGTTTTGCCCTGAACCTTGATAATTTCCTATATAACCTAATACTGAACCTAATAGGCTAAATTGTGCAATAAATATATCAATTAATAGTGACCCCATTAATAGCAATATCATATCCAGACCTTTTCACGTCCACGCGGACCCCAAGCGGAGCTAGTCATTAATCGTTAAATATTTTCAATAGTAATTTATGAAGTAGTTGTAGAATTATTTATTAGTAGCTTTTATTTAATAAACATATACTATGGAAAATATTTAACGATAAAAAATAATCAAAGACAAATAAGAATACTTTTTTAAAACTAGCGTCGTTAAACACGCACATAAATACATATAAACAAATTGTTTACAAAAAATTGTGCTGTAATAGCATGTTGCTTTCGCTACCTGTGTCGACGTATTCGTTTTAACTTATTATTTACATTTAAATAGGTTTATTGTACTTTACAGCTGAGCATGCAATTGAAATTACGACGGAAAATTTTAAAAACCTTACCTTAATAAATAATAAGTAAAATGATAAACATTCTATATACACATATAATAACATTAAAAAATAATTAATTAAGTGCTTACATTATTCTTTTTATAAAATTATTTACAAATTAAAATTAATATTCTTACAACTTAAAAATTATTATTGAAATAGGAAGTAAATACGAAAATGAATGAATTGAAGTTTGAATTTAGTGAATGAATCATAGATTTACTCTATGCGTTGAATGAAACTTTATGGTACGAAGTAACTGGAAGGTGCATAAGAAATAAATGTTTTATTTCGAAACTATAATTTTCATTTTTGTGGTCTTGGTAATGACAAATACAAAAGCTAACGGAGTTTTTTTCCCTTATATGTTCTGTGGCAAAAATTGAAAGAAGCATTCTTTAAGTAAGAAGGAAAGAAAGAACAAATATTTATTCAGTGCTTAACAAAGCAATGTTCATTTTATACATATGATGTTTATACATCTAATTCCACCGATAAGCATAAGATTTTTTTGAGAGTGGAACGTAGACATGAAATCTAATAATACAGTAATTACTCTGTGCTATGAAAATTTTTGGCATACCACAACTGTTACTGTCGCCGGAGCCAAAACGAGAGGAAAAAAAACTTTTACTGTCAAACTGACACATATGCAACAACAATAACAGAAGTCAGAAATTTCATATATTTAATTTGATGATATAATTTTATTTATTTATCGTATATTACATAAAAAAACATATAGAAATTTACTTATACAAATAAAAACTCTTTAGAATAATTCAAAACACAAATAACTTAATTGTGTTGTTGTCTAGTATTTAGAGACTATTTTTGCCAATTTTTATATGTAATTAATGAGTTTACCATATATTATATAAGTAATATAAATACAAAATCATGGTAGGTTCAATTTTGTATATTATATTAATCTATATATTCACATCTATCCACATCTGGCTTTTTCACATAGGTTAATGGAATGCCAGACATTAAAAAAAACAGATGAACAGAAATCTGTGATATCACTCATGTTACCGGGGGAAAAGGATTGTTAGTAATGGGGTAATTAGTTCATAATTACCCCATCGCTAGCAATGTACCATGACAGGTTGACGTCCACTGATAAATTCATGGTGAATTTGTCAGAATGTGCAAACTGACCTGACCTCATGCTCATCTTATCATCCTCCACTGGTGCCCTGCCAGCGTATACAGTTAGCGCAGGCGGAAGCATTATTCCATAACTTTTAAAAACTCATTGCCATTTGGAGGAGTGTAGGTTGAACTCCATTTTCCACAATTGGCCTCTCATTTGGACAATTGCCATTTGGAGGATTAATATCCTATTTTCCATGTACTATAAATAAAATACGCCATAAATTGTCTTTAATAGACGGATAGGCCATTATATATATATATATATAAATAAAATTAAATTGATTCCCTAGAAGTATTGTCTAATTTCAATTTAAATGTGTGATTAGAATTTATTTAAAACCTTTATAAACTCTTTTCAGGATATTAAAACATTTGCTGAACCAGATTTTGATTCTAAAAAGTGGATAAACAAAGCGTGGAGTTCAAGCGGTAATCAAGAAAAAGAGGTTGGTGTTATGTAACTTTTGAGAAATTAAATAATTATTAAAACTGACTTTGACTACTTACACTTACAGTTTTGATGAAACTTTATAGTAATATAGCTTATACATCGGAATAACATATTGGCTATAATATTCATGCATATAGCATACTGCTTTACTTTCGATGGTTGCACGTTTGAAACATTGCATGGTGCAAACATTTTATATTCATGAGTATGATTGTTTGTATCAGTCTTCTATGTATATTACAAAACAAAAAAGTATGTAAGTATTTATATCAGTTATCTAGTGCCAATAACACAAGCTCTGCTTACCGTGGGACTAGATGGCGCTGTGTTATTTTTTATTTATTATCATTCATTAAAAAAATGATGTAATAAATGTATCTTTTCAGGTATTTGTGGCCAATACTGTGTCTCGCCTGCAGCTATATATGAAACAGTTGACCAACTCATTGGACGAAACTACCACACAGGTCCTTATAATCCATATTATCCTAGTCCTTTATGCAATCCTAGTACTTAATAATAATTTCATCAGTACCTGATCAACTCTGTCAGGATGGAAAACTGGCACACATTTAAAAATATAAATTTGACGCCTTCGGTGGTCTAGCGGTGTAGCCTGCCTTACTTCTGATTCTCGCGGGTTCGATTCCTCGCATGGTACTAATATTTGTTTTCATGAGTATGATTGTTTGTATCGATCTCTGTGTTTTCTATGTATAACATGTGTATTTATGAAAAAAATATGTCTATTTATTTGTATCAGTTATCTAGTACCCATAACACAAGCTTTATCTATCTTAACTTGGGTCTAGATGGCGCTGTGTGAATTGTCCTGAGATTATTATTATTTATTTCTACAGTTCATATTCTCGAATTTCTTCAAGGTTGTTATTATACTTTATACCTATTTGGTACTGTAATTATTAATAATGTTTATATTAATAATTACAGTACCAAATAGGTAAATAATAATAATAATAAATTAAATTTTAATAATTATTTTCAGTGTACCAAATAAACAATTTTCTTTCTTTCTTTCCTTCTTTATAATTATTTGCAAAAGATTTTGGGATCATTACATATATGATGTTATTAAAAACGTGGCCTTTGCAAAATCTGCTTATATCAATCATACAAATCATTAAGTTATTAAAAGTTTAAGTATTAAATTATTGATTGTTTATTTATATAAACAAAACAAATTACTAGCTGCTCCCTCTGGCTCTGCCCGGGTGTACATGTATTACACATATAAACCTTCCTCTTGAATCACTCTATCTATTAAAAAATACCGATTCAAAATCCATTGTGTAGTTTTAAAAATTTAAGCATACATAGGGATGAACAGACAGCGACAGCGACTTTGTTTTATATTATGTACTAATTATTTATTCTACTTATTTTCCAGCTATTGACATCAATACCTAGGATACTGCAAGATGCGTCTTCTCTTCACCAAGAAGGTGCTATGCTGCAGCAGACACTGTTGTCCTTGGAACAGAAGGTCGAAGATGTTGAGCAGAGGACGGGTAATTCGATTGAGAGCTTGCAGAGGATCGACCACCTCAAAAGTAGACTGGAGGTAGGTAGCTATAATATAGCAACTATTAATGTACACAATATCAGGTAGAGATTATCGTCGACTGAATAAAATATTTTTCTTTCTTTCTTTCTTTCGACTGTGCAAATACGAATTCTCAAGTATTTTGGTCACATTAGCCGGAACGAACTCTGTATGGAGTGGCTAATTATCCAAGGTTCGGTTGAAGGCAGACGTTCTCGGGGTCGATCACCAACGGGATGGACTGACAGTATAAGAACGGCTACACAGCACTCCATGGTACAATGTTCTCGTGCAGCCAAAAACCGTACCAGGTGGAGACAAATTGTAAGGAGCTCTTTCGCCAAGGACCACAACGATACCATATCACAAAATATACCATGATGAAAGCCACGACCACTCTGCCAAGAGTGAACGACTGAAGAAGAAGAAAATGTATAGCTATTCGCCCCGGCTTTGCACGGGTGTACATGCATTATACATATAAACCTTCCTCTTGTATCACTCTATCTATTAAAAAACACCACTTCAAAATCCTTTGCGTAGTTTTAAAGATTTAAGCATACATAGGGACGGACAGACAGCGACAGCGACTTTGTTTTATACTATGTAATGTTAATGATAATAAAGAATACGAGCCGAGTTTCTCATCAGTTCTTCTAATCTCAAAATCATTCCGAACTGACGGTAGATTTGACATATCATAAGAGTCTGTAATAGACCGACATGAATAAAGATATTTTGAATTGATACATTCTAGAATGCGGCGTCGGCGCTCCGCGAGGCGGATAAATGGGCAGCCCTAGCGGCGGCCCTGGAGGACATACTGGAGGCCGGGCTCCCCACAGCTAACGACAAGTTGTTAGAGCTGGCTGAACAAGTGTCCGCCATGACCGCTAGTCTTGAGGTAAGTACAGATATTCATAAAGTTTTTATATACGTTTCGACTAGGTTGCAGCAGCCGTGGTCACGAGCTGACCGGAGTAACAGCGATGTCAATGTAGATAGGTGTCAGCAGTACTTCTTGTGGGAACTGGGCTGTTCGGGTTATCAACACTGATTAGACTATTTGCTTTTGCAATAGCATATGCTGGTGGTCACTCTATTCTCCCAAATTTGAATTTAAAAATGAATCTGTATTATTGTAAATATGTACAATATTTATTTTAAAGGAATACGAGCTGAGTTTCTTGTCAGTTCTTCTCATCTCGAAATCATTCCGAACTGACGGTAGATTTAATATATCATAACAGTCTGTAATAGACCTACATGAAGAAGGATATTTTGAATTTGAAAAAAAATTGAATTTGACTTATATAGGTACTGAGCGAGGCGCCTGACTACGAAAGCAAGAGGTTGCAACTGGAGGCCCTGTATAACCGTATGGAAGCGGCCGCCAGTCCGCCTCTCATTGAAGCCCTAACGCAGATGGACGCAGGTCAGTGTTACCCGTCGTGAAAACTAATAAACTGCCAGACTTCCGTATTTATAATATTAGTATGTATTTTGTACTACTTTACTTATAATGAATCCACTATCCATCTCTTTCATAAGTCTGTTCTCCTAGTACTTCTTATTAAGAACTCGGTGCTGGCGTTTCTTTATGTAATGAATATACAGAAATACTGAACACATTGCCATTTATTAGTATGGATTTTGCTCTATTTTACAATTCATGTATTAATCATCTCTTATTTGGTTCTGTTCTCCTAGTACTTTCTATTAGGAACTCAGTATGGATTTTGTTCTACTGTAACAATAAATCTATTGTTGTCACCTCTTTCATGATCCTGTTCTCCTAGTCCTTTCTATTACGAACTCGATACATTGATAAACAGACAGAGAAATAATCGCTATCTCCCATAACATACACCACTATAACACCTGAAAAGTCTTGAATCCAAAGTATAGTAGAACTTACAATACCCAATTTTAAAGTCGTGTTAAGTCACAATGGATGTTGCTAATTCGTTTCTACGACTTCCGACTTTATCTACCCATAACACGGTCTAAAATCACCACTTTCGCATTTATTATGGATATTTTGTTGTACTTTACAATAAATCCACTGTTGTCATCTCTCATGATCCTGTTCTCCTAGTACTTCCTATTAGGAAACGAGATATCTTGATAAACAGACAGATAGAAAAATACACTTTCGCATTTATTTAGTATCCACTGTTGTCATCTCTTTCATGATCCTGTTCTCCTAGTCCTTTCTATTACGAACTCGATATCTTAATAAACAGACAGATAGGATACACTTTCGCATTTATTAGTATGGATTTTGTTGTACTACAATAAATACACTGTTGTCATCTCTTTCATGATCATGTTCTCCTAGTACTTATTATTACAAACTTGGTATCTTGAGACAGAATAGAGATAGATAGATAGATACAGTTTCGTATTAATAATATTAGTTAGGATTACCACCATTCCATTATCATCGATAAAAAAAACTCTTACCCGAAAGGGGGGGTCAGGGAGAGGGGGCTTGTAAAAATCAAGATATAACACAGGGATAAAGGAAAGTTACATATTACATGAATTTGTTGGGGAGAGTGTCTAAAACCTCACCAGATCGAGAGAGGGAGTGCAAACTTAAAAAAAAAAAGAATAACTAGCTGTGCCCGCGACTTCGTCCGCATGGTAGAGAAGACAGTTGAGGAATTTCCATTTCATTCCCTATTTTATTTTCCCCCCTTAAGTGTAAAATATATATAAACTTTAAATATCATATTTATTTACATTTAAAAAATAAGTTTCACGCTCCTTGCTTTAAAAATGACTATATTTTACAAACTTCCATCTCCTCTTTCAACCCCATACAACCCTTATTTCGTATTATAAAGTAGCCCACAGATAGACTATACCCTTTCTCAGGGTATAGTCTATCTACTAATTTAAATTACATTTAAATTAGTTAAAACCTTGAACCTATTTAAATGTATTTTGATGCACAGATTTTAGCGTGAAAGCGAGACAGATATATAGAGTTACTTTCGTATTAGTAAGGATGGATCATGTCTGTGGTTGTTACAGAGCGCACGGCAACCTACATGTCGTTATTCGTGGGCATGTCCCGCGCGATATCTGTATGTAGATGTTGGCGCCGCGCGGCCTCCCAGCGTTTGCTGGCAGCCTGGTGCCGGCTCGCCCCGCCAGCGCCGCCGTCGCTCACCCGCCTGATAACTGGTGATGCGCCTCGTCAGGTAAACTTACATCAGATAAAAAAAACTTTACATTCGTTTGATACTAAATTAACAAAAAAAAACATGTACAAAATATATTAAATCGTTCTTTCCGAATGAGAGGTAGACAGACAAAAAATATACAAATGTGCTTTTATTAAATCTTATATATAAAATTCTCGTGTCACAGTTTTCGTTTCCATACTCCTCCGAAACGGCTTACCGATTCTCATGAAATTTTGTGAGCGTATTGAGTAGGTCTGAGAATCGGCCCACATCTATTTTTCATGCCCCTAAATGTTAGGGGTAGTCCACCCCTAAATTTTTTTTTTATTTTAAGGCAAAACAACGTTTGCCGGGACAGCTAGTTTATTTATAAATATTATATATTTGTACTTTGGTTCGATTTGCATAAATGCGATGCCAACTCTAGTAGGAGTGGTGTTAAGTTATTCAATGACACATTCCTTCTACTGTTTTCTGAGGGCCTGGTACAGTTCATCGACTGCACTAGGTCGCCGTCGTATAACACTGTGGACATACCTCCGTCTACTGCTGGGAGCCTGGTATCGCAGAAGTCTCTTGGTGTCTTCACAGGCTTCCCGGAGCGACCTCACCGTTCCGAGACCTCACCGTTCTCAGAACAAACACACTCCAGGATTACGTGAGCAGCCGTTTCTTCGTCTTCAAAGCAGCCCCGACAAATGAGACTGTTGTAACACCTATTGTATACAAGTGTTTGTTTAAGGGACAGTGGCCCGTTATTGTCCCTATCATTATTTTTAGGTTTTGCCTCAAAATGATAGACTCCCGACTAAGACTAAAACTGGATATGAACAAGAATGGTTGTTGCAGGTGGAGTGGTTGGTCAACGTGCTGAAGGTGGAAAGCCCTGTGGGTGAACTGTTAAGGCTGTACACAGACGTGCTGCTCTCATTAGACCCCTCACCGACTAAGGTAAACATAATAATAATAAGAAATTGAGAAAAAGAGAAAATATCTCGACCTGGCACGAGGTGACCGAAATGTGGGGGGTGATGTCCACCGAAATCATTCCAATCGTTATATCGGTGAACGGTCTTATCCCAACCAGTCTGGAACAACATCTCAGACGGTTGGGATTCCGGGGCGGCTTACTCCCGGGAAAGATGCAGAAAGCGGTGCTCTTAGATTCTGCCCGCATTGTACGCCGGTTTCTTTCCCTGGGGCCCTGAACCCCGGCCGACTGTGCTTCTGCCGGGGGTATGTTGCCATCTCCTCTCCTAAAGAGGGGAGATGAGAATTGTTGGAAATAAAAATAATAGATGAAAGGACATAATATCAGTCACACAATAAGTTCACACACACGAATTTCCATAATAACTTTCATTTTATTGTACCTCCTTAAGGGTAATATTTTTACGTACTTTTAATGGCATATTTAATTATATTCTTTATTGCACTTATATACAGAGTGTAAGAAGCACTAATTATGATGGACGACTGAGGCTTTGAAGCCGGCTACCGCAAGGGAAACCCTAAGTAGCGCCCGTGACTTGTGACACGGGGTAGGTTTAAAAGGCCCTTTTAGAATGCATTAACACTCACCTTCACTACTTGCAGCTTCCCCCCAGACCCATCTAAGACCGGGATAAACCCATTGCTAATATAATTCACTTTAATATCCAAAACACAATCGGCGCGCTCTGCGCTCGTCGACTGAATGCCGCGGCTCACCCAACGAAAGAGGATTATTCAACTACCGACCTCCGTATTTATAGACCAAAGTCAGTGTAGTAGGTTGGTCTATAAACACTAGATGGCGCAATTTACAATATTCGTAATAATCCTTACATTGGGTACTTCATTAGTACTAAAAACAAACTACCTTCGTTTAATATATTTTTAAAATATCGGATTTTTTCTACAATAATGATGTGAATTCTAACAAGAGTAAGAAACAATATATTTATAAATAAAAATGTGAGCAAGGGTGGGTTATCTCTGAAAGAGATCTCTTCCAGCCAACCCAACGCTTTGACAATGGACATATGTAGCGGATACTGGTAGTACAAGAGTTCTAAATACACAAATAGAATATTACTAAAGTAAGCCTATTAAAATGTTAGTGAAATGACATTTCCAGTGTTGCAAGTTTTTAGTCCCAAATAAATAATGATGTGGTAGAATCGAGTTTTTACAATTAAAAGTTAGTCGAGATTACATTTTTTTTATTCAAAATCAAATTGCCTTTATATAAATAAAAATTCTAGTATTAATTCCTCTGAATCTCTTTATACATTATTTCCCAGCTTTTGTAATAATATTATAGTGAGAAAATTTAATGTGCTGGTAAGTTCCATATTTCTAAAATCGTATTACTGAATACGATTTTAGATATATGGACCTTAGGAATGTCAAAATAATACTTTTTAACTGACCGAGAAACACATTTTTATATGTACATACAGTACGTACATATGGATGCCTTTATGCATTATATTGTAACGTGATTCACTAATTGTATTCACCCTTACCTGTTCTTTATCTTTGGCTCTGACCTGTTTAAATGTTTAACTGTATTGTTTTTAAATAACCAATTTAAATATAACTTTAATATTAAAGATAAATTCATGAGGTATCTGTTATTGACTTTACTAACTTACGTTAGTATTATGTTACGTTACACTGACAAGTAACTACGTTTCAACACTCCTATTATGTGCATACCATGCCTATCTACTTTCTATTTTTTTTTATAACACAGAACATAACTTATTTTTATTTCGCATATATGCACATAAATCTATAGGTATATGACCTACCTCAAAATATGAACTCTAATCTCACAAAGTCAGTGTTGTCTAAATCAAATCAAGTATACCTAATACGTAATATTGTATTAATAGATCGCATATAAATTACTCAACAAAATTCATCTGTCTACCTTGTACAGCCTTATGAGACTACAATACTATGACTGCAGATTTAAACTGCTCACAAAGACAAAGGGAAAGCAATCAGAATTAATAATTGTTCATCAGAACATACAAAGTTTTCCCGGCAGCGAGTTAATTATACAATTATTTTTAGAAAAGTATAATATTGATATTGTCTGTTTCACAGAACATTGGCTTAAAGAGAGCAATATGATGTTCAATTTAAATAATTATAACGTTGTCAGCTGCTTCAATAGAAAGTCAGTTAACAGAGGCGGGTCTATGATAATTGCAAGAAATAATATTAAAGTAAAGGAACGTGCTGACATTGTTAGACTTTCTATTGAGTGTTGTATAGAATTATCTTGTATAGAACTAGAAAATTATATCCTTATATGTGTGTACAGGCCTCCTAATAGTGATTACAATGTTTTTGAAGGGGTGATGGAGGATATTTTAAAAAAAATATTTAATAGTCTTAAAAAAATTATTGTATGTGGAGATTTTAACGTTGATATTCTTTGTAACACACCCACATGTACAAAAATTATTAGTTTATTTCAGTCATTTGATTTAAGTCATGTCTTTCATGAACCCACTCGTGTAACTGCCACGTCTGCTACTTGTCTTGACAATGTTTTTTGTAACTGTGAGTATACAGAAAAATTCATAATAAATAAACTTCCTTCAGATCACTGTGGTCAAGTTGTTAAGTTTAACAGTTAGATCAATAAAGTCAACAATAATAAAAAATCAAAAAGACAAATAAATGTTTACAATATTAACAAATACAAAAGCGCGATTAAAAATAAATTGGATTTGCTGTTACAATATAGTAATAATCCTGATTATCTTTACACCAAGCTAATTACTATTCAGGGATAACCGACTGCTTCACAGTCAACAATATGGTTTCACCGCCGGCAAGTCTACCACTGACGCAGGTGTAGCGCTGATAACACAAATTTTCCAATCATGGGAGAAGTCACAGGATGCACTCGGAGTTTTTTGTGACCTATCAAAGGCATTTGATTGCGTGGATCATAAAACACTTTTGTACAAGCTCGAACATTATGGTATAAAAGATAATGATCTAAAATTAATGAGAACTTATTTAGAGGATAGGGTCCAAACTGTAGATATTGACGGTATAAAATCTAAGGGAGCTAATATTGGGATGGGCGTTCCACAAGGGTCAATCTTAGGCCCCTTTCTCTTTTTAATTTACATAAATGACCTTCCCTTTATGGTAGAGAAAATTGCAGATATAGTGCTGTTTGCGGATGATACTTCGTTAGTGTTTAAAATTGGACGTCAAACTAATCAATTAGACGATGTAAATTGTGCTATGTCTGCTATATTAAATTGGTTTACATGTAATAACCTATTATTAAATTCCAGCAAAACAAAGTGTATAAAATTTACACTTCCTAATGTAAGACCAATAAATACACAGTTATTGCTTAATGACGAAATAGTAAATTTTGTTAATGATACAGTTTTTTTAGGTATAACAGTGGACTCGAAATTACAATGGGGGCCCCATATTTCAAAATTGGCCAATAGACTCAGTTCAGCTGCATATGCAATTAGAAGAATTAGGCAATTAACAGACGTGGCGACGGCTAAACTTGTATACTTTAGTTATTTCCATAGCATTATGTCATATGGTATACTACTGTGGGGTAAAGCAGCCGATATAAATACTATATTTATTTTACAAAAGAGAGCCATACGTTCTATTTATGGTATGGGTTCAAGAGAGTCATTACGTCAGTGTTTTAAAGACTCAAATATCCTCACCGTTACTTCACAATACATTTATGAGAATATCATGTATACGCGGAAGAATTTAGACAGTTTTAGAAAACTTAAAGACTGTACAAATAGAAACTTACGCAATAAAAATAAGCTAATATTACCTAAATGCCGCCTGCACAAAGTCAGTAATTCATTCTATGGTAATTGCGTAAGATTTTATAATAAACTGCCAGAATCTGCACTTAATCTGACAGAGAGGCAATTCAAATCTTATATTAAACAATTTTTATGTAAGAAAGCCTATTACAGGATAGACGAATTCATAGAAGACAACATATCAAGTAAATAATTAGTTTATTAGCATACAACGTTATAATTTGTTTATCTCATTGCTTTCTTGATTCAATTATTTTAGAAATATGAAAGCGTAGCGGGTTTTGTATTAATTGCCGCATGCATTCTTATGTGAAATGTGAATACTAAACATCAGATGGCAATTGTGAGTAGCTATGACGTGGTCTGGTGTTTTGAGTAGTCATGCTCACTAAAATGTCCAGACTTGTGGCGGCGTGGTGGGCCGGGTCATTGGGCTCCCTAAAATATGGTCGAGCGCAGTGATGGCTGGCTCATCCGTCATACTCGTGAACGGGTGCTGCTTGTAGGGACTGGTCTGCTCTAATCACTATGACTGATTTCCTCTTATTAATTGTTTAACCAGTTGGTTATGTATTCAATATTTTTTTCTTTTTGAGTATTTAATTGAATTAGTGCTAATCGGTGGTTTGTATTCACACACTTAAACTTAAATTGTAAGTAAGAATAAATTATTTAAAAGAGCAACACACAAGTTTCTTGCTTGTTCTTCTTGTGATGAGACAGCATTCCGAATGAGCGGTAGATTAAAAAAAAAAAAAAAATGTTATGACTATTCAAAAGTGCTTCAATGTAAGTTTATTTGAATAAATGATTTTCTATTCTATTCTATTCTATTCAATATAGAATAGCCACAGTACAGTGACTTACCTGCATCATTTATATAGCACATTGTACACATTAACAAATTAACATTATTAGTTGACCCATAATTTATAGGCCTGGTGCCATGCTTAGTTTTGAACTCAGGGTGCGAGTGCGAAAATAATATGGAATAGAAAGTATGTATTTAGTACATCTCCTTGATCTTTTAATACTATTTATTGTCTATAAATTGTATAAGCTGTTGATTACCTAAAATAAATAAATGTATTAAATATTTGCAATAAAAAAAATGCTTCGATACCTAATAAAATGAAGCATGACTAAATGTCTAAGTCTATTGATTGCCGAACATCACTATTGTAGCGGGTCACCCTTTGTTGAATCAGTGACAGTTGCATTTTTCATTTTACTGTAATAATCGTACTTTATGTGCAATTAATAAATCTACATATTAATATATAATAATAATATCTCTGGACAATTCACACAGAGCCGTCTAGTACCAAACTAAGCAGAGCTTATGTTATGGGTACTAGACAACTGATATAAATACATGGATACATTTTTTTTTGTAAATAAATACATATTATACATAGAAAACACCAAGACCGATACCAACAATCATACTCATGAATACAAATGTTTGTACCGTGCGGAATCGAACCCACGACCATCGGATAGGAAAGCGGTGTGCTAAACCACTAGACCATCGAGGCTGTCAAAATTATAATACATATATCAAAAGATACTATACTAAATATATCAAAGCAAATATACATAAATATAAAGACTATATAAATACATAACGACCTAAGTATATATATAAATATAATTTAATCAACAGCCTAAAAAGTTTTAGCTTTAAAAATGACGATACTTCTGTACAACCTTCAATTCCTTATTTATTTCCAGGTGGTAACTGCGAATTTGAAGTTATGCTCGTCTCCAGAAGAAGGCATCATAATGCTGATGGATTTGAGAAGGGACATTGAGGAGTTTGTGGCCTGCATACAAGCGATCATGGACGCGCCCAGGCAGACTAAAGGTGAATTGCTTGCGATTTATGTTAGCCTGGTACTTTTTTCTTTGTTTAATAGAAATGCCATAACGATTTTTATAATTATTTTACAGTAAGTATATATATATATATACTTTCATGTGAAAAACTGTTCATTTGAAATTAGTCTATTTTATTTATTACTAGCTGTTCCCGCGACTACGTCCGCGTGGAATTTAACATTATTTTTCTAAAATAAAAGTTAAAAGCCTAAGTTACTCCTTATTACATCAGCTACCTGCCAAAAAAGTCCCGTCAAGATCGGCCCAGCCATTTCAGAGATTAGCCGGAACAAACAGACACAGACAAAAATTTTAAAAATGTTATTTTGATGTATATGCCGTATTTATATTCATATGCATGTAGTAAAAAACGGTTCTTTCAATATTACAAACAGACACTCAGACACTCCAATTTTATTTATATGTACAGATTAATGGATGATAATGATGGAATGAGGAACCGGTCTGTGCTAACGGTTTACGCTGGCGGGACACCCATTGTTAGCAATGCACATTCAAACTTTCTCTAACTCCCAATTGTTAGTTTTGTGTAGAAAGAAAAAGTTACATCGTTCGGGTCTTAGTTACAGACAATTCCCCAAATCCCCTAATAAAAAAAAGTCCAGAGGGTGTATTATGAACTCTTATTCTCAGTCAGTTTACGGCTTAAACTGAACTGCCTGGAAACTATTGTAGAAATATAAATAAATAATAATCTCAGGACAATTCACACAGTGCCATCTAGACTCAAATTAAGATACCTAAAGCTTGTGTACACAAACAATACATAGATATGTTTTTTGTATTCGTAAATACATACATATTATACATAGAAATTACCAGAGACCGATACAAACTATACGATAGTTTGTATCGGTCATGAATACAAATGTTTGTCCCGTGCGAGGAATCGAACCCGCGACCATCGGAAGTAAGGCGGTGTGCTAGACCGCTAGACCACCGAGGTCGTCAAGATTTATGCATGCAAAGCCTCAGCCCGATCGGTTCAAGATTGACAAAGTTTCATACAAACTTTCATCCCCTTTTTTACCCCTTTGGGGATAGAATTAATCAAAATCCTTTCTTAGCGGATGCCTACGTCATAGTAGCTTTATGCATGCAAAGTCTTAGCCCGATCGGTTTAAAATTGACAAAGTTTCATACAAACTTTCATCCCCTTTTTTATCCCCTTGGGGGTAGAATTAATCAAAATCCTTTCTTAGCGGATGCCTACGTCATAACATCTACCTGCAAGCCAAATTTCAGCATTTATGACTGGAAAAATGTATTTAATGGTAAGATGGTAGAGACTGAAGTGACATAATACATAATTTTGTTTTTATAGTTTTGATTATAGAATAAAAGAAAACTTTATATATATTAATATCAAAAGAGTTTCTCAACAGAAACTGACTGGATTTTAAAAAGTTAATACGCCCCCAGGATAACTGGCAGTATAAGCAGGTGAGGTACCAGGCGAGCATAAGTTATGGAGAGTTATTCACAGAGGTGTTGGCGGCGGCTACTGCCCGCGAGTTCGGCCGTGCGGCGTACGCCCCCTTGCGCGAGCTGCTACCCCGGTACTCGGAGTTACAGACTGCTCTCTTGCGGCAACATCTCAACGAGAAGCAGCTGCAGAATACGGTAAAATTGCAATAGAATAGAATAAAATAAAAAAAAATTAAAAACAAAAATCATTTAATTATGTTTGACATTTTTAGCCACTTCTTAACGTCAAGTTTTTTACATTATATATTTAATTTATTCCCTACCGTCCGTCCGTAAAGCAAAACAAAATAAACTAAACTAGATTAAAATCTAGATAAATAAATTCCCACTAACCAAAAGTTCTGTTTTTTCAAACAATTCAAAATTCAAAAATCATTATTCATGTAGGACATTTTAGCCGCTTATGAACGTCAAGTTTTTAAATTATAATTTTTTTCCCTACCGTCCAGTTTAGTATATAGTACCAATTGAGAAGAACTGACAAGAAACTCAATTGAATTACTTATTTTTTTAAAAGCCAGTTTATTTACAATGTATATTTATATAGGTGTATGTCTAACATTAAATGAAAATCCAGTGCATGTACAACTATTGCCATGCACGCTCGTTATTCAAGTAATCGTTTAGTGAGTAATAGGCTTTGCTCAGTATTGTAAGTGTTCATGTAGCAGCAGAAGAGAAGGTGGTGGGATGACAAGTCCAGTGATTGCAATTTACATTATGTATATTAACGAAGTATTTATAATAGGTTTATACAAGAGGCTATTTGGTCTTATTTTAGTGTTCTGTCGTAGCTAAACAACAGTGTTGCCACACGATAATAGTAAATTCGCCACATAATGAATTTTGTGATAACTTTTACTACGCTACCTACTGATTTATTAATTAGTTTACTCATAAAATAATAGATGGCGTTGTAAATATGATTTAACAGATGTATATACATCATTTGGTATCTTATTACAAATTTTTATACCTATTCCCATAAAAGACTTATTGACTATTTCTGAACGATACTTGGAAACTACAAGTCAGAATAATATGAATAAATAGGATAGAAAATCTTGACGGCCTCGGTGATCTAGCGGTTTAGCACATCGCCTTACTCGCGATGGTCGCTGGATCGATTCCTTATACAGGACAAATATTTGTATTCATGAGTATGATTGTTCATATTGGTTTGGCTGTATTCTATGTATTTACAAAAAATATCTATGTAATTTATAGCAGTTGTCTAGTACCCATAACACAAGCTCTGTGCTTACTTTGGGACTAGATGGCGCTGTGTGAATTGTCCAGGGTTATTGTACAGATCTACAATTACGCGAATAGAAAATATACAGATTTTTTTATAGTAACAGTAAATTTATTATTCTCAGGAGAACCTTCTAGAACATTCGAGAGCGATCCTCTCGGTCGCGGAGCGGTGCGAGGGTTGGCTAGAAACAGCGTATAACAAAGCGAAAAAAATCGCCGGCATCGCTATATACCCATTCTACGTGCCCGCTATTGAAGTGAGTAATCTATACATATAAATAAAATTGGTGTGTCTGTTTGTAATATTGAAATAGCCGTTTCTTACTACATGCATATCAATATAAATACGGTACATAAACCAAAATAACATTTTTTACAATTTTTGTCTGCCTGTCTGTCTGTTTGTTTGTTCCGGCTAATCTCTGAATAGGCTTTAATTATTTTAGAAAATAAAGTTATTTTCCACGCAGACGAAGTCGTTGGTGCAGCTAGTCTTATATAATTCTCGTGTCACAATGTTAGTTACCATACTCCTCCGAAACGGATTGACCGATTTTATGAAATTTTATATACATATTCAGTAGGTCTGAGAATCGGCTACTATCTATTTTTCATACCCTTAAGTTATAAGGGTTGTCCATCTCTAAGATTTTTTTTATTTTCACCCTTCTGTCACAATCCAATTTTTTATAGCCATATTAATCTATATGGCAAAACAACAACGGGATCAGTTTGTATTATATATACTCGAATTAGTGTACTTGCTAAAAAGGAGTAGTATCCAGAGCCGAAAAACATATTTATGAAAAAAATAAAACAACCTTTATTTTGTTTCAGAACTTTATCTCTTCAATAACGAGTACGATTTTCGCTCACACTCGTCGCATAGAGGCTGCTTTCTTATCAACTGTATCCGCTGGAGAAACAGCTGGCGTGCTGTCTCACACGTTCCCAGCATCCCTGGTCCTGGAGACAGCTGTTGCTGTGCTGTTGGACACGGTCGCGGCGCGACAAAAGATTGAAATCGAAGAGGAAGGTCAGTTTTCTTACTTCACTGTACTAGGAGCGCATGAAGGTATTGGATGTTTGTAGTTCCATGTATAAAGTCGAAACAGATGTTTTTCACTTTGGTGTTAGAGCAAGACAGATAGAGACGAAAGAAAGAAAGAAAAAGGAAGGTTAGTTTTTCCATGTATAAAGTCGAAACAGATGGTTTTTGACTTTGGTGCTGGAGCGAGATAAACGATAGAGATGAAAGAAGGAAAGAAATAGAGATGCAAACAGAAGTTTAGTTCTTGATTTATAGTACTAGGAGAACATGAGTGGTTTAGATGTATTTGCACCGTTACTATATAGAGTAGAGATAGTTGGAATGTTGTCTCATCTCATATGTTTTCAATATTTGAAAACGTATGAGATGATATAACCGAGATGAGATAAGTCATTTTCACTATGGCGTCGCAGACAGCTTTTCCTGTGTGTATCACTGATACGGTTGAAACAAGCGTGTTTTTTTACTTTAATATACTTAATACTTTACTAGGCAAACATAAGTGGATTGGATGTTTTTATAGCATTACTATGTCACTCTGGAATAATGCACATTCTGAATTTCTTAATTCGGTGCAGTGGTGTGTATTCTTTCCCTTTAACTCTGTCTGTCTGTCTCTCTCTCTACCCCTCTCCCCCAACCCTCTCTCTCTCGATATAGTAGTGTACATATGGATACAATATTTTGAACGATATTTACCAATTTACCAAACACTCGTATTTTTATGTCATATTTGTCTGCCCGAGTACCAAGTTGTAGAAAATGTGTTAATGTACCAGGAAAACATGAAGTTCTAGGCAGTTTGTTCTTGTCTGTTCATGTATATCGGTTACCACTTACCATCAGCGAGAATCAAAGTACCAGGACAACATGAAGCTACAGGCAGTTCGGAGAAGAAGTGATAGTACTTTGATGTATATAGGCGACGTTTACCATTTTCCATATGTTACAGAACCGAAGAGCTCGAACCAACTGTCCGACCTTCCACTCCTGGTGCTGGAGGCGGATGCACGACAGCAGCTGGCGACGCTGAGGTCACAGCCGCAGTCCCCGGCGGAGTTGTGGCGCGCCAAGGAACAACTTCGAACCCTTGCCAGAGCCATTCTCCGGAATCCTATTGACGTGTTACTAGGTTGGTTGGATTTGTAACAAAACTCCTCCCAAACGGCTTGACCGATTTCTATGAAATTACCCCAAAAATATATTTACTTTTAAGAAAGAAAGAAAGAAAAATATTTTATTCAGTGCAATGTAAAAAATACAATATAAACAACAAACGAAAAAAAAAAGAGCAAAATAAATGTACATATAATTAAACTTAATTTACCATAATTAAAAATAAACATAAAATAATCATTTTTACATCCAAAAATGCACTGAAATGGCTCCACTCAGCTTTAATGTATGTCGTAGGTGAACATACAGCTGGTTTTCAGTGGCACCAAATGGACTTTTATGGACATATTTTATCAGCATTAAAATAATATGTATTTTAATGCCCTTAAATTTTCTTCTACCCCCCTCTCTCTACTTCTACCTCCCTACAATTGAAATTCAAACGTGGATCGAAATTACCATGGCCTGAGCCGAGGTTCGAACCCCTAGCGGTGCCCTTAGACTAGCGTCATATCCGTCAGGCGGGAGTTGGCCTTCAGCCGCTCTATAAGTCCTTCCTTTGGTTTGGAGTGCCATCTGCACTCGCCCTGTTTCGTCCAGGGATATTGTAAAGGTTGTTAACTTAGAAGAGAATATTAACAAAAACGCTACAACATATCTTCTTTATTTATTTTCTTTCAAATTCAAATATCATTTATTCATGTATGACATTTGAGCCACTTAGGAACATAAAATTTTTGTATTATAATATAAAATATAATTGTCTCTACCATCCAGTTCAGTATATAGATCCAATTGAGAAGAACTCAACTGAATTTCTTTTTTTTAACTGCCAGTTTATTTACATTGTATATTTATATAGGTGTCTATGTCTAACATTAAATGAAAATCCCGTACATAAACAACTATTGCCATGCACGCTCGTCATTCAAGTAATCGTTTAGTGAGTAATATTAACTTTCAGACGAGATACCCCAGCTGGCTGCGTGGAATAACAATGATGCGCTTTCCACCGACCTGCCTGACTTCGCTTTATCACCTCAGGAGTATATCACCAAGGTATGTTTCACACTATCCAGCTAGGTAGATCCAATTTCGAGAAAGAGGTCAATCATCGAATCCAACTCGGATGGGCAGCGTTCGGGAAGCTCCGATATATCTTTTCGTCCAAATTTCCGCAGTGTCTCAAGACGAAGGTTTACGACCAATGTGTGTTGCCAGTGATGACTTACGGAACAGAGACGTGATCGCTAACTATGGGCCCCATCAACAAGCTCAGAGTCACTCAGAGAGCAATGGAGAGGGCTATGCTCGGAGTTACTCTGCGTGATCGAATCAGAAATGAGGAGATCCGCAGAAGACCCAGAGTGACCGACATAGCCCGAAGAATTACGACTCTGAAGTGGCAATGGGCAGGGCACATAGCTCGTAGGACAGATGGCCGTTGGGGCAGTAAAGTCCTCGAGTGGCGACCACGGACCGGAAGACGCAGCGTGGGAAAGCCTCCAGCAAGGTGGACCGACGATCTGGTCAAGATCGCTGGAAGGCATTGGATGCGAGCAGCGCAGGACCGATCGTCGTGGAGATATTTGGGGGAGGCCTATGTCCAGCAGTGGACGTCTTCCGGGCTGCGATGATGATGATGATGTTTCACACAAGGGATTTTATAATAATACATATTTTATTGCACTTATTACATTAATAAACAAAGACAGTTATACAATAATGTGAGCAAGGGTGGGCCTAACTCTGCAAGAGATCTCTTCCAGCCAACCTAACGCTGACAGAGGTGGTAGTTAGCGGGCAACGATAGTGCTTGAGATTTTGTAATCGATAACAATATTCTAAAGTATACTTAAAAAAAGTCGTAATATCTTATATATTAAATTTTCGTGTCACAATGTTCCATACTCCTCCGAAACTGCTTGACCGACTTTTTCGAATCTTTATATGCTTATTCAGTATGTTTGCGGTAAGGGATATCCACCCCTAATTTTTTTATTTTTATTTTTTCGACGTAATATTTTATTTTCATATTATTATTATTTAGGATTGAAAAATACATACAACTATTTTGACCCTTCTAGCATCAACCCCATCCTTATGCATGCAATGTCTCAGCTCGATCGGTTTAAAATTGACAAAGTTTCATACAAACTTTCATCCCCTATTTTATTCCCTTGGGGATAGAATTAATCAAAATCCTTTCTTAGCGGATGCCTACGTCATAACATCTACCTGCATGCCAAATTTCAGCCCGATCCGTCCAGTGGTTTGTCTGTGCGTTGATAGATCACTATGTCAGTCACCTTTGAGTTATATATATTTAAGATATCTGTTTGCTGTCCGTCTGTATGCACCTACATAACATGTTATTTCACTAAAAAGTACCAGGCTCTAATAAATGACAAGCAGTTAATATCTACCTACGTTAAGTAAATAAAAATACAGTTGGGTTCCCTAAAATAAAGTCGAGCGGAGTGATCGCTGACTCATACGTCATACTCGTGAACGAGTGCTGCTTGTAGGGACTGGTCTGCTCTAATCACTACGAGTCTTTTAATCCTATTGTGTACTTAATATCTGTACCTAATTAATTAGTGCTAGTTGGTGGTTTGTATTCACACGTTTCGAAGTAGAAATTAGTGAGCGAGAGGGCTGAATGTAAAAACACGCTGCCACTCGCGCTGCCAGTCCTTTGACTCGCGCACGAAAATCCGACAATCGAGCGAGCGCCGGGCAGCGCGAGTGGCAGCGCCAATGGCATGGGAAGTGTTTCCACTCGTGTTTACACTCTCGCGCTGCTCACTTCCCTGCCCACTCGGGCTGAGTGTAATTTAGGCAATAAAGTTACAATGATTATTTAATAGAGCAACACGCAAGTTTCTTGCTCGTTCTTCTTGTGATGAGACAGCTTTCCGAATGAGCGGTAGATTAAAAAAATTATAACTATGTCTATTCAAAAGTGCTTAAATTAATTTTATTTGAATAAATTATTTTCTATTCTATTCTATTTATTTTCTTAAATGTTGTTCCACAGATAGGTCAGTACCTGATGACTTTGCCGCATCATTTGGAGATGCATCTGTCCGAGAAGCAGGCGCCGTGGCAGTTTCTGGCCGAGGTGATATTTTATTAAATACCATCATAAAAGTTATTTTTTATATACTGTTTTAAACTTGACGCGGTCATTATTTATACGTATAATTAGTAAAAATCACGGGATCTTACCACGTTTTATATTTATTTGCTGAGTTCCCGATATTTCGGCAGTGTTTCAACCACCATGTTATTCATCTCGGCATACTGTACTCACACTATTTTTACAGTTTGTCGAGATGAATATCCAGCGAGTTCCAGTAGTAGCAACAAACGAAGACGTGTGAAGGTAGACGCATATAAGCTTATTTAAAAGTAAATATTAATATATTAAAAATCTGTTTGTAGGTCTGTACGCATACATGCGATATGTATGCAGAAAAGGTGCTGAATATACGAAATATGGACGCTCTGGGAACGAAACGCTGTCTAACTGACATTGGTAATATTTTTGTTATATTATCTTATATTTCGACGGCGTCTGTGGTCTAGCGGTTAGTTTATCTTACTTCCGGTCGCGGGTTCGATACCTCACACAGTACAAATATTTGTATTCTTGAATGTGATTGTATCGGTCTGGGTGTTTTCTATGTATGTATCAGTATTTATATTAGTTGTCTAGTACCCATAACACAAGCTCTGCTTACATTGAGACTAGATGGCGCTGTGTTAATTGTCCAGAGTTCTTGTTAGTATAATTTGTATCACAACATACAGTTAATTTATTTATTTATTAAATCTTTTATGCACAAATACACAAATATCTATACATATAAATAAAATTGGAGTGTCTGTACGAAATAATGAAATAACCGTTTTTTACTACGTGCATATGAATATAAATACGGTACATACACCAAAATAACATTTTTTACAATTTTTGTCTGTCTGTTTGTTTTGGCTAATCTCTGAAATAGCTGGACCGATTTTGACGGGACTTTCTTTGGTAGGAAGCTGATGTAATAAGGAGTAACTTAGGTTACTTTATTTTAGAAAAATAAAGTTGAATTCCACGCGGACGAAGTCGCGGGAACAGCTAGTATATTATATATATCTTGGAGGTATTAGAAAGATTATGGATGGATATAAAATGGTAATTAAAAACTAACGCGGGCTCAACTAGTTGGAAATAAGTTAGTCATGAATATATATATATTCGTGGAGATCTTTGGGGGAGACCTATGTCCAGCAGTGGACGTCTTCCGGGCTGCGCTGATGATGATGATGATGAATATATATTTGCAGTATACCTATCGAGCGTGGTGGAAGACCTCGGGACCAGCATCACGCCGTCCCTCAAGAATTTGGAGAAATCTCTCCGAGCTGCTGCCCCACCGCAAGAATAGTCTACCTTTTATACGACCTCGGTGGTCTAGCGGTTTAGCCACCGCTTTACTTATGATAATCGCAGGTTCGATTCCTCGTACGGTACAAATATGAGTATGATTGTTAGTATCGGTCTGGGTGATTTCTATGTATATTATGTATGTATGTATTTTAAAAAATATCTAAGTATAAGTATATTAGTTGTCTAGTACCTATAAAACAAACTGGTTAACTTGGGACTAGATGGCGCTGTGTTTATTGTACAGTGAGAGTATTGTATAAAAAAAATTAAGTTACACCACGAATAAAAAAACTCTAATAAATTCAAGTTAATAATAATTTCAATCACATTAGATTCCAATTAAAATCGCATAATAATCGGTCCATTCGTTTAGCGGTTACGATGCCACAGACAAGTGGAAATTATAACACATTTTTTAGCATTGAGGGTAAAAAAATCTTTGTTACTTATCAATTGTATATAACCTTAATAAACATAAGAATTTTTTTATTATACGTTTTGAAAATTTACTGTTTCTTCCTAAACCTATTATTTGAGTTTCTTAAGTGAACAATTAAATTTTAAATGTTATAAATTATATATATTACATAAGAATTTTGGAAAGGCCAAGGTGGGACTTGGCACTAAAAAGGGTGGGAAATATTGGTGTAGACTGTGTACCAAATTTCATTAAAATGGGTTCAGTAGTTTTGGCGAGACAGACGGGATAGACTCCGGTCCCTCAGAGTTTACGTTTCTGTCAGGTCAATTATATAAAATAAATAAGACAAATTGTCCAAGATATTAAAAAAAAATGTTAGGGATGTAAAACCCTTATCGCTTCATCATCATCATCGCAACCCGGAAGACGTCCACTGCTGGACATAGGCCTCCCCCAAAGATCTCCACGACGATCGGTCCTGCGCTGCTCGCATCCAATGCCTTCCCGCGATCTTGACCAGATCGTCGGTCCACCTTGCTGGAGGCCTTCCCACGCTGCGTCTTCCGGTCCGTGGTCGCTTATCGCTTAGAGTTATGAAAAATAGATAGACGATTTCTAGACCTACTGAATATGCACATAAAATTTCATAAAAATCAGTGAAACCGTTGGTATGATAATTAAAATTGTGATACGAGAATTTTATATATTATACTAGCTGTACCATTTGGACCTATGGCATCCAATTGTGGGGTTCTGCTGCAAATTCAAGTATAAGCATAATACAAAGGGCACAAAATAACATCCTGAAACAGCTTATAAATGCGCCATGGTTTGCAAAAATATCGGAGGTTCATGAGTATGTCAACACAAACACAGTAGCCGAAGAGATAAAACACCACTACTCCAAGTACAAGACACGGCTAGTACACCATCCTAATGTGCTGGCCAACCAACTGATAGTCCCTGACAACATACGTCGGCTTAAAAGGCGTAGGCTACTGGAACCAGATGACTAATCAGGGGCACCAAAAGAGACGATGATTCTGCTGGGAATCACTCTCTACCCGCGATGTAACACCTACACCACATCTGTTCATAGTCTCCGACTGATTGCAGGATAGACTCAGAAAAAAAAAAAAAATACTAGCTGTACCGGCAAACGTTGTTTTGCCATATAAATTAATGACGCTATAAAAAAATAGGGGTACACTCAGCTCAGTGTCTCTTTAGTTGTTGATACAACACTACTACAACTTTTTCCTTAATCTGCTTGATATAGCTGTGCTTTGGTCTTAAGGATTAAAATAAAAAACCAAATTTTAATACAATGAGTTATATTTGTTGGTAACCTATGACTAGTTCTTAAAAACTAAATTATAGACCAAGATATATGCGACAAGACATCTAAGATAACTTTGATTAAATCCTTAGTTATTAAATAAGAATGGATGGTGATGTAGCAGTTTAGAACACTGCCACACGTTCGATGGTCGCGGGTTCGATTCCTCGCACAGTATTAACATTTATATTCATGAGTATAATTGTTTGTATTGGTTTGGGTGTTTTCTATGTATATTATGTATGTATTTACAGAAAAATATGTTTACATCAGTTGTCTAGTATCCATAACACAAGCTCTGCTTAGCTTAGAACCTAACACTGTGTGAATTGTTCTAGATTACTACCATAATTATAATCGATTAAAAAGAGAGAGTTAGTTATTGCTTTCTAGTGACAAACATATAGACTTAATTGCCAAAGATACACAAACTTCCTCTTACAAAATTGGTTCTTATATCAAGAGTGAATAGACACTATTTGAGCTTGCATGTAACAGCTTTGACCGCATCACTTAACAACCAGTGAGATTGCATTCAAACAAAAAAATTTTGTTAAAGAAAACTAACAAAAACTCTCCATTAAAAAAACCAATATGATTAATTTCTTGTGAATTGTCCATAATAAGCTACTTAATATGACTTTCTGATCATTCTGCACTGGTGCCTCGCCAGCATATACCATTAGCATGAGAAACAGTTCACATAGAACTGTTCCATTTCAACTTCAACCTTTCAAGAAAGAAAATTTTTTCCACTTTTAGTATTCACTACCTTCTGTTCCTACATCCCTAGTAGCAAAAGTATTTATACATTGATACAATTTAAAGTAAAATTAACATTTAAAAGACATTTACTAAGTTATTATTGAAAAACAAGGCTCAACTCATCTCCCGATTTCACGACAAATTAATATATTTTAGGCTCTAAGTCCTAGGATCACATAAAGTCAACCATGAAATGTGGGATCACTAATCCCACATCTCATTATTTGGATCAGTTTCAGGAAGATAATCCTTCTGTAATATAGGCTTCGGTGTTAATAAGGCCCCAGTTGTCTGCTTCTCATTAGGAAAGAACGAAGCGCGGTTACAACATGTCTTAACATGTTCCCTCATTTCGTTAAGAGACATACGATGGGTTGCGTTGTAAGGACAGATTTCTAATTTTGGATACCTTTCCTGGCATTTAATTAGGTGTGCTTGTATACGAGAGCGGGGTACTCTGTGACAGGCATCGTAAGGGCACGACACAAATGGATCGTCCATATTTTTTCTGGAATAAATAATATAACGTAAATATTTACACAATATGAATATAATAAAAAATAAATAAAGTTGTATACCTTTAAATGCAGTGGTTAGAATCGAAAAAGGATTTTTTGAATAGCTTGATTATCACAACTAAAAGTTTTAAGACAATATATATATGTTTTATAAATTAAATTCATAAGTAAAAAGCAAAGAAAATAAAGTATTCAAGCGGTAACAATAACAAAGCTTCTGAAATCAAATTTCGTCCAAAAATTGAATAGGAATAAATGTTGCCACACTAGTCAATTCCTGAAGTTTTACTTTGAATTTCCCGAATGCAGCATGTAAAAGGAATATCACATTCATCTCTCGCCGTTTATCATACACATCTTAGCCGACATTACATATTTTATAATATCATACGTATTTCTAATATTAGTATACGTAAATGGATACTTTGAAATATCCTGCTAAATAAATATTACCCTAAAATTAGGGTAAACGCCATAAAGATTTGACATTGACAATTTGATATTTTTGACAGTTGAAGTCAGAAGTCAATTTCAATCTATCTATGCACAGAACACCAATATTCGTATCTGTGTAAGGAATGTGTAAATAATGAAATATTCGAAGTGTATTCTTTATTTTTATTTGATAAAATAATATTTATTCTTAAACGTTGTAACAATCACGACACGTTATTAAATATTAATATAAATTAAGTAACAAATTTCTTAACTGTGGCAATGAACAAACGAAAGGAGACAATGTCAGGTAATTTGAATTTTAAACTTTCTTTTAACAAAAAACTTTGTCAATATGCTAGCGTTTTCAAGTTTATATTACTTCGATTATTCTTAATATAATATATATTATAACTTTCTATTATTTACTCAACAAATAGAAATCGTGTTTTTAAATGTAGATTTAAAAAATATATATTTATGACGACCTTGTTGGCCTAGTGGTTTAGCCTACTGCTTTACTTCCGATGGTCGCGAGTTTGATTCCTCGCACGGCACAAACATTTGTATTCATGAGTATAATTGTTTGTATCTGTCTGGGTATTTTCTATGTACAGTCAACCCTCCTATAACGCGGTGAGTGCGTACCGCGTTGTATGGAAACCGCGCTATAAGAAACTCGGATTTAACCATACAAACCAGGCTAATTCGTAGCGCGTTCTATGGAAACCGTCTACCGCGTTGTATGGAAACCGCGCTATAAGAGACTCAGAATAAGTACAAATCACATCATTCGTACCGCGTTATATGGAGACCAATAAATACAAAAGACAAGATAAAAATAAGGAAATGATGAAAAAAATGAAACAAAAACTAAACTAAAAAACTGTTTTCCAACAAAAACAAAAGAAAGACTTTTGTAAAATGATGTAATCTTTCAACACTCATCCTCACTGTCAGATATGAGTCGCCTAACTCGCCTTCTTTTAATGGGCAAAATGTCTTCCTCACTTGGTTGATCTTCACATTGGTTTTAAGCGGCTAAGACATAAGCAGAACGTAGTTTTTCTATAGTTCACGCGACAATGTAGTCAAAAGATCATATATATATCTTTCATGTTACAGTTTCGTTAGACACACACGCATGGCACGCTGTCGATGCGAAACTATTTAGTTAATAGAAGTGGAAGATAGCGCATGAGGAGAACCACCCACCCGTGAACCACGCTGATATAAACATATCCAGTAAAAACCATTCATTGGGTGCACGGAAAGAACTGATGGGACGTTGTTGAATGGAAACCGCGCTGTAAGAGTACCGCGTTATAGGAGGGCTGTCGCAATTTCAGCTCCGCGTTATATGGAAACCGCGTTCTGAGAGTACCGCGTTATAGGAGGGTTGACTGTATATTATTATGTATGTATTTACAAAAAAATCTAAGTATTCTTCTAATCAGTTGTCTAGTACCTATAACACAAGCTTTGCTAACCGTTGGAATAGATGGCGCTGTGTTAATTGTCTAGTTTTATTTATTTATTATTAAATAAATTTACTATTCGATAATGGAGTGGTGCACCTCTTGATATTGCAATTAAATAATTACTATAAAATTAAAATATAGATGCAGAACAATAATCTTATTAATATTATAAATGCAAAGTTTGTGAGTATGGATGGATGTATGTTTGTTATAATGACCTGTCCAAGCTTCGCACGGATACATTACAAATCTTTGAACTTCTCGGCTTGTTCTATACTATAACTCGCATGTATTATACATATAAACATTCCTCTTGAATCACTCTATCTATTACTAAAAACTGTATTAAATTGTATTGCATATTTTAAAAGATCGAAGCAAACAGATAGCCGAACTACTTTGCTTTATACTATGTAGAGATTTTTATTTATTACAGGACCTGAGTCAGCCAAGAGGGTGAAAAAAGAATGCAGCTACGGAGAGAAATGTTTCAGATTAAATCCTATACACTTCAGGGAGTACAGCCACAGACACTGTTAGTGTGAACAACATATTATTATTACTAGAGAACATAGTCAGATAGATGACTATCTGTGCCTGTGGTTACACCTGTGTGAATTTATAGCCAATGTGTTATTCTGATGCATAAACTACATTACTGTAAAGTCTCATCAAAATCCATTCAGTAGTTTTGACTTGAAAGAGTAACAAACATCCATTACTACTACTCTAATGCTGCCTGCCTGACGGATATGACTTTAGTCTGAGGCAACTGCTAGGATAGTCAGGGTTAAATTGCTTTAAGTGCTGTTGACCACAGCTGGCCTTTACAGCTTCACCGGGGTGTATGCATGTATATGGGGTTGCCATTTAAAAATATAAAAAAAATCTGTAACACATACAGAGTATATATTTTTCCATTTTTATTTATTTATTATTATGGCGACCTCGGTGGTCTAGTGGTCTAGCACACCGCTTTACGACCGATGGTCGCGGGTACGATTCCTCGCACGACACAAACATTTGTATTCATGAGTATGATTGTTTGTATCGGTCTGGGTGTTTTCTATGTATAATATGTATGTATTTACAAAAAAAAAAATCTATATATTTGTATCAGGTATCTAGTATCCATAACACAAGCTTTAGCTAGCTTAACTTGGGTCTATATGGCGCTGTGTGAATTGTCCTAAGATTATTATTATTCTTATTATTATTTAGTTTGGAAAAGAATTAATATAAATACAAATTTATACTTATATTAATTTGTGATGCCGGCGATTTTTGAAGCGTATTTTTCTTTTCGGACTACTCTAATGCTGATGGCCGCAGCTGGCCTTTACATCACCGGACGATAGGGGGCGAGTGCAGATGGCACTCCAAACCAAAGGAAGGACTTATGGAGCGGCTGAAGGCCAACTCCCGCCTGACGGATTCGACTTTAGTCTGAGGGCACTCCCCAGCAGTGCCCGGCCCGAACCTCGTACCGAAACCGTCGTAATTTCGATCCCCGTTTGAATTGGACGGGGAGTCGATCGGAGGTGGCTGGGTGATATTTATTTGATAAAATAATATTTATTCTTATAAGTTGGAACAATCACGACACGTTATTAAATATTAATATAAATTAAGTAACAAATTTCTTAACTGTGGCAATAAGTTATAATCTTCTAATTGAAGTTTTCATTGCGTACGTTTATTCAATGCTCAAAATTTTGTTAATTCTTTTGTAATTCCAGTGGAATCCATATTAGACGCATATTCAGGGAGTGGTGAATATTGTATACCGGATAACTTGTGTCACCAGCAGCATATGATAAAGGAACAGCTGGAAGTTATTGTGGAGAAGAAGTTGTATGAACCTGTCAAAGAGGGTAGTAGGTGGGTATATTAACTTATTGGCAATCTAACTTTATTTTTCTAAAATAAAATTAGCTTAAGTTACTCCTTATTACATCAGCTACCTGTCAAAGTCCCGTCAAAATCGATCCAGCCATTTCAGAAATTAGCCAGAACAAACAGACAGATTGACAAAGATTGTGAAAAATGTTATTTTGGTGTATGTACCGTATATATTCATATGCATGTACATAGTAAAAAACGGTTTTTTCAATATTACAAACAGACACTCCAAAAATATGACTATTCAAAAGTGCTTGTATTAAGTTTAATTGAATAAAGATTATTTCTATTCCTAGTGTAAAAAAAAATTGTTTCAGTACGAGCACATCAACAAATGCAGAGCAAAATAGAACACAAAGTACCAGGATAACAGCAAATGAAAGTAGTATGCAGCAGTCGAAAACTAATGTAAGAAATAATGAAGAAGTTGCCAAGAGTAAACATGAGAAATTGTCTAAAGTAGATGATAATCAAGTAAACCGTAATAATATTAAAGGAAATAGCAGATCTACCGATAAAACGGAGGCGAAATCATCAAATAAAAAAGGTAATATAGCAAAATATCTTTATTCATGTAAGTCTATTACAGACTCTTATGATATGTCAACGTGTAGGTCTATTACAGACTCTTATGATATGTCAACATGTAGGTCTATTACAGACTCTTATGATATGTCAACGTGTAGGTCTATTACAGACTCTTATGATATGTCAACGTGTAGGTCTATTACAGACTCTTATGAAATATCAATGTGTAAGTCTATTACAGACTCTTATGATATGTCAACATGTAGGTCTCTTATAGACTCTTATGATATGTCAACGTGTAGGTCTATTACAGACTCTTATGATATGTTAACATGTAGGTCTATTACAGACTCTTATGATATGTTAACATGTAGGTCTATTACAGACTCTTATGATATGTCAACATGTAGGTCTCTTATAGACTCTTATGATATGTCAACGTGTAGGTCTATTACAGACTCTTATGATATGTCAACGTGTAGGTCTATTACAGACTCTTATGATATGTCAACATGTAGGTCTATTACAGACTCTTATGATATGTTAACATGTAGGTCTATTACAGACTCTTATGATATGTCAACGTGTAGGTCTATTACAGACTCTTATGATATGTTAACATGTAGGTCTATTACAGACTCTTATGATATGTTAACATGTAGGTCTATTACAGACTCTTATGATATGTTAACATGTAGGTCTATTACAGACTCTTATGATATGTCAACGTGTAGGTCTATTACAGACTCTTATGATATGTTAACATGTAGGTCTATTACAGACTCTTATGATATGTCAACGTGTAGGTCTATTACAGACTCTTATGATATGTTAACATGTAGGTCTATTACAGACTCTTATGATATGTTAACATGTAGGTCTATTACAGACTCTTATGATATGTTAACATGTAGGTCTATTACAGACTCTTATGATATGTTAACATGTAGGTCTATTACAGACTCTTATGATATGTCAACGTGTAGGTCTCTTACAGACTTATGATATGTCAAATCTACCGTCAGTTCGTAATGATTTCGAGATGAAAAGAACTGAAAAGAAACTCAGCTCGTATTCTTTTCAAATAAATGTTGTACATGATTACAATAATACAGATTCATTTCTTAATTCATATTTGGGAGAATAGAATGACCACCAGCATATGCTGTAGCAATTTTGTCAAAAACAAATAGTCTAATCAGTGTTCGTAACCCGAACAGACCAGTTTCCACAGTCCCCGTTCATGAGTGTGACGGATCAGCCAGTCAACATTTCACTCAACTATATTAGAGGGAGTATATTGACCCGGCCGCCCACCACGCCGCCACAAGTTTGAACTTTATAGCGAGCATGACTATTTCAAGTTACTCCACTACGTCATTTATATTATTTACAGCATAGGCTGTAACAATCATAGGTTTCACAGGGAATGATGTTCAAACTTATATTTTAAACTCTTCTTATATTGTAAAATCGCCCCGGCTTCGCATGGTGTAGGTACATCTTATATATAAAATTCTCGTGTCACAGTTTTCGTTCCCATACTCCTCCGAAACGGCTTGACCGATTCTCACTAAATTTTGTGATCGTATTGAGTAGGTCTGAAAATCGGCCAACATCTATTTTTTATCCCCCTAAATGTTAGGGGTAGTCCACCCCAAAATTTTTTATTTTTTTATTTTATGGCAAAACAACGTTTGCCGGGACAGTTAGTTTTTTATATAATTGATCCTTCCTTTTGAATCACTCTATCTATTAAAAAACACCGCTTCAAAATCTGTTGCGTAGTTTTCAATATTTAAGTATACATAGGGACGGACAGACAGCGAGAGCGACTTTATTTTATACTAGCTTTTCCCCGCGGCTTCGCTCGCGTTAATTATCCCCTTAGGGGAGGACTTTATCAAAATCTTTTCTTAGGGGATGCCTACGTCATAATGCAAATGCATGCAAAGTCTCAGCCCGATCGGTTTAAAATTGCCAAAGTTTCATACAAACTTTCATCCCCTATTTTATCCTCTTGGGGGTAGAATTAATCAAAATCCTTTCTTAGCGGATGTCTACGTCATAACATCTACCTGCATGCCAAATTTCAGCCCGATCCGTCCAGTGGTTTGAGCTGTGCGTTGATAGATCACTATGTCAGTCACCTTTGAGTTACATATATTTAGATTATGTAATGATTAATTATGGTCGAATTTGGACCATGAGGTGACCACAAGTAAATTTTTTTTTCAATTATATATAGCTGTATTTTTTTTAAGAATGATAAATATAATGTATTGATGCACCCGTTTGCACTAATGGTTTACGCTATCGGGGCACCAGTGGAGGATGATAAGATGAACATGAGGTCAGCGCAATTAGCCCATCGTGACTAACTCTCCAAGAATTGATCACGGTGGTTTCCAGGGGGAACCGCGTGGAGGTCAACCTAACCCGACACAATACTCACAATCCCCTTTTCCCCTAAATAGCTATATTGTCAGCGGGTATAAAGAATGTATCCACTAAAGCAGCGTCGCAGTATTCAGGTAGTAAATAACAAGATATATTTTCCTAGGCACAGATTATCGGCCGGTAGTCGAACCTACGCGCCGTGCTGAGAATTTCCTCAAAGTGGTATTACCGCGTGGTAACATGGCTGCGAAGCATGCGGTCAGTGCGCCTTACCACATATTTTATACCACCATATCTGATGCCAAGGAAACGCACCACCAGCCGTACTCCATCACGTTTTTAGGTGAGTTTTTTTTATATATACCATCATCATTTAATACTGCACTCATCTGCGCTGATGATCCGCTGGCAGGGGATGATGATATGATGAGCATGAAGTCAGGTTGTTGAGTGAAAGTACCAGGATAACATGAAGTTACAGGCAGTTGGGTCTTTGGTACTGTTCATGTATATAGGCGACGGTTGCACTCTATATATTATAGAACTGAAGGTCTTCCATAAAGGAATGGTGGACCCGCCTACTATATCGGTATACGCAGGCAGGGCACCAGTGGAGGCTGATAGGATGAACATGAGGTCAGGTCAGTTCCATGCTCTTATAAAATAATAAGTGTGTTACAATGAAAGTACCAGGATAACATGAAGTTACAGGCAGTTGGGTGATGTCTTTGGTACTGTTCATGTATATAGGCGACGATTGCACTCTATATATTATAGAACTGAAGGTCTTCCATAAAGGAATGGTGGACCCGCCTACTATATCGGTATACGCAGGCGGGGCACCAGTGGAGGATGATAGGATGAATATGAGAGGTCATGTCAGTTCCATAAAATAATAAGTGTAATACAGTGAAAGTACCAGGATAACATGAAGTTACAGGCAGTTGGGTGATGTCTTTGGTACTGTTCATGTATATAGACGACGATTGCACTCTATATATTATAGAACTGAAGGTCTTCCATAAAGGAATGGTGGACCCGCCTACTATATCGGTATACGCAGGCGGGGCACCAGTGGAGGATGATAGGATGAACATGAGGTCATATCAGTTCCATAAAATAATAAGTGTAATACAGTGAAAGTACCAGGATAACATGAAGTTACAGGCAGTTGGGTGATGTCTTTGATATTGTTCACGTATATAGGCGACGGTTGACACTCTATATATTATAGAACTGAAGATCCTCCATCATGGAATGACCAATTTGCAATAAAGTTTAGGAAGCTGTTTGCGCTCACCCAAATTCTACACATCAGAGATACAGTTCTCTATTATAGAATAGAATAGAATAGAATAATATTTATAACATTCACACATCACAGCACAACAATGATGATGCTTATAGCAGCATATAAATTATCTATACATCTATACATATAAATAAAATTGGAGTATCTGTTTGTAATATTGAAATAATCGTTTTTTACTATATACATATGAATATAAATACGGTACATACACCAAAATTACTTTTTTAACAATTTTTGTCTGCCTGTCTGTTCCGGCTAATTTCTGAAATGGCTGAACCGATTTTGACGGAACTTTTTTTGGCAGGTAGCTGACGTAATAAGCAACTTAGGCTACTTTTATTTTAGAAAAATAAAGTTAAATTCCACGCAGACGGAGTCGTGGAAACAGCTAGTTATAACATATAAAGAGAAATAACACAGTACAGTTCATTACATAAAAAAAAAAAACGAACAAGAAAATCAATCAAACGAAAATAAAAAAATTGTATATACTATCATCATCATCATCATCATCGCAGCCCGGAAGACGTCCACTGCTGGACATAGGCCTCCCCCAAAGATCTCCACGACGATCGGTCCTGCGCTGCTCGCATCCAATGCCTTCCAGCGATCTTGACCAGATCGTCGGTCCACCTTGCTGGAGGCCTTCCCACGCTGCGTCTTCCGGTCCGTGGTCGCCACTCGAGGACTTTACTGCCCCAACGGCCATCTGTCCTACGAGCTATGTGCCCTGCCCATTGCCACTTCAAAGTCGCAATTCTTCGGGCTATGTCGGTCACTCTGTTATATACTATACTGGTCAATAATAGAAGCTATAGATTTATTAAAAAAAACATTTTCAGAAATCCTAGACCGCAGTCTCGGCGAGCTGAAGTGCTCGCTTCAGATAAATTTCATGGTGGAGCTGGGCTGGCTTCTGGCGCAGTACTATTTCGCCGGCTACAGCGAGAAGCGGCTCACCATACTCTATGGTGAGGACGGACCTGAACTGAGGACCATAAACCAGAAGAAGCCTCATGTGGACGCACACCGCGTCAATATGGGCTCGCCTTTTGGGAAGCATCATACGTAAGGTTTTTGTATATTATGTTTTTAGTTTAGCTAGCTAACCATCCCGGCTTCACACAGATGCATTATGTATTTAAATTCCTCGACTTGCTCTATACTATAACACACATGTATTATACATATAAACCTTCCTCTTGAATCACTCTACCTATTACTGAAAAGTGCATTAAAATCCGTTGAGTAGTTTAAAAGATATAAGCGTACAGACAACAGATTTCATTATATAGTATAGTAATTGAAATCCAAATTAAAAAATAATTTATTCATGTAGGACATTTTAGCCGCTTATGAACGTCAAATTTTTTATATTATTATTTTTTCTCTACTAACCAGTTCAGTATATAGATTCAACTGAGAAGAACTGGCAAGAATCTCAATTGTTTTTTTTATTTAATTATTTACAATGTTTATTTATATAGATGTCTATGTCTAACATTAAAAACTTTTCTACTCCGATCTCCCCTCCGATCGATCCCCGTCCAATTCAAGCGGGGATCGAAATTACAACGGCCTGAGCTAAAGTTCGAACCCCACGGTGCTCTCAGACTAAAGTCGTATCCGTCAGGCGAGAGTTGGCCATAAGCCGCTCCATAAGTCCATCCTTAGGTTTGGAGTGTCATCTGCACGCGCCCCCTATCATTCCGTGAAGCTGTAAAGGCCAACAGCACTTGAAGTAATTGAACCAGCGACTATAAGAGAAAAAGCAGGTGTGCAAACCGCTAAACCATCGTCCTCTCAGAACAGCTGTGATATAATTTATTTCTTGTTACAGCAAGATGATGTTGCTATGTTACGAAGATGGTTCTCTGCGTGTGGTGATCTCTACAGCGAATCTTTACATTGATGACTGGGAGAACAGAACGCAGGGGTAAGTAGGTGATTCAGTATTTGGGCGACTGCAGTTCGCACAGCTCGTCATCGACAGAGCATTCATGCCCACACGCTGGAACCTAAGTGGTTTCGGACAGTGCGGTTCCAGAGGAGCTCACATTGTGGAATGAACTATCTGCCGAGGTTTTCTTGGAAGACTACAGCATGGGGTTTTCAAGAAGGGTATATTAAGGTTTCTTAAAGATCGGGACAGGAAACGCGCACGTGACACCCCTGGTGTTTCAGGCATCCATAGGCTACGGTGTTTACTATCAGATGGACCGTAAGCTTGTTGGCCACCATCATAGTATAAAAAAACCGTACTTAGCTGCAAAATACATATATATTTTACTAATATTATAAACGCGAAAGTTTGTAAGTATGGATGTTTGTTACTCTTTCACGCAAAACAGCCTCGGTGGTCTAGTGGTTTAGTACACTACTTCCGATGGTCGCGGGTTCGATTCCTCGCACGTTACAAACATCTGTATTCATAAATAAGATTGTATGTATCGGCCTGGGAGTTTTCTATATATATTATGTATGTGTGTATTGACAAAAAAAAGTATCTAAGTATTTATATCAGTTGTCTAGTACCCATAACACAAGCTCTGCTTACCTTGGGACTAGATGGCGCTGTGTTAATTGGTTAGGTTAACATACTTACAAACTTTCGTGTTTATTATAATCGCGTTTTAGTAAGGTATTATAGTAGTATGACAGGGTATAAATAAAGAGAAATAAAAATCCTAAAATTCACATTCACACTCACACTCGCACTCACGCTCACGCTCGCACTCACACTCCCACTCACGCTCGCACTCACACTCCCACTCACGCTCACACTCACACTCACACTCACACACTCACGCTCACACTCGCGCTCACACGCGCACTCACACTCACAGTCACACTCACACTCACATTCACATTCACACTCACACTCGCACTCACACTATTATTTATTTACACACGAGTTATTTATTTATTTATGTTAATGTATGATTATGGAATAGTGTTTTTTTTAATATTAAGTTATATTTCAGGCTGTGGTTCAGCCCAAATTGTCCTGAACTGCCGCCGGAAGCGATGCCATTCGAAGGCGAGTCGCCGACCGGCTTCAAGAAGTCGTTACTACGTTATCTAAACCACTACCAGATGCCGCAGCTCGCGTACTATCTGGAGAGGGTGAAGAGATGCGATTTCAGTCATATTAAGTAAGTTTTATTTATTGTAACTTATAATTTACAAATGACAAGCGACCCGCCCCGGTGCCGCTCGTGTGCAATGCTTTATAGTCACGTGCCGCCGGCCGGTACCGCCGCACTTCTATGTGCCTACATTTTAAATCTGTAATACCCTCGGAAGTATTCATTTAAATTACATGTTTTTGTTAACATATTTAAAGTGTACAGTACTGTAGTACATTATTTTGATTTATCACGTGGAGTTCAGGCAGCGTTTGCAGTGTAAGCGCAAGAAATGTATTTACGACTAGCTTTTGCCCGCGGCTTCACTCGCGTTAATTTATCCCCTTAGGGATGGAATTTATCAAAATCCTTTCTTAGGGGATGTCTACGTTATAGTAGCTTTATGCATGCAAAGTCTCAGCCCGATCGGTTTAAAATTGACAAAGTTTGATACAAATTTTCATCCCCTATTTTATCCCCTTGGGGGTAGAATTAATCAAAATCCTTTCTTAGCGGATGTCTACGTCATAACATCTACCTTCATGCCAAATTTCAGCCCGATCCGTCCAGTGGTTTGGGCTGTGCGTTGATAGATCACTATGTCAGTCACCTTTGAGTTATATATATATATACATATCACATTAGAAACCTCTAAATTTATCAGTGTTTCTCTACAATATTATACATATATATTTATTATATTAATATTATTAATGTTTCTACTCCATCATGCGCCATCCACCACCTTCTGTCTTTTCTCCAGTACCCAAAGGTTGTCTGGAAGAGATCGCATAAGCGATAAGACCGCCTTTTGTACCCATAATCTAAATATTGTTTCCGTTTGTATATATGTTTTTTTTTTGTTATTATGGTGCAATAAAGAGTAATAAATAAAAGTAAAATAAAAAATATAAACCTTCCTCATAAATCACTCTATCTATTAAAAAAACCGCTTCAAAATACATTGCGTAGTTTTAAAGATTTAAGCATACATAGGGACGGACAGACAGCGACAGCGACTTTGTTTTGTATTATGTAGTGATAATAATGTTTTTGTAGAATATATCTAAAACCGCTTTAAAATCCGTTGCGTAGTTTTAGAGATTTAAGCATACATAGGGACGGACAGACAGCGACAGTGACTTTATTTTATATTATGTAGTGATAATAATGTTTTTGTAGAATATATCTAAAACCGATTTAAAATCCGTTGCGTAGTTTTAGAGATTTAAGCATACATAGGGACGGACAGACAGCGACAGCGACTTTGTTTTATACTATGTAATGATGCAAAGTCGGGGCGGGGAATTAGTGTATTAATATTAAGATGTTGTTTTTAGTGTATTCCTAGTGGCGTCAGCGCCAGGGTCACACTTCGATATGGATTGGGGCATGACCCGAGTGGGGTCACTGTTACGGCAGCACTGCTGTATACCTCCCTCGGAGAACTCCAAGTGGCCACTGGTGGCGCAGGCCAGCAGCATCGGCAGTTACGGGAACGACCCGAAGGTAACTGCTTGTCATTTATGAGAGCTTGGTACTTTTCAATGAATATATGTAGGTTGTTGGGCCGGCAGACGGGCAAGCAGATTTATCTAATACTAGCTGTACCTGCGACTTCGTCCGCGTGGAATTAAACAAATAAATAATTAGAGATTTTCTAAAATAAAAGTAGCCTAAGTAACTTCTTATTACATCAGCTACCTGCCAAACATTTATGTTCAAAATCTACCCTGTACCATCGTAAGCACAGATTATTATATTAGAGTCCGTTAGTTTCTGTTCCCCTCCCTTACCTACAGTACTGAACTGACCGTACAGCGGACTTGACGCGCGCGCGCATTGTGTTGTGAATTAAAATAAATTAGAACTGTGAAACCTACTGTGAAACCTATTGTGAAACTGGAAAGCTAGCGAAGATATCTTCGAGACCCTGAAGCCCAAGAAATCCGCAGAACCATACAGGTACGTGACAGACGCTTCCACATATTTTTCCCTAACATTTTGGTAGCAGAGAGTATTTTCCCTAACAATTTATATTTATATATAAAAAATATATTATATTTATTTATATATTTTTTGAAATCAAATCAAATCATTTATTAGCAGAATATAGTGCTTATTAGGTATATATACATATAAATAAAATTGACGTGTCTGTTTGTAATATCGAAATAACCGTTTTTACTACATGCATATGAATATAAATAAGGTACATACACCAAAATAACATTTTTTACAATTTTTGTCTGTCTGCCTTTTTGTACCGGCTAATCTCAGATATGGCTGGACCGATTTTAACAGAACTTTTTTTGGCAGGTTGCTGATGTAATAAGGAGTAACTTAAGCTACTTTTTTAGAAAAATAAAGTAAAATTCCACGCGGACAAAGTCGCGGTAAGCTAGTAAATAAATATAAATGAAGACTCGACTAGTGGTGTTACTAGGAAAACATAACTTTATAAGAGTGTACGTTCGGAGCTATGGCTGACCGGGGACTTTCTGCAACACTTCACGAAAATATTAAAATAAACATATAAAATAAATATAACTCTACTAGTGGTGTTACTAGGAGAACATAACTTTATAAGAGTCTACGTTCGCAGCTATGGCTGACCGGCTACTTTCTGCATCACTTCACGAAAATATAAAAAAAATAACATAATAAATGTGGTGTTACTAGGAGAACATAACTTTATAAGAGTCTACGTTCGCAGCTATGGCTGACCGGCTACTTTCTGCATCACTTCACGAAAATATAAAAAAAATAACATAATAAATGTGGTGTTACTAGGAGAACATAACTTTATAAGAGTGTACGTTCGGAGCTATGGCTGACCGGGGACTTTCTGCAACACTTCACGAAAATATAATAAATAAATAAATGAAACTCTACTAGTGGTGTTACTAGGAGAACATAACTTTATAAGAGTGTACGTTCGGAGCTATGGCTGACCGGGGACTTTCTGCATCACTTCACGAAAATATATAAATAAATAAATGAAACTCTACTAGTGGTGTTACTAGGAGAACATAACTTTATAAGGGTGTACGTTCGCAGCTTTGGCTGACCGGGGACTTTCTGCATCACTTCACGAAGATAAAGAACCACCCCCAGATGCTGTCGGCGCCGGCTGAATTGAAGCTCGTATACCCATCGTTAGGTAATATATTTATTAATACGTCAATTTCTTTATAATAATAATATCAACACACTTGCTCGTAAAGGATATAATTTTGCCTATTTCCGATATATAAAGCAGCTCATAAAACACACACACATAAATGCAAACAGATGTTATATTCTATAACCGCACTATTTGCTATTTTTTTTATCAAAGACGGAAATTGACTGCCTCGGAGGTCTAGTGGTTTAGCACACCGCACCGCACCGCTTTACTCCCGATGGTCGCGGGTGCGATTCCTCGCACGGTGCAAACATTTGTATTATTAATAATAATAATAAACTTTATTGGCCAATAGAACACTTTTTCATTTAATACACATTACGGCGAACCACACACTAGACATGCAAGTCTGTATCGTGTGGTTCAGAGGATATCATTACACATAATTGATATGTTAGGTGCTCGGCTGACTTTAATGAAATAACTTAACAATATCATGCAACACTTAGTATAATGAGGTTATATTACAAAAGTATATATATATATAACTAGCTGTCCCGGCAAACGTTGTTATGCCATATAAATTAATAACGCTATAAAAAAATAGGGGTTGATGATAGAAGGGTGAAGATTTAGGATTGTATGTATTTTTGTATGTTGTATCATAAAATAATAGAAACTAAAAATTTTGTCTGAAAAATAAAAAAAAAATTAGGGGTGGACTACCCCTAACATTTAGGGGGATGAAAAATAGATGTTGGCCGATTCTCAGACCTACTCAATACGCTCACAAAATTTCATGAGAATCGGTCAAGCCGCTTCGGAGGAGTATGGGAACGAAAACTGTGACACGAGAATTTTATAAAGATAAATAAATTTCTATAAATACTAATAAATATGAAATATATTAATACATACAATAGATATACACATATTAAGTACTACTGAGGCTTTATGAAATTAAAATTCGGTTTGAAACAATTTCTCACATTGATCATAGTCCAGACTTATTAAAAATTCTTTTATTTTTATTTTGGCTTGAGCTAGAGAACATTTTTTCATATCACATGACTTGCTTATTCTATTATATAAATTTACAGCTATATGTGGGCTAAATTAAGAATATTCATGAGTATGATTGTTTGTAAGTCTGGATGTTGTCTAGTACCCATAACAACTGTGGAATTAATTGACGCTGTGTCAAATGTCCAGGGTTATTTATTTGGGGTCCAGATTTAATAAATTTCGAAGTGAACGCCGCGTGGTGTAACCAGTAGCCAGCTCGCTGATTTAAAAAAGTAAAACGGCGGGAAAGCAACAGTGTGCATCACAGTTTTATGGTTGAGTTTATTTAAAATCAAGTGTGTTGAAAAACGTACGATATACGTGGGACTGTTCAAGTATTACGTAGCCAGATTTATCACAATTATTTACCCCTCATCCCCCGTTGTCAGCAAAAGTAAGCAAAGCTCTTACCCCTCCCCCCATGCTTACGTAAACATTTCTCAATTAATGTATTGTTTTTTTAACAAAGACAATGTGAGGGTTGCCATTCGTGTAAAAAAGTAAATTACCACCGATGACGTAATCATCATACAGACTCCCCCACCCCCATGTCATCCAAAATAAGCAAAGAAAAGACCCCCCGCCCCCCTATAGTGCTTACGTAATACTTGAACGGCCCCCGTGCGTATTTAACACACTTAGCTCTATTACGACCTCGGCTCGCTCGGGCTGAAATTCACCTCGTGTGTTATAACGATTATAACGCACTTATATCGAAACTAGCTTTTGCCCGCGGCTTCGCTCGCATTAATTTATCCCCACCCCTAATTTTGATAAATTCCACCCCTAAGGTGAAATTTATCAAAATCCTTTCTTAGCGGATGCCTACGTTATAACATCTACCTGCATGCCAAATTTTAGCCCGATCCGTCCAGTGGTTTGGGCTGTGCGTTGATAGATCACTATGTCAGTCACCTTTGAGTTATATATATTTAGATATAACGAAATCAAATGTTTTATAAATAAGATTTTAATTTACTAATTTTCACTAGACTATAGTTTACTATAAAAGGTCCAAGCAGATCTTTTAACTTTTTATAGTCTCCTTAAATATCACCTTATATTTCTAGCAGAGTCAATTTCTCTACGAACAAAATATTATGTGTTACCATCGTTTTTAAATTATTAATGATACTCTGCACAACTCATGGTTGACTGGTAGAAAATGCCATTAGGTGTTAAGTCCGCCATATGTACTTTTTACCTGTGTATGACATGCATTAAAGTTATTTAAATAAAAAAAAAAATTATTATCTATGGTCTTTTTGTTTAGAAAACGTCCAGAAATCCTTAGACGGTCTACTGGGGGGCGGATGCCTGCCGTATGCAGCTGCCGCCCACAGCAAGCAGACCTGGCTGACTAGCTTTCTATAGTAAGTGTACTAGGATCTTATAAATCACCAGGAGTTATAAATAGAATGATCAACAAGGTGTATTAAATAAAAATTAATATCTTGCACAAAAGTTAAACAGAATTAGCATTTCCCCACAAGCCTGGCTGAATAGCTTTATATAATAAAGGACCATTCAAGTATTACGTAAGCAGATTTATTACAATTATTTACCCCTCATCCCCCTAGTCAGCAAAAGTAAGCAAAACTCTTACCAAGGGGGGTAAGAGATGATTACGTAAACGTTTTTCAATTAATGTATTTTTTAGCAAAGATAATGTGAGGGTAGCCATATGCGTAAAAAATTTCAACTACCGATGACGTAATCATCTAGACTCCCTACGCTTAAGTATGCTTACGTAATACTTGTCCGGCCCTTAGGTGTACCAGGATCTTATAAATCACCAGAAGTTATAAATAGAATATAATGAATAGTAATGTACAAAGTTTATTAATTTAAATTAAGTCTTATACATAAGTTAAACAGTGTATTATTATATAGCTTGCATTTCCAAACGCGACGGCCTCGGTGGTCTGGCGGTTTAGCTCACCGCTTCTCTTCCGATGGTCGCCGGTTCGAACTCGCACTCAAGTATTGTTTGTATCGGTCTGCGTGTTTCCATGTATATTATATATGTTATAACAAAAAAAATATCTAAGTATTTATATCAGTTGTCTAGTACCCATAACACAAGTTCTGCTTACCGTGGGACTAGTTGACGTTGTGTGAATTGTTCAGAGGAATTATTATATAAACCTTCCTCTTGAATCACTCTATCTGTTACTAAAAACTGTATTAAAACATAGTTTAATCCGAACAGCGATTTCCTTTTATACTATGTAATGATGAGGAAATTACTATACAGTACTAGGGAAGCATAAGTCTGAGGGAATTTCAAAATTATATTTAAAATTTGTTTTTTAGTCAACGGCGAGTCACGTGCAGTCACCTAGGTCTAGGTGTGCCTCATATAAAGTAGCTTTTGCATAATTAGTATGGATTCTGTATTGTTTAGACTTTAGACTCATAGATTATTAGACCCATATCTATGACAAATTTGTATTTAGTAATGAAAAAATTACTATAATGTACCAGGGCAATATAAGCGTGAAGAAATTCCAAAATTAGGCGAGTCATGTGCAGTCATCGAGACCTCGCTATGCCTCATATTATAGTAGCTTTTGCGTATTAGTATAGATTTTCTATTGTTTTTTGTATTCTATGACATTTATGACAAATATATGGTCAAGCATTTAATGATAAAAAACATGTTTTGAGAGCTAATATATCAAAGTCCTCTCGGAAACGACTTATCAAGACCTACATCTGGAGTATATATAGCCTTGTATGCCTGTGAGACGTGGACACTGACACAAAAGGAAAGAGACAAACTGGAAGCCTTTGAAATGTGGTGTTGGAGAAGAATGGAAAGAATTAGCTGGAAAGTTAAAATAAGGCATGAAGAAGTGCTTGAGAGGATTAAAGAAAAGAGACAGATCATAGAAATTATTGAGAATAGGCGGGGATACATGTTGGGGCACTTGATACGACACGACGAACTAATTAACAACGTTATTGAAGGAAAAATAGATGGAAACAGATGAAGGGGAAGACCAAGACACAGCTATATCAAGCAAGTTAAAGAAAACGTTGGAGTCGTGTAGTAGACAGCTAAAAGAACTGATGGAAGATCGTGGAAGGTGGCTCCACCTACAAGTATTTGTTTGAATGAGGAATGAGGATAATATTTAAGGAAGGTGTTACATATGAATGTGGATGGTTATAAGAGCAGAGGAAGGCCGAAAAAGAGATGGATGGACTGTGTGAAACATGATATGGTAAGAAAGGAAGTAAATAACGCGATGAGTGCGAACAGGGATGAATGGAAGAGAAAAACATATTACGACGACCACAAATAAACGGGATAAGGAAGAAGCAGATGATTACTGTATGTTTTTTTTATATACTCTGCTTTTAATTTTGTCTTGTAAAATGTGTACATGTGTGTATCTGTTGATGTAAATGAAGTAAATATCTATAAATATATCTATTGATCCATCAAAATTTATATCAATTTGGTTATGGGTACTATATTGTACTAGGGCAACATAAGCCTGAAGGAATTCCAAAATTTCAAAATGTGTTTGATAGATGTGCTGTGTAACATGACAAATTATCATACAGTTATATATGAAATTTCATTTGTTTCTTCTTTTTTTATATATACGCTGCTTTTTTGTGATATATATTGTCTTGTAAAATGTGTATGTGTGTGTATCTGTTTATATAAATGAAAAATATCTATCAAATTTGTATGAGGAAATGACTGTGTTGTACCAGGGCAACATAAGTCTGAAGGAATTACAAATTTATATTTAAAATGTGTTTTTTACTCAATCGCTAACCATCTGCAGTCACCGTGACCGCGCTGTGCCCCATATAAAGTCGCATGCATGCTTTTGACTTTGGACACTTTGACAGAAAATGACTATATTGTACCAGGGGAACATAAATATGAAGCAATTCGAAAATTATATTTAAAATGTGTTTTTTACTCAATCGCAAACCATCTGCAGTCACCGTGACCGCGCTTGCCCTATATAAAGTCGCTTTATGCATCAGACTTGAAGACACTCCTTTGACAGAAAATGACTATATTGTACTAGGCCAACATAAGTATGAAGGAATTCGAAAGTAATATTTAAAATGTGTTTTGTTTCTAGCCAATGGCGAGCCATCTGCGGTCACCGTGACCGCAAAATGTCCAATATAAAGTCGCTTTTGAATATTAATATGGGTTATTACTATATTGTACCAGGGTAACATAATTCTGTAGGAATCCCTAAATTGTATTTAAATAGTATGGATTTTGTATTAGATTGGACAAAAATTACTAATATTGTACCAGGGCAACATAAGTATGAAGGAATTCGAAAATTATATATACAACTTTAGCCAATGGCGAGCCACGTATAGCCACCGAGACCGCGCTATGGCCCATATAAACTCGCTTATGCATATTACTATAATTAAAATAAAGTCACTGTATTGCATATATATATATATATATATATATGGATTTTGTATTAGACTTTAGACACAAATTACTATATTGTACCAGGACAACATAAGTATGAAGGAATTCGAATATTATATATACAATGTGTAAATTATTTATACAATGTCTTTAGCCAATGGCGAGCCACCAATAAACTCGCTTTTGCATATTAGTATAGATTTTGTATTGACTTAAACCCATAGATCTATTGTGTTACATGACAAATTTGTATTTGGTAATGAGAAAATTACTTTATTGTACCAGGGCAATATAAGTCGGAAGGAATTCAAAAATTTTTATACATTTTTTATATAATGGCGCTTTTGCATATTAGTATGGATTCTGTATAGTTTTTAATTGCTGACTTTAGACTCATAGATATGTTATGACCAATATCTTTGACAAATTTGTATTTGGTGATGAAATAATTACTATATTATACCAGGGCAACATAAGTATGAAGGAATTTGAAAATTATATATAGTATAGTATAGTGTTTTGTTTTTAGCCAATGGCGAGCCGTCTGCGGTCACCGTGACCGCATAATGTCCTCATATAAAGTCGCTTTTGAATATTAATATGGGTTATTACTATATTCTACCAGGGTAACATAAGTCTGAAGTAATCCCTAAATTGTATTTAAAATATGAGTACAGTACAGTACAGTACTGTGTATTTTGACTTTAGACACAAATTACTGTATTGTACCAGGGCAACATAAGTATGAAGGTATTCGAAAATTATATATAAAATGTGTTTTATCTTTAGCCAATGGCGAGCCACGTGCAGCCACCGAGACCGCGCTGTGCTCCATATAAACTCGCTTTTGCATATTAGTATAGATTTTCTATTGACCATTAAACCTATATATAGAGGTTGTATTTGGTAATAGAAAATTAAACTATTGTACCAGGGCAATATAAGTCGGAAGGAATTCTACAAATTTTATACATTTTTTTTATATAGGTAAAGGTGTTTTTACATATTAGTATGGATTCTGTATAGTTTTTTTATTGTTTAGACTTTAGACTCATAGATATGTTATGACCAATATCTATGACAAATTTGTATTTGGTGATGAAATAATTACTATATTGTACCAGGGTAACATAAGTACGAAGGAATTTATATATAAAATGTTTTTGTTTTTAGTCAATGGCGAGCCACGTGCAGCCACCGAGACCGAGCTATGCCCCATATAAAGTCATATACTCGCACCTCTTTGGATAACAAAATGGCTGCCTACTATCTACTAACATCAGGGAATATCAGTAAGGCGGCGTGGGGCTCGATTAACAAAGGGAACTCGGCTTTAAGAATAATGAGCTATGAGGCTGGAGTGTTGTTCCTCCCGAAATTTGTGGTAAGACTTCTATTTTATAGTACAGGAGACAAACGAGCTGATAGCCTACCTTTTTTTTATAACCTAGGGGACAAACGAGTAGCCAGCCCACATTTTTTTGTAGCATAGGAGACAAACCATCTGATGGTCCACCTTTTTATAGCATAGGAGACAAACTAGCGACTCACACTAGTAAGTGATTACCGCAGGCCATGAGCACCGCAACACCAGGAGAATTGCAAGTGCGTTGCCGGCCTTTTAAGAACGAATAAGATAGTTTCTTGAAGGTTTCAATATCGTATCGGTTAATACCATTGCTGGAAGGTGCTTCCACAATGTGGTCGTGAATGGCAGTGCGAGTGGTATAAAATACATGATGGTAAGTGGTAACCGTCGCCTATGTGTATCTTTGTAGGTATTATAAAATACAAGTGATTTTTAGGATGCTTTTATATATGATAATTGATACTGGAATGGTGCACCCGCCTGCACTAATGGTTTACCCTGGCGGGGTAACAGGCGACGGTGATAAAACGAGTATGTCACAATGGGCTGACTGACCTGACCTCATGCTCATCTTATCATCCTCCAATGGTGCCCACCAGTGTATACCGTTAGGGCTGCGTCGTTAAAACAAATCTGAGTCATAAATAAAGTCATTTTTATTTTCACAGATAAATGAAGATCTGTTCCCCTTGTCTCCCGGAGCCAAGAATCGTCTGATCATTCCATACGACATACCCCCGACCAAGTATTCCAGTGACATGTCACCATGGGTTTTCGATTACTTGTCATGAGCTCCTACAACTTATGTGATCTTGGTACCTATTGTTTAAATAAATCATGATTTTTTTGTAATAAATTTTTTATGTTGATAATGGCCTCGATGGGTCGCGGGTTCCATTCCTCGCACGGCACAAACATTTGTATTCATGAGTATGATTGTTTGTGGTCTGGATGTTTTCTATATGTAATATGAATGTGTTTACGAAAAAAAATTATCTGTGAATTTGTATGAGTTGTCTAGTACCCACAGCACAAGCTCTGCTTAGCTTGGGACTAGATGGCGCTGTGTTAATTGTTCTAAAGTATTATATTATTTGTATGAATTTACGAAAAATAATTAATTCACAAATAAATGAAGATCTGTTCGCCTTGTCTCCCGGAGACAAGAATCATCTGATCATTGCATACGATGTAGCCCCGACCAAGTATACCAGTGACATGTCACAGTGGGTCTCCGATTATTTGTTATGAGCTCCTGTAAACTTATGTGATCTTGGTACCTATTGTTTAAATAAATCATGATTTTTTTTGAAACATTATTTTTTATGGCGATTATGGCCTCGGTAGTCTAGCGGTTTAGCACATGGCCTTGATGGTCGCAGGTTCGATTCCTCGCACGGCACAAACATTTGTATTCATGAGTATGATTGTTTATGGTCTGGGTGTTTTCTATGTATATTATGTATGCATTATTTCAGTATTTATATCAGTTGTTTAGTACCCATAACACAAGCTCAGCTTAGCTTGGGACTAGATGGCGCTGTGTGAATTATCCTGAGACTTTTATATTAGGTACATCATATCATCATCATCATATCTATGTATTTGTATCAGTTGTCTAGTACCCATAACACAAGCTTTAGCTAGCTTAACTTGAGTCTAGATGGCGCTGTCTGAATTGTCCTGAGATTATTATTATTATGTCAATGTTAGGACACCACAGGAAAAAAAAGACATCACAGTTCAAGTTATTTACGAGTGTACCATGACATGCCGTTGTGGGTCTTGGTTTTATTGTCATTAACTGTTACATTGTTATGTTATCCTGGTAGTTTTACAGGAAATTATGAGATGTTTTTTTGTAATTATGCTGATTTTAATGTTAAAAATAAACTTAATTAATTATATTATAGTTTTTTTTACTATGGAAGCAGTTAGACATCCTGAAAATAGAATTTATCCGAAATAGCTATGTCTATTCAAATAATAAAATAAAAAAAACCTGGAATGTTCTTGTACTTTTAATATACTTATTTTTAAAATAATTCTTTATTCATGACCATGGTCTTTCGACTAAAATGTCCTAAATGTATAAATGATTTTTGAATTTGAATTTGAATTTGACATACTGCCGAATAGGGTTGCCAGGTCACCTAACATAATAGCCGGACAGACGAGCCAGTTTAGCCGGACATTTCGGTAAAAAGGTCGGACTGTATGTACCGGAATGTACGGTACATTATTGAGGATTTTGTCTCAGTTATCAGGTACGATAAAACAATTGTATTTAAAATGAAGCTTTTTTTTATTATTAGCATAAATATTATTAAATTCTGATGAAATATCAATAAAACAGAATTTCAAATCACTGTTTTTTATTATTAATTTTATTTATTTATCTATTGTTTTTATTATCACATTTTTTTGGATTTTTTATATTAACTAGTACTTCAGCCGCGATTTGATACGGCCAAAGTTTTAATTGTTTAATTCCTCTGGAGGGGATGCTGAATTACGAAATAAATACATATATATTATACTAGCTCTTCCCGTGACTACGTCCGCGTGGAATTTAAGTTTATTTTTCTAAAATAAAAGTAGCCTAAAGAACTAAAAATTATTTTGTTCGTCATAATTTACTCGTTCCATTAGATACTGATAGGTTCAAACTAATACATTTACATCCTGCATCATCCCTTATTTTATCCCCATGGGAGTTGAATTTAAAAAATCCTATTTAAGCGAACGTCTTCATAGTAGCCCCAATCTTTAATTTCAGTTCAATCAGTCGAAAATCCAAGAAGATTTATATAAACTTTCATCCCTTATTTTATCCCCTTAGGGGTGGCCAAAGCCTTTCTTAGCGGATGCCTACGTCATAATGTCTACCTGCATGCCAAATTTGAGCCCGATCCGTCCAGTGGTTTGGGCTGTGTGTTGATAGATTACTATGTCAGTCAGTCACCTTTGAGTTATATATATTTATAGATTATAGTTTATATAAATTAGTTAATAGTTAAATGCCAAATTAGACTGAATATTATTAATCAGTCAAAATAAATTCTAAATAAACATTTATCAACACTTTTTAATTATAAATTTCTAATTAAAGGCAAAGTAAATAAGACTTTCAAAAAGAAAAACAAATTAATAAAAATAATTATTTGTTAAGCCTAACGAGGGCCGGACAACGTTTGTGTAGGCCGGACACGCAATAGAGAAGCCTATGGCCGGTTTTATCCGGACGCCTGGTAACGCTGCTGCCATCTAGAACTCTTAGAACTTATATATACAGATAATATAGAACTTAGAAGTCTTCTAAAACATACATAGTAAACAGTCGTGGTTTTTCAATTATTTATCATGAGCATTATGTAATCCTGGTCGTTTTACAGGAAATTATGGAGACCTTTGACGGAAATATCTTAAAGTAACGAAAAATGGCTAGGATACGGTCGAAGTAGGAGCGAGGTATATCAGAGAAATCTCTCTACAATCATCTAAAAGATCTTGCCCTGCCTAGAAATTCAGCAAGTTATAGACTATTGACATATAGCTACAGCTGCACTAGCTGGCTCCTAGCTGTCATACATCGTCATGGGCCTATGGCTGTATACGTATATAAATATATTGTATAGGCAGCGCGCATGCGAAGCTGCGCGCGCAACTTATGTAAATATGTCAACTGTCTTGTCTCATATAAAATTAAATTAGATAAACGTTTGCTTTGTTATTTTATTTAAATATATATAAATATAATCCAGATCAAGCCCATAACTGGTGACCCCGCTCTTGGACAGAACCGTAAGGATATAAAATACATATTTTTAAAGAACAAAAATACATATAAAACACAATTTTACTGATATATATGAACATCATGTCTTTGGAAAATACAATAGCTACCGAACCATCTGAACTGTTCAAAGTCGGAATTGACCTACATCAACTGAGAATTCAGTCTCTTGTTATAATTTAAAATTATTATTTGTCATAAGCTGTTATATTATTATGTTCTCCTGGTATTTAGACAGGAAATTATAAAGACTTAAAGAAATAAACAAATTAATGAAAAATGCCATGTGGTTAATACGGTCGAAGTGGGAGCGAGAGGTATACCAGAGAAATCTCTACAATCTGCTAAAAGATCTTGACCTATCTAGAACTGCAGTAAGATCTATACTATTATAGAACGTGTATCTAAAGCTGCACTAGCAGGCTCCTAACAGATTTGTGTGGACAGGGAGAGAAACACGAGCGGTGAAGTATGTCGTACGTCATTTAGGGCCCTTTGACCTACATCAACTGAGAATTCAGTCTCTTGTTATAATTTAAAATGATTATTTGTCATAAGCTGTTACATTGTTATGTTATCCTAGTAGTTTGGCAGGAATTACGGAGATGTAAAATAAAATAGGGACCTAACTTTAGTAAAGACCCTAAAATAGGGATCTAACCAAAATTAGTGTATATTTAAAGGCCTACTAAAGTACCCTATGACTTAAAATAGGTGTCCGACTATCTGTTACGCTTTCACGACAAAACTGTTCAATTAATTTTAATAACATTTGGGGTGAAGATAAATTGTATGACGGACGGACATATGCTTTATTATATGTACTACTATACTACTATATAATCATACTATAATAATAATAATAATATCTCAGGACAATTCACACAGCGCCATCTAATCCCAAGCTAAGCAGAGCTTGTGTTATGGGTACTAGACGACTGATATAAATATTTTTTTTTGTAAATACAAACATATTATACATAGAAAACACCCAGACCGATACAAACAATCATACTCATGAACGCATGTCTGTACCGTGCAAGGAATCGAACCCGTGACTGTCGGAAATGTGGATAATCACCGGATGATGATACTGATTTTTCATTTCATTGGTTCACAATATCATACTTTGTCGACTTCCCTTTTTTTTTTACAAGGGGAAATCCGTCATGGAGACCCGCACGTCCCGGAGGAAGCGTGGGAATACTGCCAGACTCTTACCGGCTAAAACCCCTTGGTGTCCTCCGAGCGCTTTGGTGCCAGGGTTACGGGATCAGATGATATTCAACCGTGAACCCCGGCAGCGCGGGCTCTTCAGCCCAACTCCTGAGTGGCGTGCGCGGACACCACGCGCGTCTACTCCTGGCCTCATTCCAGCTTAGGTGACAGCTGACGCCCCCGCGTCAGTGCCTCGGTGTGTCGACTTCCCTACCCGAAGTAAATAGGTTCATCAAACGGACAAACTAGAGATGTGCTAACTCGTAATAAACATTACTCGAGTTAACTCGAGTTGAAATTCAATTAACTCGAGTTAACTCAAGTTGAAATTCAAGTAAGTCGAGTTAACTCGAGTTACCTGGAATAAACTGTTTTTTTGTTTTATTTTTAATTTTTCTAACAAATCTAATGTTTTTGGCCGCAGCTAGCCTCGAAAGCTTCACCGAACCATAGGGGGCGAGTAGAAATGGCACTTCAAAGCCGCGGAAGGACTTATGGAACGCATAATCATTTTAATGATAACATAACAGGACGAATATGGGAAAAAATAAATGATAACGACCTCAAATCAATATTGAAAACGAGTGAAAATTGTATAGAAATAATCTTTATTCAAATAAACTTAATATAAGCACTTTTGAATAGTCAAGTTTTTTTATTCTACCGCTTATTCGGAATGCAGATTCATCACAAGAAGAATATGCAAGAAACTTGTGTGTTGCTCTTTTAAATAAATATTGATTTACTTAATATAACAACAAGGATTAGACATGCGACAATCAACATAGAAACCGCTACGCACTTAATCTCTGTTCAATCAGATAACGTTGTCAGCGCTATGAATTTTAAATTAGATATTTTCTACAAAAACATTATTATCATTTATAATTTCTTTAATTTTATAATAAGCTTTTCTACAGAGAAATTATTTTATGATACATTATTGTACGATATGAAATGATCGGAAAATTTCATGTCATTGTCGGGTCGACGACAGACTCATGCTCTCGCTCTTTCACTTGATTCGTTCATTTACCAGTTGAATACTTCCCACTCGAGTTGGCAGAATTCAACTCGAGTTAACTCGAATTCACCGCAACTCGAGTTGACACATCTCTAGGACAAACTTGTTATTTACTTTTTATTTTTAAATAATGTCGAAACAATTGTAGTTTGTACTACACTAACATTTAATAACAACCAGTTATAATTCGGTTCATCGGCCATATTGCACTGAGCATATATAGAGAGGCACGCATCGTTAACTCCTTACTGTTGCTGTTGCCCTGGTGTGATTTCGTTGTCTCTATATTGTTTAACAATGCGGGTGAGTTTTTTTTTGTTTATTTAATTCAGGCTACACGGTCCATATAAATAGTATCTATAATATATCTTATATATAAAATTCTCGTGTCACAGTTTTCGTTCCCATACTCCTCCGAAACGGCTTGACCGATTCTCATGAAATTTTGTGAGCGTATTGAGTAGGTCTGAGAATCGGCCAATATTTTTCATCCCCCTAAATGTTAGGGGTAGTCCACCCCTAAGTTTTTTTTTAATTTTAAGGCAAAACAACGTTTGCCGGGTCAGCTAGTAATATACATGTAAGTGATAGGATGAGTGGAGTGTATGTGTGATGTAAATCAAACAATGGATAGAAAATGGTGAATACTTATAATGAGGTACGTGTACAAACGGTTGTAGACAAAAAGTGACAATAAAAATATATGACAATTCTAAAAGAAAATTCATTTAAAATTGGTAGAAAAATAAATATATAAAAATGTGCAATGAGTTTGCAACAATACATATAAATAAAATTGGAGTGTCTGTTTGTAATATTGAAATAACCGTTTTTTACTACATGGCGCCTGCGCGCGCCCGATCGCTCCACACCGGCGCCCTCGGGCGCCTCACCGATCGATCCCCCGTCCAATTGAAACGGGGATCGAAAGTAGGACGACCTGAACCGAAGTTCGAACCCCTAGTGGTGCCCTCAGACTATCAGATCCAATTGAGAAGAACTGGCAAGAAACTCAATTGAATTATTTTTTCTTTAAAATCCAGTTTATTTACAATGCATAGGTATTTATATAGGTGTCTATGTCTGTGATAACCGTGATATCACTGTAATTTAACATTTTAATCGCTATGTCAGTCATATGTGTCTGACGCTACGAAATTCTACACATGGCACTATTTACAATATTTGTAATAATCCTTACATTGGGTACTTCATTAGTACTGAACACAAACTACTTTTAATATATTTTTAAAATATCGGATTTTTCTACAATATTGATGTGAACTCTAACATTTTTAACTAAATTACCTAATAAATAATAGTAATAATAACTCTTTATTGCGCACAGACAAACAAAGAACAATAAAATATGATAAACAGTTATACAAAAGGCGGTCTTATCACTAACAGCAATTTCTTACAGACCAAGAAATTATATTTTTTTTTAAGGTTTTGTATTTTATGTTGGGCTAAAAAGGACTTGTATCCAGAGCCGTAAAATATTAAATAAATAAAAAAAAAACCTGGTATTGACAGATACGATTTACATAGAGAAGGTAGAAGGCGCACAGTAGACAACATATTTATAATACACATATAGATAAACATACATTTTATAAGTATTAATAAAAATAAACTTACACACTAATACATATTATATACATACATATACTAAATACGGAATGTGTTCAAAATCTACCCTATACCATCGTAAGCACAGATTATTATATTAGAGTCCGTTAGTTTTCTGTTCCCGCGTCTTTCCTTCCTCTCCCTTAACTAGTACTGAACCGACTGTACGGCGGCCATGACGCGCGCGCATTGTGCTGTGAATTAAAATAAATTAGAACTGTGAAACCTACTGTGAAACTGGAAAGCTAGCGAAGATATCTTCGAGACCATGAAGCCCAAGAAATCCGCAGAACCGTACAGATACGTGACTGACGCTTCCACTCATTTTTCACTATATATATACAGAGTAAATTCCCTAACATTTTGGTAGCAGAGTAGTTTCCCAAACAGGATGAGAACAAAAGGAAAATTTAGTTATAATTCAGTTATAGAGAGAGAGATAATGAGATTTTAGTGAATTTTGAAATATAGTAAGTGATTGTGCTGATCGAATGGGAAATGGCAAGGAGTTCCAGAGGCGAATAGTTACAGTGAAAGAATCGGTATAATATTTAGATGAATGAAATGGGAAAGTTAAAGGAGTTCCAGAGGGGAATAGTGAAAGAATCAGTATAATATTTAGAAGAATGAAATGGGAAAGAGATAAAACAAAACACATAAACAGAGGCTTCGTGTGCTACGCAATTCAGAACCCGGAGTTTTGGTCTGGTACTGGAAGTTATTATTCAAGTATTTAGGAGTATGATGGTAGAAAATTATGGTTTAAAGGAGAAAGTGATATAATAAAGATAAAATTTAATAATTTTATCTTTATTATATCACTTTCTGATATTACCGTGGCAATTAACGTGTTATATTTATAATTATTATTTTTCAGTTGATATGCGCCTGGTGTTTTCTGTTGGCGGCAACGAGAGCGCAGAACAGTGAATTCTACGAGCCGCAAACATTTAAACAACATGTAAGTACTACATATATACATACTTTACAACCTCGGTGGTATAGCGGTTTAATACATCGCTGTACTTCCGATGATCGCGGGTTGCATTCCTAGTACGCATGGCCGTCTTTCACCTATTAGAGGTACTGGGCATATTACGATAATGAGGCCCTATGACCGCAGTAATAAAGCTTTTGTTAGAATATACAAGTCCTTTTTGAACTTGACTCTTTAGAGATGTATTGGGGTTGCCATTTAAAAATATAAAATTAAAATTTCAAATTCAAAATATCTTTGTTCATGTAGGTCTATTACAGACTCTTATGATATGTCAAATCTACCGTCAAAAACTATATATATATATATATATATATATAACACGTGAGTATATATTTTTCCATTTAGTTTGGAAAAGAATTAATAAATATATAAATACAAATTTATACTTATATTAATTTGTGGTGCCGGCGATTTCGGAAGCATATTTTTCTTTTCGGACTACTCTAGTGCTGTTGGCCGCAGCTGGCCTTTACAGCTTCACCGGACGATAGGGGGCGAGTGCAGATGGCACTCCAAACCAAAGGAAGGACTTATGGAGCGGCTGAAGGCCAACTCCCGCCTGATGTATATGACTTTCGTCTGTGGGAACCGCTAGAATAGAATAGAATAGAAAACAATTTATTCAAATAAACTTACATTGAAGCACTTTTGAATAGTCATTACATTTTTTAATCTGTAAATGTAAAGTAATAATTTTATTATTACTTTACATTTTTAAGTTTAAGTGTGTGAATACACATACTCAAATAGAAAAAATATTGAATATATAACCAACTGGTTAAACAATTAATAAGAGGAAATCAGTCATAGTGATTAGAGCAGACCAGTCCCTACAAGCAGCACCCGTTCACGAGTATGACGGATGAGCCAGCCATCACTGCGCTCGACCATATTTTAGGGAGCCCAATGACCCGGCCCACCACGCCGCCACAAGTCTGGACATTTTAGTGAGCATGACTACTCAAAACACTAGACTACGTCAAAGCTACTTACAATTGCCATCTGATAGTTATAGTATTCACATTTTACATAAGAATGCATGCGGCAATTAATACAAAAACCGCTACGCTTTCATATTTCTAAAATCAATCAATTAAATCAAGAAAGCAATGAGAAAATTAAATTATAACGTTGTATGCTAGGGGTTCGTACCTCTGCTCAGGCCGTCGTAATTTCGATCCTCGTTTGAATTGGACGGGAGAGAGTGTTAAGTAGCGTAATCTATTCAGAATCTAAAAATGAAAGCAAGTGACAATAAATTAATTTTATTTCATTTTTATGAAATGAAATGAAATATTTATTCAGTAGAAGAAAAAACTAAAACACACATTACTAAACAAAAAAAAAAGACAAACAGTGCAATAATACAAAATAATGTGTACACAAATTACGTGTGTGTGCATGTGTATGTTTGTCGAAGCATCTACTGAATAGGTCCATGCTCAGCATTACGCTGCAGCGGCTGGAGCGCTGCAACGCTGTTTTTCAGCACAACACTTGGGGTGGTGTATCTTCGTGTTGTACGCGATTTATGATTTTTACAACGCCATCTATTATTTTATGAATAAACTTATTTATAAATTAGTAGGTAGCGAATTAAAAGTTATCACAATATTCATTACTTTCCGTCAATTGAGGTGTACTTTGTCAGTTTTGTTTAATAGAATAGAAAATTATTTATTCAAATAAACTTAATTTAATCACTTTTGAATAGTCATAACATTTTTTTAATCTACCGCTCATTCGGAAAACTGTCTCATCACAAGAAGAACGAGAAAGAAACTTGTGTGTTGCTCTTTTAAATAATCCTTGTAAGTTTACATTTACAAGTCGAAACGTGTGAATACAAACTACTAACCAGCACTAATTTATTAGGGTCAAATATAAATACGATTAAATCAGTCGGTAATTGAGCAAAAAGCGAATTCTTGATATTTCTTTTCATGTTGAATTGAATCTAGAGCTTGAGTAGTATCAGTATAAACAAAAACTTGTTACACCTTTTTTTTTAAATTGCTCGAACAGAGGAGTATGAAATTCGCGCACTTAAATTTTATTTAGAGTGCAAAATGTTAATATATTTTTTAATTTTGCATATAAAATACATGTAATAAATAAATAAACTACACACTCTACCATGTAGCATAGATATGTCAAATTTAGTATAGATTAATATTGTTTGTCTATAGTATTACTGACGAGAAAATATCATAATTTAAATGAATTATAGTTGAATTTAGACCGTTAAATAAATAATAACAAATAAAAAATCCTGGACAATTAATACAGCGCCATCTCATCTCACGGCAAGCAGAGCTTCTGTTATGGCTACTAGACAACTGATATAAATACATAGATAGTTTTTTTGTAAACACATACGTAACAGAAAACGCCTACGGCGGTACGAACAATCAAATGAATACAAATGTTTGCACCGTGCGAGGAATCGAACCCGCGACCATCGGACGTAAAGCGGTATTTTAAACCACTAGACCACCGAGGCCGTCAAACTATCATCGTTATGAAATATCATCTTTTCCACAATCCTTCCATCTTTTCTTGGTCGACCTCTCCTTTTCTATTCACGTTTATATTGAACAAAATGAATCATTACATAGTATAAAACAAAGTCGCTGTCGCTGTCTGTCCGTACCTATGTATGCTTAAATCTTTAAAACTACGCAACGGATTTTGAAGCGGCTTTTTTAATAGATAGAGTGATTCAAGAGGAAGGTTTATATATATAATATTTATTTATTTAACTTTAATGCACACAATATTATATACAGTACATTTGGCGGACTTATATTTGTACGCTTGATATAAGCATATTTTGTAAGGGCCATGTTTTTGTATAACATCATATATGTATGTACCCAAAATCTATTGCAAATAATTTTTTGTTTTTTTATATATATATTATATATCTCCCATTGATGGGGTAATAGACTGATCATTGCGGGTAAAAATCACCAAACAATGACAGTATAAATTATGAATGATGAGGATGGATAATTTTTAAGTGGAAGACAAAAATTTGCGGACTATTCTACAAGTGTTTAATATTACAGCTTTTTGGAGAAGGATGAAAGTAAGTTATTATTATTATTATTATTTTTTTCCCAAAAATTCTCATCTCCCCTCTTAAGGAGAGGAGATGGCAACGTACCCCCGGCAGAAGCACAGTCGGCCGGGGTTCAGGGCCCCAGGGAGAGAAACCGGCGTACAATGCGGGCAGAATCTAAGAGCACCGCTTTCTGCATCTTTCCCGGGAGTGAGCCGCCCCGGAATCCCAACCGTCTGAGATGTTGTTCCAGACTGGTTGGGATAAGACCGTTCACCGACATAACGATTGGAATGATTTCGGTGGACATCAACCCCCATATATCGGTCACCTCGTGAGCCAGGTCGAGATACTTTCTCTTTTTCTCAGTTTCGGCTTTCACGAGGTTCTCGTCATGCGGTATGGTGATGTCCACCAAAAACACCCTCGAAAGTGCCCGATCCATCACCACGATATCAGGTTTGTTCGCAAGAACGGTCCTGTCCGTGATGATGGATCGGTCCCAGTAGAGCTTGACGCTGCCGCTTTCGAGGACCGGCTGGGGCTCGTACTTATAGTACGGCAACCTCTCATTCGCGAGGCCGTACTTCAGAGCTAGTTCTTGATGGAGTATTTTGGCTGCCTGGTTGTGTCTGTGCAAGTACTTAGTGTTGGCAAGAGCTGAACAACCCGAAAGCACATGTCTGAGTGACTCTCCGGGATGGCGACATGCCCGACAGATGTCCTCAGTGCCATCCTACAGAATGTGCTTTCGGTAATTGTTCGCCTTAACCACCTGATCCTGTATTGCACAGACAAAACCCTCGGTCTCTCCGAAGAGATCACCGAACTGTAGCCAGTGCACGGAGGTCTTCGTGTTGACGTACGGCCCGTGAAGGGCTTTGAAGAACCTTCCGTGCAACTCCTTCTCTTTCCATACGGCCTCCCGCTGAGAGGTACCCAGAATCCTTTGTCACGTTCTATGACCTCTCTATGCAAACCCTGGTCTCTTTTCTTCAGAAAATATGTCCTGAGACTGTCAATCTCGCGGTTGTGCATGGTCTTAACGCTTAACAAGCCTCGACCACCAGCCTTCCGCGGGATGTACAGCCTCATGACTGACGATTTCGGGTGATGCATTCTATGGAGGGTCATAGTTGTGCGGACTTTCCGCAATTATTATTATTATTATTATTATTATTAACAATATATACATGTACACCCGTCCGAACCCGGGGCGAGTAGGTAGTTATTTATAAATATATCAATCATATATACACATTGGTATATTACTTGCATAACATAATTATTTCTAATTAGCGAAGACACAGTTACGACGGTCTGTGCCAATTTATACTTCACTGGTCATATATTTTAATAATATGGAACGATTATAGAAGAATGTAGCACACGATAGCATCGCGGCGATATTTCCCAATTCTCGGCACGTCAATTAAAAAATAAAGAAAGTTTTTTCTTTTATTTGCACAGAGTAATTAACAGTATATTTTAAAAGAGTTGGAAATGACTTTTGCATAAAAAAATAAAGAAAGTTTTTTCTTTTTTTTGCACAGAGTATTAACAGTATATTTTAAAAGAGTTGGAATTGACTTTTGCATAGATTAATTAACATTATAATATGGAACAATTTTAGAAGAATTTAGCACGCGATAGCAACGCAGCGATATTTCCCAATCTTTGACACATCAATTAAAAAATAAAGTTTTTTCTTTTACTTGCACAGAGTAATTAACAGTAGAATAAACGACGTATTTAACGAGAATTGAACAAAATCTAATCTATGTAATAACATAACGGTATTAAAAAAGAATATATTACACTTTTTATTCAAAATCAATTTTTTTTTGGTTCGGTTTTTCCCTTTTTAGGGAAAGGCAAAAGGACTCAGCCCATACAGCCAAACCCTCAAAATCAAAGAGAGATTTGCATTTGTCATAGTTGTCATATACATGGATAAAAATTTTAAAAGTCATCTACTAAAATAATTATGTTCATGTATTTTTTTTACTTAAAAATGAAACAGAATACTTGACGGAAGTCAAAAAAAGTCAAGTATTCTGTTTCATTTTTATTGCAACCAACAAGGCAAAGGAACTGTGGTCCAATAACTATAATTCCTTAAGATAAAAATGCTGTGACTCTTATACGTCCTTAACATTTTTTTGGTGCAATAAAGCAAAAGAACCGTGCCCATACAGACACAATTTCTTTAGAATAAAACTTTTTTAAAATTAACGTAAAGGTTAAATTCACTGATTACAATACCTGAACAGAACTAGAACACTAATGCCCTTAAGATATAGTCACATTGTCTTTTTGATATGTATAAGATAACTGTTATGCACAAGTACTGGTTTATTACTCACTGTCGTTGCGTTACACGATCTTTTATATTATTAGGAGGTAGATATAATATTAGTGGTAGGTAGGTAGCATGACTTTTACTTATTTTTTTATCCAATATCAAGGCAAAGTAACTATACCCATACAGCCACAATATTTTTCGAGTAATCCTTTTTTGACACTCGTAGTCTAAATTCACTGATTAGGACTCTTAAACAGGTCGGTGGAGCGTTGTTCAGACCTGCGCTGCCGTGGGACTCGCCTGTACAGAACCAGGAACGGTGGACAAAGTTATGTATTCACTCAATCCGTCACTATAATATATTTAAAAAAAAATGTGCATACTAATAATGGAATGACATAAATAAATTTTATTATTATTATTATGTATCCCCATGGCTGATAATATTCACAATACAAAACAAAACATACAATACAAACTAAAATCATTCCTTCTTTCTGACCTACCTAAGTACGATTTTAGTCTGGCACCGAGAGGAATTCGAACCTCGGCTCAGGACATCGTAATTTCGATCCCCGTTTGTATGGGACGACTCTAGACTATTCCGAACGCTTCCTTCGTATAAGCAGGTTGTATCACGGCTTGCTTAGTAAGCAAGACCAGTAGAAAAGACCGTTTAATAACACTGGCCACTGAAAAAAACATGTGACCGTTAAAATAAAAAAAAAACGTTAATTTCAAATAAGAACTTAAAGAAAATGGACGCTCCGTAATTTTACTATTTATAAACGAGAAAGTTAATGAAATAATTGTTTAAATATAGTTGTTTTTAATCAAATATATGTACACTCTAGAGTGCATGGCCTCTAAACTGTACTACACGTCGAGATGTTCTGAGCAAAGGTGAGTAAGTTTGGTGTTACTTTGCGTGTTCAGAGTGTGGGAGACATACTTCCTAGGCGATATCATATCTCTCCTTCCTTTCCTATAAATTATATTATACTAGCAACCCCGCACGGCTTCACATGCAGAGTTATCTGTAGCATTATGCTGAGTTGGCTGCCTTTTCACTTTTGCGGCACATAAAGTCGCCTACATTTCTTATATTAATTCGTGTTTTTTCTGTATCTCATGTATGTTATGTGTCTATAATTGTTAATAAAGAATTTATCTATGTATCTATCTAATATTTGTTACATATATTTCATCTATACATACATATAAATAAAATTGGAGTGTCTGTTTGTAATATTGAAATAACCGTTTTTTACTACATGCATATGAATATAAATAAGGTACATACACCAAAATGACATTTCTAATAATTTTTGTCTGTCTGTCTGTTTGTTCCGGCTTATATCTGAAATGGCTGGACCGATTTTGACGGGACTTTTTTTGGCAGGTAGCTGATGTAATAAGGAGTAACTTAGGCTACTTTTATTTTAGAAAAATAAAGTTAAATTCTACACGGACGTAGTCGCGGAAACAGCTAGTTTAATAATATAAAATTACCCGTATTGTATATTATATTGTAATTATTGTTAATATTAATAAATAATTAAATTATTTCTTCATAATAAAGAACTTAAATCTTTCATTCACAGATAGAAGCGTACCAGAAAGGTTTGTTCACGCCAGCAAGCCCCAATGACGTCGCCCCTCAGAGCACAGTGGTGGAGACCTGGAGGCCTAAACCGGGTTCCAACTTCGAATCTTGGCCTGGTATGTATACTATTGTATAATTATGGATATTTTGTAGTATTTCTATCAATTGTTCAAAAGGTTGTAATTATATTAGTTGTAATTTGTTTAATTGTAATTGTAATTGGTTGTAATTGTATACAAGTAGTAAATGCTCTGCTTAGTTTGGGGCTAGATGGGGCTGAGTGAGTTTTTTTGCAATGGATTATAAAGAAATGAAAGGCGTATGATGGGGGCACCTGTGGAGGAAGGAGGATAGGATAAGGATGGAGTCAGGTTAGTTCGCCCGTTGTTCTGAATTCACGGAGGAATTATCTACAATAATTTCTAGAGGTTCTTTCTTGTAGAGGTCGACCTGAGTAATAATGAAGTAGATCTTTGGTATTATATTATAAATACACTACCAAGGCTTCCCACCCCGTTGCTGTGTGAGTTAAAAATAAAAAAACCCGAAATCCATATTAAAGTACCAGGGCAGCATAACATGCAGCAGCTCTAATAAAATGTACCACACAGTTTTTCTTGTAACCACCAATCACTACGCCCAGTAGCTGTGCGAATTAAAAAAATAAAAGCCGAAATCCATATTGAAGTACCAGGACAGCATAGTGTACCAGGCGGCTCTAATAAAGTGTACTAAGTAGTTTATCATGTAAGCATAGTTACCAACGATTACGCCCAGTAAGCTGTGCGATTTAAAAAATTAAACAGAATTGGACCCTAAAATCTACATTTAAATACCAGGAGAGCAAAACACACCAGGAGGCCTTAATAAAGTACCAAATAGTTGTTCTTGTAACCACCGTAATTAGCAACCATTATATGCCCATAGCTGTGCGAGTTAAAAAAAAGAATCTATATTGAAATACCAGGACAACATAACGTATAAGGCTACTCTAGTGTACCAAATAGTTTAATTTTTAAATACCAACCTTCGCCCAGTAATTGTGCGAGCTAAAATAATTTACATTAAAATACCAGGAGAGCATAACGCACTAGGTGGCTATAATAAAGTATACCAAATGGTTTATCATATAACCATAATTACCAACTCCTTCGCCCAGTAGAGCTGTGCGAGTTAGAGAAGTAAAACATAATACTAAAAGTGCTGCCCACCTTCATGAAAGAGGACTACTGGCCGAAAGGTGTGGTGTATCGGCGCTACCGTGGCAGATTGCCGTCTTCAGTGCAGTGATCACACAGACAATATCGTTGTATTGATTTTTAAATATTATATTATATGTATGTTAGTCTATAAGGTATTTATAATATGGGCCTAGTTGCCTGAAATAAATGAATAAATAAAAAATAAAATAAATAAAATCCACATTGAAGTACCAGTTCAGCATAACGCATAAGTCGGCGCTAATAAAGCGTACTAAGTAGTTTTTTATGTAATCGTAACTACCAACCCAGTCAAGCACAAGTTAAAAAAACACAGAAGTTAACTCTAAATCTATATTAAAATACCAGGACATTATAACGTATAAGGCGATACTAATGTACCAAATAGTTTTTCATGAAACCATAACTACCAACCCAATAGCTGTGGAAGTTAAAAGAATATAAGTGAACCCTAAATCTACATTGAAGTACCAGGACAACATAACCCACCAGGCGTCTCTAATAAAGTGTACCAAATAGTGTAATTAGTATGACAAACAACCTCCGCCGATGTATTTGCAATTCCCCTGGTGTTGCTCCCTCATGGGCGGGAGATAATCACTTACAATCAGATGAGCCGCAAGCTCGTTTGTCTCCTGTACCATAAAAAAAGGCTAAGGTACCTTCGTAGATGTATCATCCCTTCAGTTTATTTCTAACGAAGAAATTTCATCTTATTTTACAACTAACTTTATAAGATTAAAAGATATTTCACCTTTCTCTACCCAGGTTCGATCCAGCAACGCCAGTCTCCTACACCGTCGCCTGTACTGCCCAAACCTGAACCCTGGAGGTTGCCCTACTCCCTGACGAAGGAGCAGCAAGCCAATATACTTCACCACAAGCAAGCATTAAGCTCAGGTAAGGTAACTTTAAAACTAGCTTCGACTGTGTGCTCTAACTATATAATAATTATATCTTTTCTTTACGCTATTTTTCAAAATCAGAATTTCTTTACCCATGTAGGTCTACTACAGAATCTTATATGATATGTCAAATCTACCGTCAGTTCGGAATGATTTCGAGATGAGAATTGAAAAGAAACTCAACTCCTATTCTTTTCAAATGAGTTTGTACATGTTTACAATAACACAGATTCATTTTTAAATTCAAATTTGGGGGAATAGAGTGACCACTAGCATATGCTATTGCAAATAGTCTAATCAGTGTTCGTAACCCGAACAGACCAGTTCTCACAATTTTTAGATCCATTTATTTTATTTTCCAAGGACATGTTTAAGATTTATAATTTATCAATAACTCTATAATTATGTTTTCTTTGTCTACATTTACATGCTCATTCTTTTCTTGCATGTTGCTTGTTTGTAAAGGTATAATTTATGAATGGCCCAATACGACAATGAAATTAAAGGATAAGAGGCATGACATCTTAGTCCTCTGAAATAGCACCGCGTTAACATGATGTCCGAATGTTTTATAGACAGCAATGTATATAAACGGACTTAAAAAAATCACTTGAGGTTCTTGCCAGTTCTTCTCAATTGAATCTGTATACTAAACTGAACGGTAGGAAAAAAAATTAATACAAAAAACACCGCTTATTGGTTGCCGATTTTGTTTTTGGTAATGGCATGATGTGTCCACCTGCGCTAGCAGTTTACGCTGGTGGGACCAGTTACCAGACCAGACCAGTAACTAGCTTACTGTTTTTTTTTTTGTGATAATGAAATGGTGCACCCGCCTGCGCTAACGGTTTACGCTGGCGGGGCACCAGTGGAGGATGATAAGATGAGCATGAGGTCAGGTCAGTTAGCCCATCGTGACAAATTCACATGTAATTTATCACGATGGTTTCCAGGGGGAACCACGTGGAGGTCAACCTGACATAGTACATTGATAGCAATGGGGTCAAGAGTCCACATTACTAACAATCCCCTTCCCCCCACTAGCTTACTGTTACCAGTGGAACATGATAAAGTAAGCATGTTCTGTTGTATTGACAGAGGGCAGTTTCAGTTTCGAATATGCATCAGACAACGGGTTGGCTGCTGGTGAAGTTATTGAACCGGACGGCTCTAGGATCGGGTCTTATCAGTACAAGGATCCGAGCGGGCAGCTCGTCAAATTGAAGTATAAAGCAGGAAAAGAAGGGTTTCAGGTAAAGTGCTTCAAAATAGTATTTGGATAGAAGAAAAGTTGGTTTTTATAACTTTCTTTTGGTACTGTTCATGTATATAGGTTTGACGGTTCTCTCTCTCTCTCTTTTTCTCTCTCTCTCTCTCTCTCTCTCTCTCTAATGATGGGAATGATGCCTGCGCTAACGGTACCAGTAGAGATGATGAGCATGAGGTCAGATCAGAGTCTCAAAATAGTATTTTGATAGAAGGAAAGTCAGTTTTTATAACTTTCTTTTGGTACTGTTCATGTATATAGGTTTGACGGTTCTCTCTCTCTCTCTGTCTGTCTCTCTCTCTCTCTCTCTCTCTCTCTCTCTCTCTCTCTCTCTCTCTCTCTTTCTAATGATGGGAATGATGCCTGCGCTAACGGTACCAGTGGAGTATTATATGATGAGCATGAGGTCAGATCTGAGTCGGATCAGTTTAACCGTAATGGAATAAAAGTACCAGGACAACATGAAGTTACAGGCAGTTGGGTGATGTCTTTAGTTCTGTTCATGTACATACGCGACGGACTTTCTATATATTATAGAACTGAAGATCTAATGGAATGACACATTTGCCTTCGCTAACTGTATATATTGTACGCTGGCGGGGCACCAGTGGAGTATGATATGATTAGCTTGAAGTCAGATCAGTTCCACCCTCTTCATCATCTGCTTCTTCCTTATCCCATTTATTTGGGGTCGGCGTAATATGTTTTTCTCTTCCATTCATCTCTGTTCGCAGTCATTCCGTTATTTACTCCTTTTCTCACCATATCATCTTTCACACAGTCCATCCATCTCTTTTTCGGTCTTCCTCTACCCTTATAACCATCCACATTCATATGTAACACCGTCCTTAGGATATGATCTTCATTCCACCATTCAGTTTCACCATTCAGTTCCACCCTCTTATAAAATAATAAGCTAATACAGTGAAAGTACCAGGTTAACATGAGGTTACAGGCAGTTGGGTGATGTGTTTGGTACTGTTCATGTATATATGCGACGGCAACTTTCTTTATATTATAGAACCGATGGTCTTCCATAATTGAATGGTTCACCCGCCTGCGATAACGGTATACGCTGACGGGGTACCAGTGGAGGATGATAGGATAAGCTTGAAATCTGATCAGTTGCTCCATACAACAAAAAATGTTTACCTCTTATCATCCGGCGCGCCGTATGCACTTGAAGTTGCAACCGTTCATTACATGCAACGACCGTTTACCATCTGGCCCGCCGTAAGCTTGACGACAATTCCTGTTGTAAAAAAATACAATGATATTGCAATAAAAGTACTAGGATAGTATAATATACGTGGAATTTGAATAGTAAATAAATAATGTAATATTACAGATCCTTGAAGGAAGTCATTTACCAAAAAGCCCCGAACCAGTGGCTCCCCTTGGTCAAGGTAAGGAAAGAGTATTTTATTTTATTACTGGCAACACCACAGATTCCTCCTTTTTTTTTTAACAAAATTATGCCAAAAATACAATAGTTAAACCTCAAGGTGTTAAGTCTGCCATATGCGTCTATATTTGTGTATTGCGTGCATTAAAATTTTAATAAATAAATAGATAAAAAAATATACTTTTTGACATTATTATATGAACTTCTGTGTGTGCAAACACCCTCTATTGATTAGATTTCATACCAGCAAATGATAAGGGTGGTTCAGCCATTTTTTTTTTATATAAATTATCTTTTTTTTATGATTCCACATTTACAATCCATCAACTCTACAATTCGACATGTAAAAAACTCTATCTATAGGGTTGTATGTATTTTAAATGTCGATCATAAAAAAATAAATTAAATTTATTTCCAATACAAATTTCAAGTGTAGAATCGCCAGCAAAAGAATCTTAAACCTATGATTATAGACATAAAGTCGAATTAAATATTTACGTGTAATTTATTTATTAATGACTAGTTACCCCGCGCTACTTCGTCTGCATCCCACTTACTTGACATTTATCATTATATTTCGCCCAATTTGCATATATTTTTAAATTATAGTCTGTGTTATTCTGATGTATAAGCTATATCACTGGAAAGTTTCATCAAAATACGTGCAGTAGTTTTTGCGTGAAAGAGTAATAAACATCTCTCCGTACTAACAAATTAGTAAAATTAAGATATGCATTTTTTACACTGTAAAATATTCAAAACAATAAAATTGGGATTAATTAAAAATTGTAATTTACTCTTTTGAACAGGTAATTACTACCAGGAAGCGTATGAACAACAGCGGAGGCAGTACGACCTCCAGCAACAGTACAACCAGCAGAAACCGGAGCCATACGACGCTTGGAGACAAAACCAGGTGTGTTTACAAGCGAATTTGCGAGCACGGTGGTCTAGAGGTCCATATAACATTGGTCGCAAGTTCATTCTCACTCAGTATAAATGTTTGTATTCATATGTCTCTTCCTAGTCAAAAGAAATTATAAATTTAACCAGTTTTGACGTAATATATAAAAACTAGCTTTTGCCTGCGGATTCGCTCGCGTTAATTTATCTCCTTAGGGGTGGAATTTATCAAAATCCTTTCTTAGGGGATGCCTACGTCATAGTAGCTTTATACATGCAAAGTCTCAGCCCGATCCGTTTAAAATTGACAAAGTTTCATACAAACTTTCATCCCCTATTTTATCCCCTTGGGGGTAGAATTAATCAAAATCCTTTCTTAGCGGATGCCTACGTTATAACATCTACCTGCATGCCAAATTTCAGCCCGATCCGTCCAGTGGTTTGTGTTGTGCGTTGATAGATCACTATGTCAGTCACCTTTGAGTTACATATATTTAGATAAGTCCACAAATACGAGAATAATAATATTCTGAAAGTAATTTTGAAATAAGACGGAAAAGGGATGAAAAAACTAAAAAAGGGTTGAAAAATGCATTTTTTCAAATTAACTCGACGACGATTAGAAATATGAAAAAATGTTTCAAACAAAAGTTGTAAAGACAAAAATTCTGCACAAAAAAGGCTCTGTTCATTTTTTCATTATCTGCTGTTGTTTAGCGACAAAAATAAAAAAAAACTGATGACGGAAATCTGCCACGATAGCACCACACCACACACTTCGGCCAGTACTTACTGTACCATCTCTATATATTCTGGTAACATTGACACAGTTCGCTATAAACATACACAAGAATATGAAACTGATGAGGAGAGAGAAACCAGAGAGAGCACAAGGAGACAACATTTTGTGAGTCAGCTGTCACCTGGAGGTGGTGAAGCAGAGTTCACACTACCAGTCCATACAATTATATAAGAAGTTGCCTATAGATTAATAAAGTTTATTATATACGGATGATTTTAAACGCAAACTAAAGGATTTTTTATTGAAGAAGTGTTATTATATAATTAATGAATTATAAAATAAGTGTAATAATGCACATGACATTTAAATTTATTATTATGACAATTGACATTTTTCCTTATTAGACATGTATCTATTTTAGACATGACATTTAAATTTATTATCATGAAATTGTCATTTTTCCTTATTAGACATGTATATCTATATTAGACATGTAATGCATTAATTAAAATTATGATATATAATAAAATTCAACACAATGTAAATTGTTATGAATAAATGAAATGAACAAAGTAGTCCTCCTTCATGAAGGCGGGCAGCATGTAGGTGGGGACCTGGACCTTGAAACTCGCGCTGTGACTTGACTTCAGCTGCGTTACACTTAATGTCAGGTTACTCCTGGTCCATATGTAGTCTAATATATTTACTGATTTAGGCGCAGCAGGGCGCGCAGAGACCATCAGGCAGCGTGAATTTCGTCCAAAACTGGAGATCAAATGACCAGGAGGATGATGGGCAGGTTTGTACATTTTGTATGAATAATAATTGTATGGTGCACCAGTCTGCGCTAACGGTATACGCTGGCGGGGCACCAGTGGAGGATGATAAGATGAGCATGAGGTCAGATCAGTCCCATGCTCTTACAAAATAAGAAGTGTGATACAGTGAAAGTACCAGGATAACATGAAGTTACAGGCAGTTGGGTGATGTCTTTGGTACTCTTCATGTATATAGGCGACGGAGCCACCCTCTGTATTATATACTAGCTGTTCCTGCGACTTCTTCCACGTGGAATTTAACTTTATTTCTCTAATATAAAAGAATTTTTCTAAAATAAAAGTAGCCTAAGTTACCCCTTATTACATCAGCTACCGGGTCCAGCCATTTCAGAGATTAGCCGGAACAAACAGACAGATAGACAAAATTCTAAAAAATGTTTTTTTTGGTATATGTACCCTGTTTATATTCATATGCATGTAGTAAAAAACGGTTATGTCAAAATTACAAACAGACACTCCAATTTTATTTATATGTATAGATTATAGATCCGAAGGTCTTTCATAATGGAATGATGTACCCGCCTTCGCTAACGGTATACTCTGGCGGGGCACCAGTGTAGAATGGAAGGATGAGCATGAGTTCAGGTCAGTCCATTGTGGCTGCTTCCGATATTTCTACGCGATCCAGGCACTTTGAAATACCAGGAGCTCATAAACAATATAGTATAAAGTAAACTTTCATTAAAATACATTCAATAGTTTTTTGCGTGAATGAGTAACAAGCATCCATCCAAACATACTAACAAATTATCGCGTTTATTATATTAGTAAGTTTGATAAAATACAAAGTAATATAAAAAATAAATGTTATATGCATATTCGTAGGTCTGAGAATCGGCTACTAGCTATTTTTCATATTTCATTATCATTTACTATTTTTCTAAGTAATGAAATCGGTCCACATTTATTTAACATTTATTTTTAGGACAATATTTTCTTTATTTTTTTTTTAATACGTAGATCCCTAAATTTTCATCATTTTATGACCAACCTTTTTAGAATTTTTTTTTATTATGCGGTATTAAAAAATACAACCCTAAATTTTCACCCCTTTTCACCTACCTCTATCACCAACTCCTATTAAAAATAGGAGTTGGTGATAGAGGGGTAAAAATTTTTAATAGCAATAATAGTACTTTAATTTGGCAAAACGACGTTTGCCGGGACAGTTATTTGTAATATAAAAAATTGACCATGTATTGTTTCCAGTACCGTGAAAATGGCGTGGAGAACAAAGGACCACACACCTTCGGCGAGGGATACGCGTTCGCTTTCAAAGGATAATATTGTCTAATTATTAACATTATTAATTAACATAATAAAAATATTGAATAATAAATTGTAATTTTATATACTTAGCTGTTTTTTTATTTATCATCTTTTACGGCTTCGGATACATGTCCATTTGAGTCCTACTTTAACAAGCACAATAAACTCGAAGTTTTATTTTTTTATTTAATACTAGATGTAATAATTTTATTTTATCAAAATAAATTCGACGGTCTCGTTAGTATAGCTGTTTAACGCACTTCTGTTGGTCACGAGTTCGATTCCTCGCACGGTACAAACATTTGCATTCATGAGTATGATTGTATCGGTCTGGGTATTTTCTATGTATATTATGTATGTATTTACAAAAAAAATGTATTTATATCAGTTGTCTAGTACCCATAACACAAGCTGCTTTCCGTGGGACTAGATGGCGCCGAGTTAATTGTCCAGGGTTATTTATTTATTTATTCTGAATTTACCATTGTGTTTTAATTATAGTTGAGAAACGAGCTGTGTGTCAGACCATTATGTGAGGTTTTTTATAATTATCATGAAGGGAAATGGATGGTAGTCAAAAGAACAACTACTACCTACAATGTTTTAACAATTATCTGATAAAAATCATAGAAATAGGTAGATTTGTATATTAAAACACGAATTTTAGTTCATATACCCACATTTTATTAAAATAACAATCCATTTGTAATTAAATATAAACTTATATATATATAATAACATATGTAGCTTATATAATAAAGTCAGGACTAGACGTTTATATATAAAATGAATAAAATTAATATATATTTATTAACAGAATAATATATAAATAATAATTCTGGCAATATTTATAATGCTCTACAAATATATTTAATACAGAAGAATTTATTATAGTTTTTGAAGATATTAATTTTTTTAAGTTTATCCTATAGGGAAAAATTAAATTGATTTAAAAACGTAATACGTAATTACAATACTAAAATATATAGACATTCATATAACAATGTTAAATAGCTTCATATAATATATAAATTAATAAAAAATATATAAAAGAAATAATTGTAAATTATTATTAATATATAAAAATTCATCACACAAAACGTAACTATTACAATACTAAATTATATAGACATTTATATAACACTGTTAAATAGCTTCATACTATATATAAATTAATAATTAAATATGTCCATTAAATAAATCATTATAAATGATTATTAATATATAAAAAGTATAACTTTAATAATTAAATTTCGCACCTAAATTTTTAAAACATTTAAATTGCATATTATTATTTAAGCATGAAAATATCACTAAAATCTATCACATTTATTATATACCCACAGGTTAGAGAATACAATGGCAAAAGTTCCACTACCTAAAAAATATATAATATAAATATATTTTATACATTAAATATAAGATAGGAAATATAAGTGTATAATATTACAAAGATCTCGTTTATTACTACCATACACATTTAGCTTGTCGCTGTTGTACTAAATCTAATATTATATATTAAATATATCTTATACATTATTTTGATATATGTATAAATATAAGATATAGACTGGAATAATCGAATAAAAGGTTTTACAATTTATCGTTCAGTCAAAATATTGTTTATAAATAAAGTATTTATGTCATAAAAAGGACCCAAACCCAGCTATTGCGTATATATTTAATTTATACATTGTGTACTATTTGTATAGTTTAAAATATCACCAAATATGAATGATTCTTAATATTAACAACTGTTAAATATTATTGTTAATTATATATCCTAAACTGGTATACATGAATATATAAATTAACTTTAATATAAGCTCTACTCTCTGGTTATTATCTAATAATATGTATATAGAGATAATAAAATTTATATACCACTATTCATATAATATTCATGCAAACTACATTCAATATTTTTAACAAGTCACGACATGTTTGAAATATAATCATGCTTAATTTAACAAGAATAATAATAAATTATTATTTATATTTAGAAAAGAATAATAAATTATTGTAATAAATGAAATAATCATATTTTTCTATTAGAAATCGAAATAGAAATGTTATGTTGCGACTATAAATAGATTGTAGATGAGTAAGTTTCCAATGATAAGTCACTCTACCTGACGGATTCGCTCGTAGTCTTTCTTAAAAAATATCCCTGGACAACTCACAAAGCATCAACTATACCCAAGAAATAGAAATAGAAATAATCTTTATTCAAATGAACTTAATATAAGCACTTTTGAGTAGTAATTATTTGATTCTACCACTCATTCGGAACGCAGACTCATCACAAGAAGAGTGAACAAGAAACTTGCGTGTTGCTCTTTTAAATATATGTATGTTGTTCTAATAAATTCTAATTAGGCAAGCGACAATCAACATAGAAACTACTATGCACTCATTTTTTGTGGAATCAGATAAAATTACAATATAACAATTACTTGTAAAAATGTTTTACAAAATATTAATACATATTTATACTTTAAAATAATTAAATAAAGTCATATTTATTTTATATTTCAATTAAATAAGTGACTTATTAAAAATATATCTTCAATATAGGAGTTTGTTTTATATAATTATCTATAACTGGAAGATTACGTGATTATATACCTTCTTCTCATTATTATTATGTATATTTGAGATTAATACGTTTATTATTATATTAAAGTGAGTTGTTATACAGTTGTAATGAGTGTATTTTTTATGACTTATATATATCAAGACGTAAATATAAAATATTGATATATAATTAATATATATAACATATGGTTGTTGACTATGACGATAAGAAGAATGTAAAATTATTTGTTGCAATTTAAAACTGTATGTATGCTAACATATGATTTTTGTATAGTTATTCGTCACTATCATGAAGGGGTTGATGGTGGAAGGGTGAAAATTTATGGTTGTATGTATTTTTCAATGCCACATTATAAGAAATTAAAAAAATGGAAATGTCTGAAAAATAATGTCAAATGTTAGGGCTGGACAGTTCTTATCATATAAAAAAAAATTGTCCAAAAAATAATAAATCAATGTTTGGGATGGACAACCCTCATCACTTAGGTGTATGAAAAATAGACAGTAGCCGATTTTCAGACCTACTGAATATGCATATAAAATTTCATAAAAATCGGTCAAACCGTTTCGTAGGAGTATGGTAACTAACAATTTTATATATTAGATATTAAATTATCTCATATTACGTGCTCATAAATGCTAATACAATTAGAACTGGATAATCAACTGTTAATTATAATGAAATTCTTATTATTATTATTAAAAATAAACTGCGTTTTAGTTTTACATTCATTTCTATTTATTTTAGAGAAAAAATCTATGCAGCTTTAATAATATAGATAATTTTCACCCATTTATATATACAACTATTTATGCAGCCATACATAAATAATTATTATGTGTCTATATGTGTATCTAAAGCTGTATTAACAGGCTCCTATCAGATTGGTGCGAGCAGGGAGACAAACACGAGCGGTGTAGGTGAGTGTTGACGTATCTCGTCCCTGTAAACCCACACCCGGGTCCCACACACATGTCCCGAAAACTGCTCGGAGTTTCCCTCTCTGCCACACGATGGACCCGGCCTGAACCCGGCCATGTGAATCTATGGAATGCTAAGAAGTCTCAACGATTCCCTGGAAGATAATTTCGGAAAAGGTAGAGCTACATTTTTGTTAGATATTCAAATTACAACGGGAACTGCTAGGAGTTTCCCTCTCTGTCACACGATGGACCCGGTCTGAACCCGGCCATGTGAATCTATGGAATGCTAAGAAGTCTCAACGATTCCCTCGAAGATAATTTCGGAAAAGGTAGAACTACATTTTTGTTAGTTATTCAAATTACAAGGAAGGCGTTACATATGAATGTGGATGGTTATAAGGGCAGAGGAAGGCCGAAATAGAGATGGATGGACTGTGTAAAAGATGATATAGAAAGAAAGGGAGTAAATAACGAGATGACTGCGAACAGGGATGAATGGAAGAGGAAAACATATTACATAATAGGACATCCCTCATAGGAGCCTTCCCACGGTAAGCCTGAACAACAGCTATATAAGCTAACTCCAGGCGGACCTAATCTTTACCCTATAATACCCCAATGGGTACCCAATCACTTCCAAAGACACTAATGGGGAAATATATCCATATCATTAAATAATATATTTATCATAAATCTATAGAGTAAATACTACAATTGTATATCTAGGATGATTAATATATGTTTAATAAAGTATATGTGGTGAATTTATAATATATACTTCTTATTCATAAAAATAATATACATATATAACAAATTTATTCTATCTATTAATTGCATTATCATTTTCATTTCATTATATATTTTCATAAATTGAAAATAAAACAGTCAAATAGTTAGAATAAGTTTGCAGGATGTTTTGAAGTTTATGAATAAACAGTATAGCGTTATGTATATATTTATTATTATTTGATATATAATAAGTAATATATAAACTACAAATAATATATTATTCAAGTCAAGACAAGTCCTATTATGTAAGTACTAAAATATTTTAAATATAGTTATAAGACTATGCTGCGTAGAGTGAGACAGAAATATATATATTTCTAAGAAATTCTAACCTATAATTATTATGATTATGAAACCTTAATAACTACAGATATATTCTTAATCAATACAGATTATAAATAGAAGTATGTAATCATTCATATTTGACAAAATATACAGTATACACTGTGATTATATATTATACTACATTTGCTATATATTTTTAACATAGTTTCTCACAATATATTGAGTGACATAACAATATTAGGTGTCATTTATCTGTAATATATTAAAAACGTAAACTTGTAAAAATCGTTTTATTATGTGTGAAGTTTGCATGTAAAAATGGAGGCATTAGAATGAAATTGCCACAGAATATGTAATAAAAATTGAGTTAATGTATAGGCTAAGAAAGCAAACCAAAGGGACGTAATAATTTTATGAAGTTAATAACATCACCTACATATTATTTATTTTTGTCGTTTGATTTATCATTAACAGATGGCGTAATTACTATATATGTATATATATAAATATTCCGAAAGAAATTCTCAATATGCTATTGTTAACTGTAACAAAATATTTTAGATTTGGAAGAAGTGAGTGGCGAAATTGAACAACATAGACAATGAGTATTGTGAGAAGAAATGTTATTACAATTATTTACAAGATTTTAAACAATGGCTGATGTACATACATTAAATTAGTTGAGAACAAACTGACGCGTCTTAAAATGAAGAAAATGAAGTCAGTGATTAGTAATAGTAATAATAATTTATTTTGGACAAGGCCAGGAACTCAAAACCAAAACAAAATTAAATAGTGTAAAGTTTGAGTAAATTCTATATTTCGTATATGTATTAATGTTGTTATTTTAAAATTAAAACATTTAATTTTCAATGATAAATTCTATTGCATTTTATTGTCTTATATAAATTGCATATTACATGGAGCATTTATTTAAGCAGAATATGATATTGTTAAAATAAACAGAGAGAAAATAGACTATTTTTTTAATTTATCCTAATAGTAAAGGCAAAGTGATTTACGGTCTTATTCATAAAATAACTTATTGGAGGTTTATAGAGCTCATTAGTTAAAACGTTCATTAGCGCTATTGAAGGTTTATAGAAATACGTTATTCATAAACCTATTGTAAAGTCTCGCTAACTAACAAAGGTTTATCGGTTTATCTATACATATACAGCCGTTAGACTTAAAGAAAATATGACATGATAATGATGATAATGACATTTGACACATTTGATAACCACAGATTAAAATATAAAATGTTAATATTTAAAAAATAATATTTTCGTCTCAAAACTATTGTCATAAAAGATATCTTTAATTATTATCTTAATTTTGGCATAAGTTTCATTTAAAGACGCTCAATTTAGATGTAAAATAAAACATCGCCAGTATTCTTTAAGCTCATAAAGTCATAGACCTCAAATTAACATCTACTCTCTTTGGTCCTTTACTCGAACATTTTAAAAAATGTAAGAATATAAATGTGCATAAATAACATGTGTTTACGAATAATTATTATTGTCCAACGTATTATTGGGAGTAGACAATGTGTATTTGTTTTTACACTAAAATATACAATAAAACTGTAGTAAAAATATTTATAAATACTTACTAATATTATAAACGCAAAAGATTGTGGGTATGGATGGATACTCTTTCACGCAAACACTATTGAATGCATTTTAATAAAACTACAATACTATAGCTTATATAATAACATATAGGCTACAAATTCCAAGCGAGTGAAACCGCGGGCTCAGCTATTGTACAATAAACTGATAGTAAAAAATATTTATAACAACAAGAGTCCACAGTTTCAGGACATTTTATTTACCATTGTGGCGGTAATCTAGTCTCTGACGGCCCAACTGATGGTAAACAGTAACTGAAAATGAATGAAAAACCTAATGGACCTCTGAAACACAAGAGAAGTCACGCGCGTGTAGAAGATTTTTAATGTACCTTCTTGAAAAATCCCATACTGTAGTCTCTGGAGAAAACCTCGGCAGGTAAATTCTCAATATTAGTATGTTATGATGATAAAAAAAAGAAGAGAAATTGTCTATTCCACAGTGTAAACACAAACACACATTGCTACATTAGTAAACATTCAAAAATTACAATAAAACTAAAACATTAAATATCACAAAAACATTACATGAACATCTCTTTACTTTATTGTCTAAAATATTATCTAAATATAATATAAAAATTATATAATATAAAAACAATAAAATATATTGTCAAAGTCACATACGCAAAATTATTGTATTTATTTTATAAATATATATTTTTATTTAATTCAAAAGCTGTATTTATTGCGTATATATTTATGTAATTATACTAGGGTATTATGAATATAAAGGATGTTAAATACATTTATAGCAGGTTACGTTCAAGAATACATTTCGTAATATAGATATGTTTCTATTACTATATAATAACTTACAGACACCCTGACTATGTGGCATTTTATGTAGAACATACAAAATGACTTCGTTTCCCGTACGAAAAAAATAGCATAAAGGTATTCGAAAGCAAAACATGCATAAAATACAATTAAAAAAGTTATTGTCGAAAGCTGTATCATTCATTAAAAAAATAAATTTGTTTACCTTGAAAAAAATAACCTATTAGGTAATAATAAGCAATACGATTGGCCTTTAAAAAAATACAATCAATTGTCAATGGCTGTTTCATTATAGTAATTGTATTAATAAAAGAAAAATTCATGACATTTACTGAGAATTAATTAAAAAAAAACTCTTAGACATTTACTAAAAAAATAAATATACAGCCCATATGCCATCATTTTCTTCGTACGGCCAAAAGCAGTCATCTGTTTTTTTTTTATTATACATAGTATAGGCCAGTAAAATTAAAATACTTATAGTACATATATATATTATATTTGAAAAATTGGTCAAGTATAACTTTATTTGTTGAAATTATGGTGTTGCTTTATTTATTATAATAAGACAAGTAGATTATACATGAATATATAATTTATATTTGGGCAATCACTACAGTATATAAACTGTAATAAATATAAACACACTCAACTCTTTACTTACCTAAGTATATAAATATTTTTGAAATAAACATTAGGCATAGATACATCCAACTCCTTAGACGTCCATATTGCAGTCTTAGTACTAAAATGCATTAACTTCAAAATTAATAAATTTGGAAAACGATTTTTATTACGTTGATAATACAGTTGATTTTCCAAAAAATGTACTTTTAAGTTCATACAGTTTAGTATTAGGAGTGCTATATTCGAATTTTAAATTCTACACGAATATCTCAGCCTTAGTACTAAAATGCATTAACTTCAAAGTTGATATTTTGGAAAACAATTTTTATTGTATTAATCTTACGGTCGTTTTTCCAAAAAATTTATTTTTTAAGTTCATACAGTTTAGTATTATGAGTGCTATATTCGATTTTTAAAATCTACGTGAATCTCTTGTTTTGGCATTATAATTCACTCCCAAGTATACATTTTAAAAAATATTAAAATTAACATGGCGGGTGTCATGGCGGCGTTTAGAGATGGCGGGATTTATTCTTCTTCCTCGTTCTGGTAGCTCACGTAGCGGACTGATGATTTATCGCTGATGATTAGACTCTGAAAATTATATATATTTTTAATACAATCTAATCCTTACTAATATCATTACATAGTATAAAACAAAGTCACTGTCGCTGTCTGTCCGTCCCTATGTATGCTTAAATCTTTAAAATTAAACAAAGGATTTTGAATTGGGATTATATATATAACAATTCGATATATTATAATATTTCGAAGGTTTATATATATATAATACACCTGTGCGAAGCCGGGGCGAGTAGCTAGTAACATTATAAATGCGAAAGTACTCTGTCTCGCTTTTACGCCAAAACTACTGAACCAATTTAAATGAAATTTGGTATACAGATAGTTTAGACTACTATGAAACTTAACTTGATTAATCAGAACATTACTATGTTCTAGTTAATCAAGTCATTAAAATATTTATTTATTTATTAATCCAAAACAATAGAAAATAAAATAGAATAATAGAAATTTTATTTTGTCTATGGTCATTATTATAAAAATTACAAATTATATGTTAATCTCTTACCTGTTTCTCATCTCTTGCCGGTGGAGACCTGAGCAGCAGCAGCAGGGGAGCATACGCGAAGTTCAGGATCGCGATGATGACCAGCATCCACTCGAAGCCGATACTGTTTACCAGGGTACCAGAAAACGCAGGACCTATGATATGAATTATACGTTTATACTAGCATTTTCCGTCTTAATTTTGGACAACACCGACTGGGCCCAACTTCTTGTTGCATGCTGTAACACCGACCACGTCAATGTACCTGTCCGGCCTACACTACGCCACCAAGGAGCAGGTCATTGTCGACTACATATGGACCAGGAGTAACCGGACATTGAGGGTGACGCAGCTGGAGTTAAGTCACAGCGCGAGCTTCAAAGCGTTAGTGGCCCTGGTTAGAGATGCGCTAACTCGTAATAAACATAACTCGAATTAACTCGAGTTGAAATTCAGGTAACTCGAGTTAACTCGAGTTAAAGTAAGATTATTAATTCCAGTCAGTAAAATGACATTTCCAGTGTTGTAGGTTTTTAGTCCAAAATAAATAGTGATGTGGTAGACTCGAGTTTTTGCAATTAAAAGTTAGTCGAGATTACATATTTTTTATTCAATATCAAATTGCCTTTATACAAATAAAAATTCTAGTATTAATTCCTCTGAATCTCTTTTTACATTTTTTCGCAGCTTTTGTAATAATGTTGTAGTGAGAAATTTTAATGTGCTGGTAAGTTCCATATTTCTAAAATCGTATTATTTAATACGATATGTATTAAATATTAAAAATAAAAAAAAAGTCTTCGATACCTAATAAAAGGAAGCATGACTAAATGTCTAAGTCTATTGATTGCCTAACATCACAATTGTAGCGGGTCACCATTTTTTGTATCAGTGACAGTTGCACTTGTCATTTTACTGACTGGAATTACTAATCGTAGTTTACCTGTAATACTTTTTTTTAATTTTTCGATCAAATCTAATATTTTTGGCCGCAGCTAGCCTTGAAAGCTTCATCGAACCATAGGGGGCGAGTAGAAATGGTACTTCAAAGCCGCGGAAGGACTTATAGAGCTCATAATCATTTTAATGATAACATAACAATATTGAAACATTTGTGACGAGTGAAAATTGTATGATATGAAATGATCGGAAAACTTCATGTCATTGACAGTTCGACAACATGCTCTCGATCTTTCACTTGATTCGTTACCAGTTGAATTCTTCCAACTCGAGTTGGCAGGATTCAACTCGAGTTAACTTGAATTCACCGCGAGTTAGTAACTCGACTTGACACATCTCTAGCCCTGGTCCTCACCAACATGCTGTCCACCTTCATGAAGGAGGACTACTGGCAGAAGGGACTATACCGCCGCTATAGTGGCAGATTGCAATATTCTAGCGATTTGCATTAATATTTTACTTCATGTATTATTTTTTTTATATACACGTTAGTACTCAAAATATCCTTACTAATATCACAGATAACATAATATTACATACTAATATTATAAATGCGAAAGTAACTCTGTCTGTCTGTCTGTCTCGCTTTCACGCCGAAACTACTGAACCGATTTAAATGAAATTCGGTACACAGATAGTCTAGACCCTGAGAAAGGATATATGCTTCTTTTTAATGCGAAAAAAGGGTTGTTGGAAACTATTTTATATACCTTTTTTATTGTCTATATTTTATGTATATAATTGACTTATGTCATATGAAAACAATATAATATTATTAGAAAAATAGACAATTATGTTGGAAACTATTTTATATACCTTTTTTATTGTCTATATTTTATGTATATAATTGACTTACGTCATATGAAAACAATATAATATTATTAAAAAAATAGACAATTATGTTGGAAACTATTTTATATACCTTTTTTATTGTCTATATTTTATGTATATAATTGACTTATGTCATATGAAAACAATATAATATTATTAGAAAAATAGACAATTATGTTGGAAACTATTTTATATACCTTTTTTATTGTCTATATTTTATGTATATAATTGACTTACGTCATATGAAAACAATATAATATTATTAAAAAAATAGACAATTATGTTGGAAACTATTTTATATACCTTTTTTATTGTCTATATTTTATGTATATAATTGACTTATGTCATATGAAAACAATATAATATTATTAGAAAAATAGACAATTATGTTGGAAACTATTTTATATACCTTTTTTATTATCTATATTTTATGTATATAATTGACTTATGTCATATGAAAACAATATAATATTATTAGAAAAATAGACAATTATGTTGGAAACTATTTTATATACCTTTTTTATTGTCTATATTTTATGTATATAATTGACTTACGTCATATGAAAACAATATAATATTATAAAAAAAAATAGACAATTATGTTGGAAACTATTTTATATACCTTTTTTATTGTCTACATTTTTTAAGTGTTGTAAGGGGTTGAAAGAGTTATGTATGGAAGTGTCGTCATTTTTGAAGATGAAACGATGAAACTTTTTCATTTGGCTTTTATTGGGGTAGGTCATTTAATATTTTTTTCATTATTTGGTCAAGGTCACTATTTTCGCGGACGAAGTCGCGGGTACAGCTAGTACATAATATGGGCCAATATTCTTATTCAAATAATATTCAGTCACCTGAAAATCTATACATACAAATAAAATTGTAGTGTCTGTTTGTAATATTGAAATAACCGTTTTTTACTATATGCATATGAATATAAATACGGTACATACAACAAAATAACATTTTTTACAATTTTTATCTGTTTGTCTGTTTGTTCCGGCTAATCTCTGAAATGGCTGGACTGATTTTGACAGGACTTTTTTTGGCAGGTAGCTGATGTAATAAGGAGTGACTTAGCTACTTTTATTTTAGAAAAATAAAGTTAAATTCCACGCGAACGAAGTCGCAGGTACAGCTAGTTATTTAAGTTAATTATAGTCGAATTTCGACCATTGGCGACCATAATCAACTTACCGACAGCATATCCAAGACAGAACGCTGTATCTCCAATAGCATAGACAGAACCGTAGACCGCGGCATGTCTTATATCGACGAGGAAGCCTAGCTCTGGCATCATCGAGGAGTCCACCATGCCGATGGCGAAACCCAGTCCGGCGTTAGGAATGATCAGGTGCTCCAACTTGCGGGCCATAGGAATCTAATGGATTTAAAATAAACTGTATTAACTCAATAATTAGAATTATAATTATATATTTAAATTCAAAAATCATTTATTCATGTAGGACATTTTAGCCGCTTATGAACGTCAAATTTTTTATGTTAATAATTTCTCAATTGGATCTAAATACGAGTATATACTGAACTGAACGAGTTAAGTATATACTCGTATTTAGATCCAATTGTGAAGAACTGGTAAAAAACTCAATTGGTTTACTTTTTTTTAAAAGCCAGTTTTTTTACAATATATATTTATATAGGTGTCTATGTCTAACATTAAATGAAAATCCAGTGCATGTACAACTATTGCCATGCACACTCGTCATTCAAGTAATCGTTTAGTGAGTAATAGGCTTTGCTCAGTAAATATGATTTAAGAAATGTTTTGAATTTATTTAAGGGTAATTCCAGTATATCCTTTGCTATTTTATTGTAAATTTTTATACCTTTTTCCATAAAAGACCGAAAAATGTGGTACATTGGATGTGGTATTTTAAATTTTATTATATTGTTCGCACATTTAGTCATTTCTGACTTGCAATAGACAATTGTCAATTGAAATATTGTCATTATAAATTGCTTATCATTTTATACATATGTAGGAAATATTTTTGTATTCAATATTTGTTATAATGGAACGCATAATGAAGATGAATGAATGAATATGCATGAGTGAGTGAGATCGACAGATAGAAAATTAGATGCAACAGATTAGAGTAATTTATTCTTGTTACGGTGTTCTCAAGAGATGGTCGATGGTTTTATTTTTTTAATAATTATAAGAAGAGTTTTAAATACATAGTAATACGAAGCAACTAACTTTCATTTTGAAAACACTTGATCCCACACATATATTATTATAATTAATTTATTTATTAATATTAGTATGTAATGTTATATTATCTGCCGCTTCACATTCTATGTGGTTGTAGCCCACTCGTGCATAAACGAAATATCTCCTTTGGAAAGTTTACACTCTTTCCCGAGGAGATAAAAACGATCGCTCCTAAGAATATCCTTCAATTCTTGTCCCTGACGGGTCTAGGTAGCGAACTCTGAAAAGGGCGAGCACAATAGATCTATGTAGGTCGCAGTGCTACAGGTGCTACACATCTGACAATAGCCCAAACAATCCAATAAAAAAAAATATATATATTATCTGTGGTATTAGTTACGTTTTCACAATTCGTGAAAGATATTCGTCTATATTATAAACGCAGTTAGATAACAACCAATCGTACAATTCTTTTTTTAATTTGCTTTTATTTAACTGTTCTAACTCCTTTGGAAACTTGTTAAATATTTTTATGGTATACCCTACAATCTAAAGAAGATTTCGAGCTGAAGTAAGAAGGTATAGGGTATTTAAAAATATTACGAGCTGATTGCAATAGTTATTTTTAAACTTTCATGTTTAATATAAATTATTTATATTATTAACCGGATCTTAATACCTTTATTGGGCATAAACTTATTCGCATTAAGACCCAGTTAATAATATAAATAATACGAGCTGAGTATTTTGTCAGTTCTTATCATCTCGAAAGCACTCCGAAATATCTTTATTCATGTAGGTCTATTACAGACTCTTATGATATGTCAAATCTACCGTCAGTTCGGAATTATTTCAAGATGAGAAGAACTGATAAGAAACTCAGCTCGTATTCTTTTTAAATAAATGTTGTACATGTTTACAATAATACAGATTCATTTTTAAATTCAAATTTCAAAGTTGAACCTAAAAATCGTCCCGTCTCGCTGTACACACACTGACGAAGATAGAGGACGAGGACGAGGAGGATGAGGAGGAACAGAGGACTTACCAATATGAGGCATAGGCCAATGATGACCAGGCCCGAGCAGGCTGCCAGCCACCGACCCATCTTGTGTCCGAGAGGTCCGAACAGGTTCGTGCCTGCACAGAGTCATTTGTTTAGCAGTTCAAGACAGGACAAGATCTTTTAGAAGATTGTAGAGATATTTTGCTGGTAAACCTTTCGCACTTCAACCGCATATGAATTAACCACATAGTTATATTTTGTTATTTTGGTATGTAAGTTCTATTACATACCATGGGTACAGTGAGTTTACTAGAATTACAACGTTTACTTTTTACAAACATAGAGAATGATAAATAATATATAGAATGAAGAAAGAAGAGCCTTGAAGTATTTCTGCACTCCTTAAGGTTGGCTGGTAGAGAATGCTATTAGCAATAAGCTCGCCTATTGTATAAAAATTTAATTAATTTTTAAATAAATAAATAAGAAAGAAGAAAGAAGAAAGAAGAAAGAAGAAAGAAGAAAGAAGAAAGAAGAAAGAAGAAAGAAGAAAGAAGACAGAAGAAAGAAGAAAGAATAAAGATAGGTTACGCGACATATACAAACACATATACATATACAAAGTAAACTTACCAATGAGATAGCAGATGCTAGCAGGCAAGAATGCTACACCTTGCTGCCATCTTCGTGCCTCCATCGTGTCCGCCATCCATATAGGTAGACTCGGCTCCAACATGGCTATACCCACGTTTGCAAATGTGATCGCGCCTGCCAATCAAAGAAATTTATAACTTCAGTAGTCTACCAACATTGAAGATACGTATACCCAAATAATATATTAATACAAATTATACAGGGTGTCCCAGAACTCAACGTCAAGCCGAAATGTGGTGATAGGATTGATTGTAACCATCATGAGAAAAATTATTAAAAAAATCTATCCCATGCACTTTGAAAATTATGAGCCTTTAAGAAAAACCAAGAAATTTGGTCAAACTATAACCAATTTTCGGTTATTGTGATTAATTTTTATTATTTTTGTTCATTTAAACTTTGGAACCGTAACTTAAATAACATTTCTAGAACCACAATAAAAAATAAGAACACAATTGCCCCAAGTTTTCTAGAATTAAGACTATTTGTTAAACCATGTATTTAACATTTTCTAAAAAAGTCGACTTTAAAAGGTCCTTGTTTAAAAAAAATGTACTAAAGTGCCTCGGCAAGTACCATGAAAAGTTTGCGTATTTAATCAGGATTGTAAAATAGTATAATATTAGTTAGTTTCATACTAAAAAAAACGAGTAAAATAATAAAAAGCTCAAGTAACCCGAATTTTCCTAACCCATTTTACTCAGTTTAAATTCTTTTTTATTCGCACAAGCTCTTGGCAAGTTCTAGGTTCTAAATTTTAGGGCAAAATAATGAGAGAGATGGATCGACATGTTTTCCATGAATGAGCGAGACAGATAGTGACGCCATTTTACCAAAGTCAACAATAGTAAGTAAAATTAATGAGATAATGAAAAATTATGACCTAGTTAGTTTAGGTTTATTGGAATAAAAGATATAAATATCCAGAATTATTAATGATCATTCGTGATGACTCACCAGCTGCAACGATGATGTACGGATCAGTGACGAGTTGGCGGAGCGACGGTGGCTCTGACTCTTGACGTACCACGCCAGGTTGCAGGATCATGAGCTGCAGCACTGTTGATTATAGGACAGATAATAATCTTAGGACAATTCACACAGCGCCATCTAGACCCAAGTTAGCTAAAGCTTGTGTTGTGGTACTAGACAACTGATATAAACACTTACATATATTTTTTTTATAAATACATATATAAGATATATATAAAACAGCCAAACCGATACAAACAATCATACTCATGAATACAAATGTTTGTATCGCGCGAGAAATCAAACCCGCGACGATCGGAAGTAAGGTGGTGTGCTACCGATAGACCACCGAGGCCGTCCAGATTACATGACATTAATCCACGCGGACTTACATGTTAATTATAGAGAAGACTCTCAAAGTCCCTTCCGATCGATCCCCCGTCCAATTCAAACGGGGATCGAAATTACGATGTCCGATTACGAGCCGAGGTTCGAACCCCTAGCGGTGCCCGCAGACTAAACTCGTATCCGTCAGGCGGGAGTTAGCCTTCAGCCGCTCCATAAGTCCTTCCTTTGGTTTGGAGTACCATCTGCACTCGCCCCCTATCGTCCGGTGAAGCTGTAAAGGCCAACTCCCGCTTGACGGATACGACTTTAGTCTGAGGACACCGAGGGATGATCATATAGAACACACACACAAATTTTATATTTTGAAAATAACTCTTAAGTCTCCAAAATTAACCAGGCGAAGTGGGATCAGTCCTTTAGTAATATAGTTACATATATTACTCAACATGCATATTGGGTTTATGTAAATGTAATGAATGTTAGGGTTCACATCAATATTGCAGAAAAATGTGATATTTAAAAATATATTAAAAGAAGGTAGTTTGTGTTTAGAACTAATGAAGTACCCAATGTAAAGATTATTACAAATATTGTAAATAGCGCCATCTAGTATTTATAGACCGAACTAAGTAGTTTGTCATAAGATAACCGTTACCCTCGTTTCTCTCCCTACTACACTGACTTCGGTCTATAAATACGGAGGTCGGTAGTTGAATAATCCTCTTTCGTTGGGTGAGCCGCGGCATTCAGTCGACGAGCGCAGAGCGTGCCGGTTGTGTTTCGGATACTAAAGTGGACTGTATTAGAGACGGGTTTATCCCGGATTTAGTTGGGACTGGGAGGAAACTACAAGTAGTGAAGGTGAGTGTTAATGCATTCTAAAAGGGCCTTTTAAACCTACACCCGTGTCACAAGTCACGGGCGCTACTTGGGGTTTCCCTTCCGGTAGCCGGCATCAGGGCCTAACTCGTCATTATAATTAGTGGATCTTACAGTTATAAGTTATCTAATTGTAAACCAGTTTTTGATCCTAAATAAATACACTTACATCCATCTCCTAAAGCAAGTGCGGACAGCATGAGGAATGGTGCTGTCTTCCCAACAAACTCGTACATGAGCCCGCCAAATGGAGGTCCTATGAGAACGCCCAGAGCGAGGCCTCCCAACGCTATGCCCATAGCGTTACCGCGTTCCTGTTTGCAATTTTTTTTAAATCATTCAAATGGTATGCCATAGTTCAACTAAAAGAAAGAAATAAAAGAAGAGAAAGAAAACAAACACATATATTGAGTGCTTTTTAATTACAATATAAAAAAAAGATAAAAATAAATCATATATATAAATAATTTAACATATATATATATATAGATAATTAAATATAAATATAAAAAAATGAACAATTTTACATACATATAGGCAATAATAATAATAAAAACAAAATTACTAATAAACGATATATAAACAGAAAAAAAACAAAACTTGGGATAAGTTACAAATTAAAACACAAAACTATTATATATACTAGAAAGAATAAATAATAAAAAAAAAAACAAAACAAAAATCTAAATATATATAACTCCAAAGTGACTGACATAGTGATCTATCAACGCACAGCCCAAACCACTGGACGGATCGGGCTGAAATTTGGCATGCAGGTAGATGTTATGACGTAGGCATCCGCTAAGAAAGGATTTTGATTAATTCTACCCCCAAGGGGATAAAATAGGGGGTGACATTTTGTATGAAACTTTGTAAATTTTAAACCGATCTTGCTGAGACTTTGCATGCATAAAGCTACTATGCCGTAAGCATCCCCTAAAAAAGGATTTTGATAAATTCCACCCCCAATTTATGTTAAATTAACGCGAGCGAAGCCGCGGGCAAAACCTAGTTCTTACATAAGTACTTTGCCGGAAAAATTAAGGGTGAAATAAAATTACTTCTATCCCTTTCCCGCGTTTACCATCACCATTATTAGAAGAAAGTGAGAGGGTATATCAAATAATTACATTACAAGTACTAGGGTGTCATAAGACTCCAAGAGCTTACCTTGTCATCCGGGTATCGTTCAGCGAGCATTCCCATACCGGATACTGAAGAACAAGAAGAACCAATGCCTTGCAGCGCCCGGGCGACGAACAACACGCTGTAGGATCGTCCGAAGGCGAAAACTGAACGAAAATAATAATATTAAATAAAATTGTGTAAATAATATTAATTAAAATTAAATTGGTTTTCCTTTCGGACTATTCTAATGCTGTTGGCCGCAGCTGGACTTTACAGCTTCACCGAACGATACGGGGCGAGTGCAGATGGCACTCCAATCTAAAGGAATGACCATAAGTCCTTCACATCCAAACAATTTTACTCATGGATATTATATTTGTACCGTGCCAGGAATCGAATCTGCGAATATCGAAAATAAAGCCGTGTGCTAAACCGCTAGACCATCAAAGCCGTCAAAATAATCAGCTTAATTTCTGACTTCGACAAGGAAATTAGAGTTAAGGATCATTAGGTAGGGGTGCTTGTGAGTAATGTGGATTAATAACCTCATTCTAGCAATGTACCATGTCAGGTTGACCTCCATGCTGTTCCCCCTTAAACCATCGTGGTAAACTGCCATTTGCCTTTGGTTCTATAATATATAGAAAGTGGCACCGTCGATTATATACATGAACAGTACTAAAGACATCACTTAACTGCCTGTAACTTCATGTTAGCCTGGTACTTTTACTGTATCACACTTATAATTTTATAAGAGGATGGAACTGACCTGACCTCACGCTCATCATATGGTGCCCCGCCAGCGTATACCAAATACAGTTAGCGAATTCGAGTGCCCCATTCCATTAGACCTTCGGGTCTATAATATACAGAGAGAGAGAGAGAGAGAGAGAGGCTCCGTCGCCTATATAGATGAACAGTACCAAAATCGTCACCTAACTGCCTGTAACTTCATGTTATCCTGGTACTTTCAGTGTATTAAACTTTTATTTTATAAGAGTATGGAACTGACCTGACCTCACGCTCATCATATGGTGCCCCGCCAGCGTATACCAAATACAGTTAGCGAATTCGAGTGCCCCATTCCATTAGACCTTCAGGTCTATAATATACAGAGAGAGAGAGAGAGAGAGAGAGGCTCCGTCGCCTATATAGATGAACAGTACCAAAGTCATCACCTAACTGCCTGTAACTTCATGTTAGCCTGGTACTTTTACTGTATCACACTTATAATTTTATAAGAGGATGGAACTGACCTGACCTCACGCTCATCATATGGTGCCCCGCCAGCGTATACCAAATACAGTTAGCGAATTCGAGTGCCCCATTCCATTAGACCTTCGGGTCTATAATATACAGAGAGAGAGAGAGAGAGAGAGAGAGAGGCTCCGTCGCCTATATAGATGAACAGTACCAAAGACGTCACCTAACTGCCTGTAACTTCATGTTATCCTGGTACTTTCACTGTATCACACTCATTATTTTATAAGAGCATGGAACTGACCTGACTTCATGCTCATCCTATCATCCTTCACTGGTGCCCCGCTAGCGTATACCGTTAGCGCAGATTATTATAATAATAATAATAATAATAATAAGCCTTTCAAAGTCCAACCCCGCGTCCGAGCTGATCATCTAGCTCACGTGAAAGGCGGTCACGCGTATATATAAAACCTACGCGGCCAAAGGGGCCATGGCAATTATAAAGATGGCTAGTATAAATAAAGAAAACGGAATAGGGTCGCTGCCCGGGGGCCGCCGGGGCACGTCTACAACTGGCGGTAGGCGTGACAGAATGCAAGCCAGCCGACCGGCCACACCACCTGGCCGGTCCGACCCCTTGCCATCGACATCAGCTGGCTTGGCACCGGCAGGGCCGTCACAGGCCCAGCAATCGGCGCCCGCCACTGGTGGTACACGTCGCATGAGATGGTCGAGAGCCATGAATGAAGACCTCATGCGAGCGTTCTACAGGGCTACAGGGACGGAAACAGGCAGAACAGGATACAGGGCAGTAATGCACCGCGAGTTTCTGCGTCTTTTACCGGAGCTAATCGTCTCGGAACAGAACCTAGCCGATAGAGTTCGGTACATACAGCGCTCTGGTATGTTTAGCGCGACCGAACTCGAACGATTGCGAAGTGAAGTTGTTCCAGAAGCAGACCCCACGACCGTGGAGCAACCCATCTCAGACGTGCTACCTAACGTAGAGATGGTTGCCGAAAGGCCTTCAGAAGCGAATGCGGACGGAACAACTTCCCAGGATATAGAGCATATGAGGAGCATACTAGAAGGGGCGATTCTAGAGATCCGAAGAACTCCCCTTGAAGAGAGACCGAAGCTTCCCCGGCTACATCCAAATGTGGCGACGCGGGATGCCATTGAGGCCGCAAATGGACTGCTGCCTCAATACCTTGAGGGCAGCGGTGACCTGGGAGAGACGAGTTCAATCCTCTTTGCCGCTGCATTGGCAGTATGCCGATATACTAGCGCAAAAATGCCCCGGGCTGGACGTAATATCCAAAGGGATAATGCGAAACCAGCCTGGAAAAGAAGGATTGAGCGACGGATCACCCAGGCCAGGGTCCTCATTGGCAGACTGCTCTGCTTCAGGGAGGGCAATACACGCCCGAGAATTATGCGCTCCGTAAAAAAGGCCTTTGCTGGGACAGGTGTACGTCTGTTCCAGCCGGACTTCGGACAAAAACTTACGGAGCGTATAGACGACCTGAAGCAAAAGGTCGCTGCATGGGGGAAGCGACTCCGACGGTACTCTGAGAGGGTCGAGAGGTATCAACAGAATCGTCTCTTTATGAGTGATCAACGGAAGTTTTATAGAAACTTGGAGCGCCCAAAACTACAGCCCACAGGACAAAGACCCGAAACAGCCAATTTCGTCGCCTTCTGGCGACAGCTGTGGTCTGAACCTGTGGAACATGAGGAGGGCGCATGGATGCACGGTGTTGAGGAAGCATGTGCTCGAATAACACCGATGAACGTCATTGCCATTACGCAGGAGGACGTGGTTGCTGCGATCCGTCGGGCTCCGAACTGGAAAAGTCCGGGAATCGACGGATTGCAACACTACTGGTTAAAGGCGTTCTCGGCCAGCCATGCAACCTTAGCCGTGCAATTCCAGAGTGCCCTCGAAAACAGGGCGCTCCCGAACTTCCTTACAACCGGGATCACTCATTTAGCTCCTAAGACGGACGATACTGCGGATCCATCTAAATATCGCCCCATAACTTGTCTTACGACAATATATAAGACGTTAACATCTGTTCTGAGCGCTAAGATCTCTCGTCATGTGTACGACAACAAGATCCTATCTGGCGCTCAGAACGGATGCAGGGGCGGTAGCCGCGGATCGAAGGAGCTTCTCCTCATTGATGCTGTCGCTGGCCAAGTGGTTAAGCGGAACCGTCGGAATTTCTCCGCTGCTTGGATAGACTATAAAAAGGCGTTCGATTCCGTACCCCACTCATGGCTTCGGAGGATACTCGAGCTGTACAAGATCGACGGTACGGTTCGGGTGTTCCTGGAGACATGCATGGGGCAATGGACGACGATCCTGTCTATCCAGGGCGAGCGATTAACGGATACCGCTGACCGGATTGAGATTAAGAGGGGAATATTCCAGGGCGATTGTTTGAGTCCACTTTGGTTTTGCCTGTCCCTGAATCCTCTCAGTACTTTACTGGAGAATTCGGGGACTGGATTTCAGTATCGGAGAGGAGGTACACGAGTGTCTCACCTTCTGTACATGGATGACTTGAAACTACTAGCTCCGAGTGTCGAACGCCTGACGGAGCTGTTAAATATTGTAAACGATTATAGCAGCTCTGTTAGGATGGCACTCGGAATAGACAAGTGCGCGGTTCTCCATGTGCAGAGGGGACGGGTCAATCAAACTGAAGGGATCGTTACAGATCCCTCCAACATCAAAACCCTCTCCGACGCTGAAACATACCGGTATCTGGGCATGTCACAAAACATCGGTGTGAGGGAGACGGATATGAAACAGTCAATCCGTGAGGAATTTTTTGCGCGCCTTACAAGAGTACTGAAAAGTTCCTTGTCGGGTGCCAATAAGATCCGAGCATATAACGGCTGGGTCATACCCGTACTCCTTTACACTTTTGGCGTGCTCAGATGGTCTCAAACCGAACTCGAAGCCCTGGATCGGAAAGTCCGCACAACTATGACCCTCCATAGAATGCATCACCCGAAGTCGTCAGTCATGAGGCTGTACATCCCGCGGAAGACTGGTGGTCGAGGCTTGTTAAGCGTTAAGACCATGCACAACCGCGAGATTGACAGCCTCAGGACATATTTTCTGGAGAAAAGAGACGAGGGTTTGCATAGAGAGGTCATAGAATGTGACAAAGGATTCACCCCTCTTTCTCTGGCTAAAGAGGACTGGCGAAAACCCGAAGTCCTGGGTACCTCTCAGCGGGAGGCTAGAGGAAAGAGAAGGAGTTGCACGGAAGGTTCTTCAAAGCCCTTCACGGGCCGTACGTCAACACGAAGACCTCCGTGCACTGGCTACAGTTCGGTGATCTCTTCGGAGAGACCGAGGGTTTTGTCTGTGCAATACAGGATCAGGTGGTTAAGACGAACAATTACCGAAAGCACATTCTGAAGGATGGCACTGAGGACATCTGTCGGGCATGTCGCCATCCCGGAGAGTCACTCAGACATGTGCTTTCGGGTTGTTCAGCTCTTGCCAACACTGAGTACTTGCACAGACACAACCAGGTAGCCAAAATACTCCATCAAGAACTAGCTCTGAAGTACGGCCTCGCGAATGAGAGGTTGCCGTACTATAAGTACGAGCCCCAGCCGGTCCTCGAAAGCGGCAGCGTCAAGCTCTACTGGGACCGATCCATCATCACGGACAGGACCGTTCTTGCGAACAAACCTGATATCGTGGTGATGGATCGGGCACTTTCGAGGGTGTTTTTGGTGGACATCACCATACCGCATGACGAGAACCTCGTGAAAGCCGAAACTGAGAAAAAGAGAAAGTACCTCGACCTGGCTCACGAGGTGACCGAAATGTGGGGGGTGATGTCCACCGAAATCATTCCAATCGTCATGTCGGTGAACGGTCTTATCCCAACCAGTCTGGAACAACATCTCAGACGGTTGGGATTCCGGGGCGGTTCACTCCCGGGAATGATGCAGAAAGCGGTGCTGTTAGATTCTGCCCGCATTGTACGCCGGTTTCTGTCCCTGGGGCCCTGAACCCCGGCCGACTGTGCTTCTGCCGGGGGTATGTTGCCATCTCCTCTCCTTAAGAGGGGAGATGAGAATTTTTGGGAAAAAAAATAATAATAATAATCTCAGGACAATTCACACAGCGCCATCTAGACCCGAGTTAAGCTATCTAAAGCTTGTGTTACGGGTACTAGATAACTGATACAAGTACATAGATATTTTTTTTTTCGTTAATACATACATAATATACATAGAAAACACCCAGACCGATACAAACAATCATACTCATGAATACAAATGTTTGTGCCGTGCGAGGAATCGAACCCGCGACCATCGGACGTAAAGCGGTGTGCTAGACCGCTAGACCACCGAGGTCGTCATCCATAAAAAAAAATACTTACTTAGAGTGGAGAGAAACATCAGGATAAATCCAGAAAACATTGGGACACTGTATCCGATTCTGTAATAAATGTATTAATTATTAATACCACAGATAAGATAATTTTACATACTAACTGTGCTCACGACTTTGTCTGCGTGGTATAGTCACCTTGACCAAATAAAGAAAAAATGTTTAATAATCTAACCCAAAAACCCATACAACCTTTCTTCTCCCTTTTTAACCCCTTACAACCCTTTTTTCACATTAAAAAGTAGCCTTTGTTCTTTCTCAGGTTTAGACTATCTGTGTACCTAATTTCCTTTAAATCGGTTCAGTAGTTTTAGCGTGGAAGCGAGGGAGACAGCAGACAGAGTTACTCTCGCGTTTATAATAAGTAAATAAGTAAGGATTAATACTATTTGAAAATGGCACAGGCCATTTTTGTACATTTTGTTTTAGAGGTTCGAACCTCGGCTCAGGCCGAAAAATTTTGATCCCCAATTGAATTGGACGGGGGATCGATCGGAGGGGCGATCAGGGTCACCGGTGTGGAGCGCTCGGGCGTGCGCAGGCGCCTAGTTGATTGCGCGGTATAGTAGAGGTCGTCGTCTCCGCCGGCGCGGACGGTGTCGTGTGTGTTTGTGGTCGGGACGGATCGGGTGAACCCGTAGAGAGTTACAATGACACACAACACAACAACAATAACATAACAGCAGATAAACATCTGCTGTTATGTTGTCATCGGGATCCAACGTGAAAATACTAGGACGATATAACATAATAAGAGATTCTTAAGAGAGTCTTACTTGTGAGTGAGCGGTCCTACGAATGGGTTCGCCAGCAGCTGCACTATGGCCTTGCTGGCAAACATGACGCCGACAGCCACCGTCTCTTCTATCAGCTCTTTGTGACGGTACTCCTTCTCAGCTGTGATGTTCACTGTAAAGATATCCAATAATAATAATAATCTCAGGACAATTCACACAGCGCCATCTAGACCCGAGTTAAGCTACGTACGTAAAATAAGAAAAATCGTTGTGGAAATTTCGTGTAAAGCTTTAAAAACTAATGTTCTAAAATAAAAACTTACTTTGCAACAAAATCAGTATCGCAGGTATAGCAGTACCCCGCTAGAGCTGGTAATATTATTTAAAATTCTAGTTTAGTGTACTTGTTAAAGTACGGCTCAAAAGGACATGTATCCAGAGCCGGAATATATAATAATAAATTAGGGGGCGTACATAAATTACGTGAGGTGTCTTTTGAATTTTCTGTAGCTCCCTCCCCCCTGGTGAGATGTCGAGAGATTTTATTTAACCCCCTCACCCATCCACCATTTTAAGTAAACGCGTTGGATTGTTATTGTAAAAAGAAAAAAAAATCTTCGTGCTTTTATTTACGACTAGTTAAGACTAGTAATCAATATGCTGCTGCTGAGAGTTATAAGTGTAATAAGCATGTACAATCTGGATTAAATGGACCAAAATAGATTTTTTTTTTACTTTCAATCAGAATAAAAATTGCGTGATATTTGCCGAGACCCTTCCTCTCTACAACGTAAGTTAACATCTCGCGTAATTTATGGAAGTGTTTAAAATCTTGGACTGTGTTTAAAAATGTACAATTGTCAGATTAAAAAATAGCTGGTAAAATTAGTTTAGTGTATTTGTTAAAGTAGGGCTCAAAAAGACATGTATCCAGAGCCGTAGAACATAATAAAAAAATGTACAACTGTCAACTGTCAATTTAGTCTCCGAGATTAAAAATCAGACTATTGTGCTACTTAACCATAATAAAATGAATCTTAAACTATAATTACCTTGGGTTACATTTTCGACGGACAGCGTTGTGTTGACTTGCAGACATGGGCAGTACGGCGTGGGTGGCGGCGGAGTCGTGGTTATCTCGTCCAAGGAGAGAGAAAGAGGCGCATCGGGATGTCTTATATCGTAGAGGAACTCCGGTATGATTGGTACTGGTACACAGAACAAATTAGAGAAGAATATATTAATTATTATCATTACATATTGTAGAGTTTCTCTGTGCAGATTTTTGATTATGATTATGATTTTTGATGTGTCTGCACTCCAAATGCAAGGTCACTGCTAGTGTCACCAGAACTTTATGTTTATTTTATGTTTCAGTGTGTTATGTTTAATGTTTATTTATATATGGTAGTATGTCGTAAATGTTTACTCTATGTTATCCGCCTAGATCTATGTATGTATGTGTATTATTATTATTATTTTATTATATTTATTTTATATGAAGGTATCCGCTGAAAACCAGCGTCGTGGCACCCCGTCACGACATATGCTGAGCGGAGACCTATTTGGTACTGTAAAATTAATATAAAGCGATAAAATGTAAATTAAAATTTAAAAAATATTATAAACAATTTTCTTTACTTTCTTTAGTTCATATTAATATTGTAGAAAAATCCGATATCTTAAAAAGATATTAAAAGAAGGTAGTTTGTGTTTAGTACTAATGAGGTACCCAGTGTAAAGATTATTACAAATATTGTAAATAGCGCCATCTAGTATTTATAGACCGAACTAAGTTGTTTGTCATAAGAATAGAAAAGAAAAGAATAGAAAATCATTTATTCAAATAAACTTAATTTAAGCACTTTTGAATAGTCATAACAATTTGTTTTTTATCTACGACTCGTTCGGAAAGCTAATAAGATAACCGCTACCCTCGTTTCTCTCCCTACTACACTGACTTCGGTCTATAAATACGGAGGTCGGTAGTTGAATAATCCTTTTTCGTTGGGTGAACGGCGGCATTCAGTCGACGAGCGCAGAGCGTGCCGGTTGTGTTTTGGATACTAAAGTGTTAGAAATGGCTTTATCCCTGTCTTAGTTGGGCCTGGGGGGAAACTGTAAGTAGTGAAGGTGAGTGTTAATGCCTTCTAAAAGGGCCTTTTAAACCTACACCCGTGTCACAAGTCACGGGCGCTACTTGGGGTTTCCCTTGCGGTAGCCGGCTTCAAAGCCTAAGTCGTCATCATAATTAGTGCTTCTTACACATAGTATAAAATAAAGTCGCTGTCGCTGTCTGTCCCTATGTATGCTTAAATCTTTAAAACTACGCAACGGATTTTGAAGCAGTTTTTAATAGATACGAGTGGTTCTAGAGGAAGGTTTCTATATAACACTTATACAATTTATATCTGTTTGTTTGGGCTAATCTCCGAAATAGCTGGACCGATTTTGACGGGACTTTTATTGGCAGGTAGCTGATGTAATAGGGTGTAAAGTAGGCTACTTTTATTTAAAAAAAATAAAGTTAAATTTCACGCAGACGAAGTCGTGGGTACAAATAGTAAATAATAAATAGACGGCCTCGGTGGTTTAGCGGTTAAGCACACCCCTTTCTAATGGTCGCGGGTTCAGATTCTCGCACGGTAGACATATTTGTATTTAAGAGTCTCATTTATTACAGATATCTCATCATGGACTTGGTGGTTGAGAGGTTTAGCACACCGCTTTACTTCCGATGGTCGCGGGTTCGAATCGTCGCACGGTGCAAGTATTTGTTTTCATGAGTATGATTGTTTATATCGGTCTGGGTGTTTTCTATGTATAATATGTATGTATTTACAAAAAAATGTATGTATTAATATCAGTTGTCTACTACCCATAACATACTAGCTCTGCTTAGCTTTGGACTAGATGGCGCTGTGTTAATTGACCAGAGTTATTATGTATCGTTTATCAGTCATTTTGATTTCATTATTAATATTTAAGTAGTGCCTTCTCCCTCACCCATTTTTTTGGTTTTTATGCCACAGACAGCCGATAGAAATGCTTAAATACATACATAACATAGTGTCCAGACCAATACAAATTTCAGCAAAGCTCTACACGATCACGAACAAACGTGCCGAATATTTGGTATCAGCGCTCCCTATGATCTCATCGCTCTCATAAAAAAGTCAGAAGCTCTGAATTCGTATAATTTATTTACTAAACATATTGTAAATAACCTCAAAAAGATCAACAAAACATAATAATTTGCAAAATTACAATATTACTATATTTGAATTAAAAAGAAATGTATATTTATTCATTTACTTATGTATATAACTATAATATAATATAATATATATGTATTTATTTCGATAATTTAACATCCCCTCCAGAAGAACACATTATACAATTAAAACATAATATATTTATAATACAAAAAAAATGGGATAATAAAAACAGTAGAGAAACAAAATAAATTTAATAAAAAAAAAATACATACAACAATCATACTCATTATTAAAACACTTTTAAACATCATTTTAAAAAATATTTACTTAAAGTACAAAAATCTTAAACGTGGCAGATAAATACAGTAGTCATATATATTGTTAATAACTCTTTAGTTTATATAAAGAAATATATAAATTTGAAAATTGTACATTCCTTGTCATCGTTAGAACAATAGAAAATAAGAAAATTTAGACTTCATCGTGAAATATAATTGTGATATAATATTTTACTTTCCTCTTTTATTGATGCCCTATCTACGAACCTAATTATAATTCAATATCTATTATTATATATATATATTGGGTTTACTGTACTGCCCAATATTATATACATATATATTGATTAAATAAATAAATATATTCAAGCTATATTATATTACACAAGTCTTTCTATCAACACTTTTTTATCCTTATATATTTTTCTTCTATTTATCACACATACTTATAATTCATCCATTGAACTGATTCTTCATTTTATATATTTAAATTCATAACGAATGCTATTTCTGTTTTTCAAGTGGCTCCACTGAAAATCAGCGCTGTAGTGACACGCTGCGGCACCAGCTGAGTGGAAGCCTTTTCAGCATAGAGAATTACTAGTTTTGAAGTTTTCTTTTTTAGTCTGTACTCTTTTTTATGCTGAATAAATGATTATTATTATTATTATTATTATTATTAGTGTTCAATACAGTCCACAGATCTGTTAGTAGTTTTGCCTTCAATACACGCAAGTGCAATTTTCATAGCTGACCACGGCTGACGGCCGGTTTTTAATTATATCATATTATGTAACGGCGCCCGCATGCTCATCCAGCCGTGAACAGATAACAATTTTGTTCACCGCCTGGCCGTTGCTTTTAATATTATGCAAGTATTTCGTTGGAAAATTATGGCCACATAGATAAATTTTCTTGATGTTAAAAAATATCACGGAGAATTATGTATAAAATATTTGTCTATGGCTAGTACCTTAACAGCATATACTTGTTCAGGTGTACATCATTTAATTTAACATCCATAATAAGAAAACCATAGACACAGATAACATAATATTAGATACCACAGATAAGCCTGTCTATATCTAGAAGGTTTTATGTAAGTTCCAATACAGTCGCAACATTTATACCAGGATAACATAAATGTTTGAGAAGTTCAAAACAAGAACCTTTGCTAATATTGTTTTTACGTACTCTGCAAATAAATTTAATTACATTTGATAATCCTAACCTCAATTTGTGTAACTATTGTGACGCATTTTCCCGCGCTTTTGATTGTCAACTTTATTACGAAATACATCGTCAGTTTTTTTTTGTTTTGTTATTTATTAACTTAACTAATGAATAATCAATTTGTAGACTTGTAATAAAAAGTTTCGATGCTACTAGGAGTGCATGAATAAAAAGGAAATTCTATTTTATAGTTAATAAAAATTGAAAGTAAATTTGTTGACAGATAAAATTTGTAGTGTCAAACGCATACAGCCCGACGAGATGTGACGGCTAATTCGATATTTGAAAATTGAACATGGCGGCCACTCGACTTCGAGCGCGCGTGTAAATGACAGCTCATTTACGTGTAGTGGCGAAGGAAAATGAAAGCAGCATTTATCAGAACAATCATAGGGTTTAATATAATATTTAATTCAGTAATTTATATGTCTGTGAATACTTTATTTATGGTCTATTGTCTTTTTGTTGTTTGAGTAATAGACAATTAGCAAGCGAGTGAAGTTTCCAATGTGAAGACCAAATTGTGAAATTATTTTTATGTAATTAAAAGAATTAGTCATCATTTGAGGACTGTTGTACCTCTTATAGGTTCTGGGGACCATCTTATGGATGATAATAGAATGGTGCACCTGCTTGCGCCAACGGTTTACGCGGGCGGGGCACCAGTGGAGGATGATAAGATGAAATTAAAGTCAAGTTAGCCCATTTTGGTAAATTAACCATGAATTTATCACGATGGTTTTTAGAGGAACCACGTGGAGGTCAATCTGATATGGTACATTGCTAGCAATGGTGTTATTAGTCCATATTACTAACATTATATTACTTTACTTCTCATAACGTTAGGAGTCTGCGAGTAAAAGTCTCATAAAAATCGGTCCAACCGAAGTTAGCAAGAACAAACCAACAAACAAGAAAGATTTTTTTAATAATTTTTGATTTATGTTCCGTGTATAAATATCATTTAGATTCATTATAAAATATCTATATTTTTATATCAGTAGTCTAGTATCCGTAACACAAGCTCTGCTTAGTACGGGACTAGATGGCGCTGTGTGAATTGTCCAAAATTAAAACTGATAAAAAAATTAAATTATATTTTTGATGCAAGTATCGTCAAGAAGAACCAGAGTGACCGACATAGCCCGAAGAATTGCGACTTTGAAGTGGCAATGGGCAGGGCACATAGCTCGTAGGACAGATGGCCGTTGGGGCAGTAAAGTCCTCGAGTGGCGACCACGGACCGGAAGACGCAGCGTGGGAAGGCCTCCAGCAAGGTGGACCGACGATCTGGTCAAGATCGCTGGAAGGCATTGGATGCGAGCAGCGCAGGACCGATCGTCGTGGAGATCTTTGGGGGAGGCCTATGTCCAGCAGTGGACGTCTTTCGGGCTGCGATGATGATGATGATGATCATTAAGAATAGATTTTTTATTTATTTATTTATACATACAATTTTTTTTATTTCATATGCAGCTT